GACCACGCAATAACTTTTACACGGTGTACTTGCACTTGCTAGATTAAGCATAAAAGGCAGGCAGGTATTACTAATGTTACTAATATGTATACATATATTTGTAACTTAGGGACGCGGGTGGCGCTGTGGGTAAAACCTCAGCACCTAGGACTTGCCGATCGTCAGATCGGCGGTTCGAATCCCCGCGGCGGGGTGCGCTCCCGTTGCTCGGTCCCAGCGCCTGCCAACCTAGCAGTTCGAAAGCACCCCCGGGTGCAAGTAGATAAATAGGGACCACTTACTAGCGGGAAGGTAAACGGCGTTTCCGTGTGCTGCGCTGGTGCTGGCTCGCCAGAGCAGCTTCGTCACATATATGTGGAAGTGTCTGTAGACAGCGCTGGCCCCCGGCCTCTTAAGTGAGATGGGCGCACAACCCTAGAGTCGGACACGACTGGCCCGTACGGGCAGGGGTACCTTTACCTTTATATTTGTAACTAAGGGGGAATCTAAACAGTTCCCAAATCAGTTTTATCTTAATAGCAAACACAGTAAATAAAGAGTTGACTTGTAATATGTCCGTGTTTCAGTGCTCATCTTTTCTCTTTCCAAAATAGATTTTATCTCGAACAACTGCAAAGCGAAGTAAATAAAGAGTCCCCTTGTGTTATAATTCCGGTAATTCCGACGTTTTGTTGCTAAAGAGCTTAGTCATCGAGCTGTCATAATCTGTTGCAACAGAATTGCCCTGAATTAACAAGTAGAAGAAGGGAAATCAAAATTAAAAATACATTTGTTGTTTGTTTACAGATAGTTGCCTTGGGGATATTATCTTGCGTCGATTCCACACCAGTGGAGGCATCACTGAACCCGAGGAACCAATGATCTGACCAAGGCAGCTTCTCAAGTTCCAATTTTAAACTCCTGTTTTCTCGAAGCAACAAAGCTTCGAGAAAAGCAGTTCCCCAATGCATTATCTGCCCCAAGGGATATGATGTGGTGGAGGCTTGTAGTGTGAGAAAGAGGAGGGCGTAGTTAGTGCTCTGCAGCAGCATGCGGATTAAGCCCCCTCTGCCTGGTTGCAAAGAGCGGATCTTGTCAAGCTTGCCAGCGCCCTCTACAGGTGTTAATTGAAACGCCATGATGATTTAGGATGTTTTCTTTCGCCACTTTTCCCAATACGTCATAGATCTGAAGTCCATGTGGCTTGGAGATCAGGACAGACAAATGGGGGTTCTCTATCACACAACACAGAGTTAAAAGTGTGGCGTTTATGAGCCCAAGATGGAGTTAAGGGGGGTCAGACATGGAGGATAAGTGGTGCCCAGCGTAGCCAGAGAACAGCAGTTCAAGATGACAGGCCAGCTCCATCAGGCCTCCTCTCCCCACATCTGGGGGCAGCCATCCCATCAGACTTGCCTCAGAGAGACAAACAGGAATTGTTTCATCAGCTTTGGGCCAGCTGGTCATTATAGGCGCAACTGTTTAGACATTGGTGCCTGAATTGGATTTATATTTTCCTCTTCCCTCCCTGTTCCTTTTGCTTTGTGTGTCATGCTTTTTTTCCAAGCTTATAACCCTGTGGACAAGGAATGTCTTTTTTCTTTTAAACACACACACACACACACACACACACACACTGTTTTACAATTTGGAATACTCATGCCCAGAGCATGATGGGAACGCAGAGGAGCTCTCCCTCCTTAAGGCACAGAGGTTTCTCCTTCAGACCCGTCTCTCTGCTCTCTTAAATCTTTTCGATCTTGTGACCCAGCCCTACATTCAAATCATTTCCCTTGAAAATGCAGCACACACTCCTCTCCACCCCTGGGGATAAAATGCATGCCATGGCACTGTAGAAAATGAAGGGTGAACACTTTTTGTGGAGGGATATTTTGTGGGAATTAAACTTTGCTTCCCATTTACAGAGTTATGTGGAAGAGAGACAGGGTATATTGCCCTTTTAGTTACTTCCCTTTTCCCTCTTATAAAAACTTCCCAAGACACTCTCTCTTGTAAAGTTGAAATAACAAATGACTTTTGCTTGGTGTACTTGCACTTGATAGATTTAAACATAAAAGACAGGCAGGTATTACTTATGTTACTAATGACCACTCCCCGCATAAAACGGGGGGCGACCTTTGCGTGGACGCGCGCAGCCCCTGGATCTGGAGCGGCTCCATCAGCATAGGCTTGGCTTTGCCTTTCCTCAGGTGGGATACCTGGAGGTCTCCGCCTACCACAGTCAGTTGTCCAATCCCACCTGGGGGGAAGCGTTGCCAAGGAGATCAGGCCAGGTGGGGGAGGGATTACCTGCCCACACAATAGAGGGAGGATCTTACCTGGGAATCCTCACTTGGCTCCAGAACTTCTCCCACCCTACCCACCCTCAGTTAATGCCTTATTTTGCAGGTTAACTTTTCTTCACAGGTTTTGCAGGTTAACTTTTCTTCACAGGTATGCGGGCGCTGCTACATTAAGGTCGCTGTCAAAGGGCCGGAAAGGAATTTCCCTGCATTGGCAGGTTTCGCCTTTCCCATAGCAAAACGTCACAACTTTGGCGGTATCAGGCCTTGGGAGGAATCCTTTTGTCCATCTTCCTCTTTGCAGCGGCGATACCAGGATTCCCTGTTAAAGGGGATTTTGAGGGGAGGCCTTGACTGTACGCCGAGAGGTCCTCATTGCCCTCCCCTGCGGCGGCGGCGTAACGGGGGCGTCTATCTCTGCTTGAACAGATGTTCTCCAGAGCCTGCCCATCCCCCCCCCACTGGATAACCCTGATGCTCCCTAGGTCTCCGGCTGGGGACTCGGGAGGGAGAACGCCCAATGCCTGAGCCAAGGTCTACCCACATTTGAAATTTAATAAAGTTGTGGCCAATTTAATCCCATAGCACATTGTCTTGAGTTGTTATTCCACATGATGGGGGAGGGGCGCCCAGGATGTGGGGGACTCCGCCTGTCCATGCAATGCACTCAAGGGGGAAAAAATCAAACAGAACACCAAATGCACTCCAAAGAACAGAAACCAAAGTGAATGAAACTTTTTTTTAAAAAGGAAATAAATGAGGAAATGAAATTAATCTATTCACGCACTTGCACATTCTTTTCCGACTCTTTTTGTCTGCCGAAGGTGTACTTGTACCTGACATATTTGCTGCATTCATGCCAATCTGAGCATGAGTGAACAGAAAGCATCAGACATGTAGCCATGCTTAGTGAACATTCTCCTCCTTCACTTCACATCACAGGTGCAAGAGGGAGCAGGTGCTCTCAGAACAATCTGCCAAAAATAGACCAACATCTCCCCTTAAAGGTTAAAGCTGGAAAAGCAGTCATCATATAGCTATGCTCAACATGAACAGGAAGGTTATATCATATGAAAACCAATGCTGGTATTCAGTGCTCAAGCAGTTGGAGTAAGACCATGGTTTTCCAGAACACATTTGATTGATATGGCCTGGTTTTTAGATCTTGCAGATATAGAATAGAAACTTGACTGTGAACTCAGCTTTTGTTGTTTAGTCGTTTAGTCATGTCCAACTCTTTGTGACCCCATGGACCAGAGCACGCCAGGCACTCCTGTCTTCCACTGTCTCCTGCACTCTGCTCAAACTCATGTTAGTAGCTTCGAGATCACTGTCCAACCATCTCGTCCTCTGTCATCCCCTTCTCCTTGTGCCCTCAATCTTTCCCAGCATCAGGGTCTTTTCCATGGAGTCTTCTCTTCTCATCAGGTGGCCAAAGTCTTGGAGCCTCAGCTTCAGGATCTGTCCTTCCAGTGAGCACTCAGGGCTGATTTCCTTAAGAATGGATCGGTTTGATCTTCTCACACTCCATGGGACTCTCCAGCACCATAATTCAAAAGCATCAATTCTTCAATGATCAGCCTTCTTATGGTCCAGCTCTCACTTCCATGCATCACTACTGGGAAAACCATAGCTTTAACAGACCTTTGCCAGCAAGGTGACGTCTTTGCTTTTTAAGATGCTGTCTAGGTTTGTCATCGCTTTTATCCCAAGAAGCAGCAGGCATCTTTTAATTTCATGACTGCTATCACCAGCCGCAGTGATCATTGAGCCCAAGAAAGTAAAATCTCTCGCTGCCTCCATTTCATCAATTATATTTTTATAACTGCATCATAAACATACAACACCAGATGGCACTGTAGAGCTATGACCTGTCACCAATGGGATTTTCCATTATGAGCTTTTATAATGTGTTTTCCTGTACTGATTTTTTAATGTGTGTAGATCCAGCACATCTGGTCAGTGTTGCTATCAGGGCTGAACTATGAAACATATCCAGGGCTCCACTTAGTTGTTTCAACCTGCCACAAACCTCATGGAGGAAGTTTGAAGGCAGCACCTGTAGAGGAGGTGATGATGATGGTGAATGAGGAAGTGGGAGAGACAGGGGATGGAGATTCACTCGGGACAATGCCATTATCCAAGAGGCTGGGTTCTATAGGCTCTCTCTGTAAAGATTGAAATAAAAAAGGATGGTATGTATTGTGACTTCACCAATAGAAATGTACTTTTATGTAGTTTCATGTATATATATAATAAAGTATTATCGTCTTCTCTCTTCAACAGGGCAGGTGGGGTGTCCTGCAGCAGTAAATAAAGATCACCTCCTGGGTGCTTCTGTTTGAATAGATCAGCCTCTGTCTGTTTTATATTCCCACCCAGATAATAGACTTGATGGTATATTTCCATAAAGAAATTTTCTATAAAGAGCATGAGCCACGACCCATTCCAGATACGCACTTCCCTACTTGAGCAACCCAGAATGTATGATTAGGCAGGAATATTGTGCATGTGCACTTATTTTACCGCATGTGTAAGACCCAAGCCAAATGCATTTCTGTTAATGAACTCTTATTTCATTTTGCTGTCCGTCAAGCCTGTCCCTTCCCAGGGAGAAGAACTGTCACTTTCAGGCTCGAGCTGTTTTGAATTCATCATTCTAGAAAGGAGGAGTGAAGGTTTTTGTCTCAGTTCCCCATCAGATTGCACCACTGTGGAACTGGAACTTGCCACCAGAGTTCTCATAAGCACAACAGTAATAAACGGCCTCGTCTTCAGCCTGGATGTTGGTGATGGTTAAATAGCCAGTGTTCCCTGAATAAGAACCTGTGAACCGATCTGGGATCCCTTCTCCCCGGTTGCTGGTATAATAGAACACGAAGCGAGGAGCCTGGCCAGCTTTCTGTTGATACCAGTGAAAGCTGCCCCAGCTTCCACCACTACTTTTAGAACAGGAGAGTTTAATTGCTTGGCCCGGGGAGACAGACTCGGAGGCTGCCTGAGTCAATGTTGGCTGTGAAGCGACACCTTTGCAGAAAGAAAAAGAAAAACCGATGCATCATTCTCTGCTCCTTAATATCACAAACATATTCTGTTTCTGTGCTAAATAGAGAAGAAGCTTTGTTGCTATCCCATTAGACCACATAACCCATACCTGAGAAGTAAGTGAGAAAAATGAAGAGAATAAGGATCTGGCCCATGGTGAAATTCTAAAGGAAGGTGAGTCCCAAACAGCTCTCTAATCTATAAGAGGGAAGGGGGACCCTTCTCTCTTATATATCCCAGGAGCTGAGGGATGATATATCATGCAAATATATCTGAACCCATTGGCTTTTATGTAGACATTATGAAGAACTGTGATGAAGCTCTCTCAGATGACCACAGAACAGGTTTTGCATGAAGGGCGTGACCTGTTGTACAAAAATAAGAGTCACATCTGCTCAGGTACACACCCACACACACACCCACACACACCCCCCCACTGGCAGACGGCCCCTGGAAAGTTCCCCTTGGAGGAAGGGGTGTGATTTGTGAAGAGTCATGATGTCAGGGACTGGCTAGATGAAGAAGAATGGTGGGAGGCTATAGCCGGGGAACACCTCAGGGAAGCATCAGAGTGGGAAGGCTCCAAGCCAGGAGAATGGTGGTGGGACACAGAACACAGGTCAGAGGAAGAAGGGCTGTGCCGATGGGTTGTGGAGAGTCCACTGTCTACCAGCTCCATCTGGTACACAGACTGAGACTCTACCTGCCCACAGACTGTCTCGCCAGAGTGGTGCATGCTCTGGTTATCTCCCGCTTGGACTACTGCCATGCGCTCTACGTGGGGCTACATTTGAAGGTGACCCAGAAACTACAATTAATCCAGAATGTGGCTGCTAGACTAGTGACTGGGAATGGTCGCCAAGATCATATAGCACCGGTCCTGAAAGACCTACATTGGCTCCCAGTACATTTTCAAGCACCATTCAAAGTGTTGGTGCTGACCTTTCAAGCCCCAGTATACTTGAAGGAACGTCTCCACTCCCATCATTCAGCCTGGACACTGAGGTCCAGCGCCGAGGGCCTTCTGGCGGTTTCCTCACTGCAAGAAGTGAAACTACAGGGAACCAGGCAGAGGGCCTTCTCAGTAGTGGCGCCCGCCCTGTTAAACGCCCTCCCATCAGATATCAAGGAAACAAACAACTATCTGACTTTTAGAAAGCATCTGAAGGGAAGTTTTAAATGTTTGATATTTTGTTGTCTTTTTAATATTTTGTTGGGAGCCGCCCAGAGTGGCTGGGGAAACCCAGCCAGATGGGCAGGGTATAAATAATAAATTGTTGTTGTTGTTACTATTTTGGTTTTCCTCTATGTACATAATAAAACAGTGCCATTCAGTTAGAAAAGAGTACTTGTAGCTCAAGCCTTATGCCCATTTTAATTGGTTATTTATTTTTCCCACAAGCTCTGCTTGTTCTACCAGTTTGTCAGAGAGGCGCCCTCTAAGTTCTTCCAGCATCTCAATATTCTGCCCTCCTCTTCCAGCAAAGCCCCCCCCCCATTGCCCTCCTGCCCTAACCATTCCAAGCTTGTCCCTGGCCAAGCTGTTCCTTTGAGGCTCAAACAAGTGATTGTGTGGTTCAGGTTTCCTGCTGCAGCGAGGAAGAGTGAAGCTTTTTCGTCTCGGTTCCCCATCAGATTGCACCACTGTGGAACTTGAAGCCACGGGTGTCCTCCCAAACAGAACAGTAATAAACGGCCTCATCTTCAGCCTGGAGGTTGGAGATAGTTAAATAGCCAGTGTTCCCAGAGACGGAGCCCGTGAACCGATCTGGGATCCCTTCTCCCCTGTCGCTGGTGCCGTAGAGCACAAAGCGAGGAGCTTCTCCAGGTTTCTGTTGATACCAGCGAAATGCACTCTTGCTGCTGCTACTTTTAGAGCAGGAGAGAATCAGGGTCTGGCCCAGAGTCCCAGATTCGGAGCTTGACTGAGTCAATGTGTGCTGTGAACTGACACCTTTGTAAAGAAAAGAAAACAACTATGCATCATTTTCTGTTTTCTCAAATTTCAGAAAAAGTATTAATTCTGTTTTAGTGATAAATAAAGAAGACAAATAGCATGGTCACCAGCCCCATATTCCCTCCACAACCAGACCTGAGCAGTAACTGAGAAACATGAATAAAACACACAGCTTTGCCATGGTGGAAATCAATTTGAGGGTGAGTCTGAGAGGAATAAAGGTTCTCTAATCTAGCGGCACCTTCCTCCCCCTCTCTTAAATCCCACATGAAATGAAGAGAGACTTATCATGCAAATATATCAATGCCCATTGGCTTTGCTATGGGCAGGAAATGTGATGAACTTCTAACAAAATAATTTTGCATGCGTTAGGCAGTTTAAAAGAAGAATGGCATTTTGTTTAGGACGGGAGTGGGATCTTAGATCCAGAGGCTTAATGTGGCCCTCCAGCCTCTCTGCCTGGCCCTCGGGAACCTTCCAGACCTGACTAGAATATATAATTGTATGGTGAGAATGACCCTTGCTGCCCTGGCTGGAAAATCTCAAGGCAATCCAAAATGCAATGTATCTCAAAGGATTAGGATCGTAGTGAAAATCTGGGCAATCTTTTTCTGCCACGTCTGAACTGTATGCTGCAACCTTTTGTTGCTTGTAAGTCTCACCTGTTGGGTATGCAAGTTCCATTCCTTGCCATATGAATGTACCAACACTCAGGAGAGACTATAGGTTTGTTCACACATGACACTGAACACAGGTACCAGCTGCCTCTAGGTAAAGGTAAAGGGACCCCTGACCATTAGGTCCAGTCATGACCGACTCTGGGGTTGCGGTGCTCATCTCGCTTTACTGGCTGAGGGAGCTGGCGTACAGCTTCCAGGTCATGTGGCCAGCATGACTAAGCCGCTTCTGGCGAACCAGAGCAGCACACGGAAACGCCGTTTACCTTCCCGCCGGAGCGGTACCTATTTATCTACCTACACTTTGATGTGCTTTCGAACTGCTAGGTTGGCAGGAGCAGGGACCGAGCAACGGGAGCTCACCCCGTTGCGGGGATTCGAACCGCCGACCTTCTGATCAGCAAGTCCTAGGCTCTGTGGTTTAACCCACAGCGCCACCCGTGTTCCTCAGCTGCCTCTAGACATCTACAAATGTTGGTGTGTATGCTTCTTGATTCATACAGCTCAACTATTGTGTGCAGACTTTACACACATTGAATGTTGCATGTGAATAACTGTAGAGGTGTAATTAATTGTTTTCAGTCAGGGTGTTAGGATAGCTAAATGGGCAATGTTTCCAGAGGTAGAACTTATGAACTGATCTGGAATCTCTTCTCCCCTGGTGCTGGCATTGTAAAGCCAAGAGCAGGGATATTCTCCAGTTCTCTGTTGATACCAATGAAAGCGAAGTCCTCAGTCTTCAGTGCAGTTGCATACAAGATCTGCAACTGCTCCAGGATCCTCTTCCAGTAGACCTACAAAATCTGTCCTCCTGCCCTAACTTTGAGCCTGTCCATGGTGAGGAGGAAGGACTGTCACTTTCGGCCTCAATGAAGTTCCTGGGTGATTCAAGTTTCCTACTCTAGGGAGGAAGAGCAAAGGTTTTTATCTCAGTTCCCCATCAGATTGTTATCACTGTGGAACTTGGTAGTACCAGTGTACTCCCAGGCACCACAGTAATAAACGACCTCATCTTCAGTCTGGATGTTGGAGATGGTTAAATACCCAGTGTTCCCAGAGACAGAACCAGTGAACCGATCTGGGATCCCTTCTCCCCTGTCGCTGGTATGATAGAATGCGAGCGAGGAGCCTGGCCAGCTTTCTGTTGATACCAGTGAAAGTTGCCCCAGCTTCCACTGCTACTTTTAGAACAGGAGAGTTTAATTGCTTGGCCCAGGGAGACAGACTCGGAGGCTGCCTGAGTCAACGTTTGCTGTGAAAGGACACCTTTGCAAGGAGGAGGAAAATGATAAACACATGAATCATTTTCTGTATTTTCAAATATCATGGAAGTTGGCTTTGGAGGGGGGGATGATAAATACACATGAGAAATAGTTTTGCTGTATACCCATTAGCCCACCACAACCATACCTGAGCAGTAAGCAAGAAAGCTAAACAGAACAAGGATCCAGGCCATGATGAAAGTCAAAAGGAGGATGAGCCTCAGATGGGGGGGGGGGGAATCTGTGTCTAATCTAGCTGCACATATCCCCTTCTCTTTTCAATACCCCAGGAGCCAGGAAATAATTTGTCATGCAAATATGTCAACACTTGTTGGCTTTTCTGGAGACATTATGAAGAACGGTGTTGAAGTTCTGAAAAATTACCCTGGAACAGATTTTGCATGAAGGGACCGTTTAAAAGAAGAGATAAGGTTCCATGTTTTGTCTGGGTTCTTTCTCAGGGCTACACTTTCAGAATAAAAAATTGCTCATGGAACCCTGAATTTTTTTATTGAAAAGAAATACATTGGAAACCAAACAGAAACAAGTCTTAGTGGTGCTTGATTTATAAAAAAGAGCACAACTACTTTATCATATGATCACGGGACATTCAGGAAATATAAGACAGTGCCGCTACATAAGAACATGAATCATCCCCAAAATATAAATGAGCTTCTTATATATGTATCTTAAGTTTGTATATTGTGTAAGCTTGCTTTTGCTGGGTGATCTCATTTATATTAGAGTCTACTTTGAGACAAACAGACTCTCACCTCCTCAGGAACATTAAGAAGCCTTTCCTACTCATATTGAAATACTACCCCTCAATGAGGCCAAACTTAGATTCACAAAATGTTTAGGGGTATGCATATCCCTGAGTACCCACAGAAAAAAGCAGTGTGTGTGTGTGTGTGTGTAAAAACTCATACATGTATTTGTTGATCCTTCATTCATGCAAGGAAGAAGGATGATCATAATTCATGGGCATTTTCCTGACAGGCAAGAGCAGTCGAGGAAGGCTCAGATCAGGGATTGTCAGGGATTGTTAGGGATGTGGCCTGGGTAATCTCCTCAGGGCCACATAGAGAGGACAGGAGGGCCACATCTGGCCCCAGGTTTGAGATTCCCCACCCCACTAACACAAAGTGTTAGAGTTATAAATCTGGATTGGGAAGGAAGAGTCTGTGCCAGGTCTCATTCAGACTGCACACTTGACCTATCCAACAACCCAAAAAGTAGTATAAGTAGGCATAGGGAGAAATGTGATTCAATTTAGACTTAAATAAACGTCTCCACACCTGAGCTAAAACACAACCATTCTCTTGAAATTTGCATTTCTGCAAATTTTGTAATGCATTTCACTGGTCAAGTAATGTGTAAAAAAAACTTCATCTGTTGGGGTCAAGTGTGCATATAAATGCATGTGTTGGTGAAAATAGCAGGCAAAAGTGCATTTTATCCAGGGAAATTGTTTTGCAAAATGTGTACGAGGGGAAAATTAATTACAAAAATGTTTGTATGAAGCAAATTTCAAACTGCGATGCTGATGAATTCTCATCAAGAAATGTTCACCAAACCTATGTGGAAATGTGGCAAAGTGAATTCGTTCTGGAGGGACTTAGTGCTGATATCGTGGTCTCCGGCTTTGCAGTTCCCCTATAATATTGTGGAACAATGTGTATTTTGTACTGTTGGCTTTGACAACATTTTCTTTTTATTTGTCTTTTGATATACAGCTGCTTATTGAGTTCTATATGATGTGAACTTACTGAGATAATCTAGTAGTTATTTTACAGAGAGAGAGAGAGAGAGAGAGAGAGAGAATGGAAAAAATGAGGAAAGTGAAAGAAAGTGAAATTGATGGATTTGCCCATCTCTAAAGATAAGGCACGGGTGGCGCTGTGAGTTAAACCACAGAGCCTAGGACTTGCCAATCAGAAGGTCAGCGGTTTGAATCCCCGCGACGGGGTGAGCTCTCATTGCTCAGTCCCTGCTCCTGCCAACCTAGCAGTTCGAAAGCACATCAAAGTGCAAGTAGATAAATAGGTACCACTCCGGCGGGAAGGTAAATGGCGTTTCCGTGCGCTGCTCTGGTTCGCCAGAAGTGGCTTAGTCATGCTGGCCACATGACCCGGAAGCTGCGCGCCGGCTCCCACCGCCAATAAAAGCAAGATGAGCGTGGCAACCCCAGAGTCGGTCACGACTGGACCTAATGGTCAGGAGTCCCTTTACCTTTAAGGATAAGGCGGTAAAAGTTGTCTATGGCCACTTGAGTTCTGTTCAGGATTTAGACCCAAACCAAGCACACACATTTTACCAAACTGTTATTTCACACTGCAGCTGCATGGGTGTCTAGGGACTCTGTACTTCCCTCAAATGAAGAGATGCTGCATCAACATCGCCCTCTTGTGTCTGAAACCTGGATCACAACATATTTGTAGAGTGGTACCTCGGGTTAATTCGTTCCGGAGGTCCGTTCTTAACCTGAAACTGTTCTTAACCTAAAGCACCACTTTAGCTAATGGGGCCTCCTGCTGCCGCTGCACTGCCGGAGCACAATTTCTGTTCTCATCCTGAAGCAAAGTTTTTAACCTGAAGCACTATTTCTGGGTTAGCGGAGTCTGTAACCTGAAGCATATGTAACTTGAAGCATATGTAACCTGAGGTACCACTTTATAGTGTTTCAAAATAAAGTTTAGACATTTTGATTTCAATTTCCACAAAGGAAAGAAATTTCAGCTAATCATTGGGGGTAACCTCAGAATTGTAATAATAATAATAATAATAATAATAATAATAATAATAATAATAATAGATAAAGGACCCCTGGATGGTTGTCCAGTCGAATTCGACTAAGGGCTGCAGCGCTCATCTCCACTTTCAGGCCGGGGGAGCCGGCGTTTGTCCACAGAAGCTTTCCAGGTCATGTGGCCAGCATGACTAAACTGCTTCTGACTCAACGGAACACCGTAATGGAAACCAGAGTGCACGGAAACGCCATTTACCTTCCCGCCGGAGCGGTATCTATTTATCTACTTGCACTGGCATGCTTTCAAACTGCTAGGCTGGCAGGAGCTGGGACAGAGCAATGGGAGCTCACTCTGTTGTGGGGATTCAAACTGTCAAACATCTGATTGGCAAGCCCAAGAGACTCAGTGGTTTAGACCACAGCACCACCTGCGTCCCTGTATCACAATGGTAATAGCTGCTCAAGAGTGGATCAAACAACCTTGAGAGATGATGGGATCTTCCACGATGGTGGCATTTAAGCGATGGACGGAAAGCTACCTGTCAGGTATGCTGAGGTTTGCAAGATTCTGGCATTCAGCAAGCGGTTGGATTAGATTAATTCCAAGCTCCCACCCTGAAGGTGCTAAAAAAAGGATAAATTTTGCCAGTGTTATACACCATGATCAATCATGTCCTATCGACAGTTTCTTAAATAAAACCAGTAAGACACAAGGAAAATACAGTGGTACCTCTGGTTAAGAACTTAATTCGTTCTGGAGGTCCGTACTTAACCTGAAACTGTTCTTAACCTGAAGCAACACTTTAGCTAATGGGGCCTCCTGCTGCTGCCATGCCAGAGCACGATTTCTGTTCTCATCCTGAAGCAAAGTTCTTAACCTGAAGCACTATTTCTGGGTTAGCAGAGTCTGTAACCTGAAGCGTATGTAATCTGAAGCGTATGTAACCCTAGGTACCACTGTAAATGATACTGAAAACTATGAAAAGGCTAACTGAAAGCAGCCAAAACCCAGATTACAGCAGAACACCAGTAAATAGCATTAAAAACCCACAAGGGGAATCATAGGAGCCAACTCCTAGGGGCTGAAGTCCCTTCGCCCTCCCTCCAATAAAATGTTTGACTCCCCCCCCATTGATGGGCATTGCCATTCAAATGAGGTGTGTGTGTGTCGCATCTTGTGATCAGTTAGGCAGGGCTTACCTACCCCCCCCCCGCCATATATTATTAAAGTTGGTACCCCTGAGGGGAATACAATATAGCCAGGAGGTTGGAAATTGCAAAGAAACAGTGTTTCCAGAGGTGGAATGAGTGAAGCAATTTGTGGTCCCTCTCCCCCTCCTCTTGACATTATATAGAATATATAGTGATGATTCGGTCCAGCTCTCTTGTAATAGTAGTGAAAGAAATTCCTTCTGTCAAGAATCATTGCAGAAGATGGAGGTACTCAACCTCTGCAGTTGCCCCATCCCTGTCTTTCAGAGTAGCCACAAAATCTATGCTCTTGCCCAAACCACTTCATGCTTGGCCCTGTCTAGGGAGAGGAGCTGACATTATTCATTCATTCATTCATTCATTTGGTTTTTCAGATTAACATTTTACAGTCACAAATCCAACATACAGCGGTACCTCAGGTTAAGTACTTACTTAATTCGTTCCGGAGGTCCGTTCTTAACCTGAAACTGTTCTTAACCTGAAGCACCACTTTAGCTAATGGGGCCTCCTGCTGCTGCCGTGCGCCGGAGCACGATTTCTGTTCTCATCCTGAAGCAAAGTTCTTAACTTGAAGCACTATTTCTGGGTTAGCGGAGTCTGTAACCTGGGGCATATGTAACCTGAGGTACCACTGTACAACATAGAAACAAGATTCCAAAGCATTTCCTGGCCTCCCATCCTCCCCTTTGTGGGTCCTATTGTTAATAATTTCCTCCTGCATCTTTTATGATAATCCAAATCTTTTATTTCTCCATAGTGTCCAAAATTCACCCTTAAAATACATGTGTTTTTCCAATCCTACTGATGATTTCAAATGTCTGCAATGGTTTTTAAGATAAATCATACGTTTTCCCCATTCCTTATTAAAATTTTAGTCTTCCTGATTTCTGATTCTTCCAGTCGTTTCAGCCATTTCGGCATAATCCATCAACTTGATCTGTCATTCTTCTCTGGTATAAGCCAGCTCCTGAGCGATCCTTGTTTGAAAACTCTAGGGGAAGTGTGAGAGAGAGGTTTTTGTATCAGTTCCCCATCAGATTGTACCACCGTGGAACACATTACTGCCTGTCACCCAGTCAACACAGTAATAAACCGCCTCGTCTTCAGCCTGGACATTGGAGATGGTTAAATAGTAAGTGTTCCCAGAGGTGGAGGCAGCGAACCGATCAGGGATCCCGTCTCCCCGGGTGCCGCTAGCATAGAACACGAAACGGGGAGCCTGTCCACCTTTCTGTTGATACCAGCTATAAGTATGCAAGCTGCCACTACTTCTAGAGCAGGAGAGTTTGACAGTTTGACCCGGGAGCACAGACTCAGAGGCAGGCTGGATCAATGTTGTCTGCGATGTGACACCTTTGCAGAAAGAAAAAATCAAATAAAAGCACACAAATCATTTCCAGTGTTCTCAAATATTAGGAAAGACTATAGCTTTCTTGCTGGTACATGCATCATTTTCTGTGCCCTCAGATTTCAGAAAATTATTATCTTCTCGTGAAAAGTAACAGAAGTCAAGTCAAATAATATATTAGGTCTCCACAAACATACCTGAACAGTAACTGAGACATGAGATGAGAAGAAGGATCCAGGCCATGGTGAATGTCAAAAGGAGGGTGGATCCCACAAACAGATCTCTAATCCTGTGGCACCTCCCTACCACCCTCTTAAATCACCTGGGAAATGAGGCACGAGCAATTATGCAAATACCTCGACACCCGTTGGCCTTGCTAGAAAGAATATGAGGAAATACAGGGAAAAACCAGAAGATGACCACAGAACAGATTTTGCATGAAGGGGGTGTTTTCACAGAAGATTGAAGCTTCTATGTATTGCTTAGGTTATGATTGGGGAGCTGTAGAACCAGGGGCTGAATATGGCCTCCCAAAATAATAATAATAATAATAATAATAATAATAATAATAATAATAATTATTATTATTATTATGTGTGTATGTATTATTACCCACCCATCTGGCTGGGCTGCCCCAGCCACTCTGGGCAGCTAACAGTTTACATAAAGACATAGTAAAATGTCAAACATAAATTTTCCATTGCAGGGCTGCCTTCAGAAGTCCTCTGATAGTTGTGTAGTTCTTTATCTCTTTGACATCTGATGGGAGGGCATTCCAGAGGCAGAGTGCCACTGTCAAGAAGGCCCTCTGCCTGGTTCCCTGTAACCTCACTTCTCACCGTGAGGGAAGCAGCAGAAGACCCTCGGAGGAAGACCTCAGTGTATGGGCTGAGCAATGGAAGGTGGAGAAGCTCCTTCAGATATTTCCTTTTGTGGCTCTCAGGACGTGCTCAGAACATGCCCTCTTCAGGCCACATGCCTCACTTTCATGGTGCTGTTGCCCCCAATGATTTTGCCTGGCTTGAACATATCCCTGAATGTTGATGATGCTTAATTATAATAATAATAATAGGGACGCAGGTGGCTCTGTGGGTTAAACCACAGAGCCTAGGACTTGCTGATCAGAAGGTTGGCGGTTCAAATCCCCGTGACAGGGTGAGCTCCAGTTCCTCGGTCCCTGCTCCTGCCAACCTAGCAGTTCGAAAGCACATCAAAGTGCTTCCGGCGGAAAGGTAAACGGCGTTTCCGTGCGCTGCTCTGGTTCGCCAAAAGCGGCTTAGTCATGATGGCCACATGACCCGGAAGCTGTACGCTGGCTCCCTCGGCCAATAAAGCGAGATGAGCGCTGCAACCCCAGAGTCGGTCACGACTGAACCTAATGGTCAGGGGTCCCTTTACCTTTAATAATAATAATAATATGCAAACGTATTTAAGCACTCCTTGTTGAAAGAAGCCAACCCACCACCCTCCTTTCTCAGATTCAGGGACTCACAACAAAGGTGGGAATTAAGAAATAAAATCAGCTCCCGAACTCTGAAGCTTTGTCCAGGTTTCAATGGAAACTTCTCTCCATTGCAAACTGTGATTACGAGGGGAGTGGCTCATCAGCACTGCTCCTCATGCAAATGTCTCCTAAGCGAGTCGTCAGGCATAAGAACAGCCAGTTGTGTCTAAGACAGCCAGTTGTGTCTGCCTTGGTGTTGAAACCCTTTTATTTATGGGAATCTGCCTTATAGCAGCTCCAACTATTTCTTCATTTAAGGCAATTCCAGCTTGCCATTATTTTCAGGTGAGATTCAGTCACGTACCAGCAAATTGAGGCTGCACAATTCAGGTTGATTTCAAGGTGTTGTGCAGGAAGCCAGCTCCTCCTCAAGCGAGTTGTCAGGCATAAGAAAAAACATTCTGACGCTTCGCTTCACCCCAGCAGTTCAGTTTTTGTAACAATTTTCCGTTTTGTAATATAATTCACTATTTTTTAAAAAAACGGGTAGGTGGGCCAACATTGTCCCCTGGAGGTTGAAGCCAGAACAGTAGACACCACAAAACGCCTGCATCACATTTCAAAGCAAAATACTGAAATCACAATCTAGTCAGTCTTTTTTTTTTTTTTTAATTTTTTAATTGGTTTTTCACATTTTATAAAGACATAACACACGTAAAAGACAAAGACAAAAAACATGTATAATTTCAAAAATCTTACTTTCTTAACTTTGGTCCATGACTTCCCCCCACCCCCCCTTCATACATCCCAATTCCCATAATTATGTCAGCAAGTTATTATTTTACCTCCTTACCCTGTTAATATTACATCTTTTGTAGAAGATTAAATTCTATCCTAAGTTGGGCTCAGATTCCCTTCCATCGATTTCCCATTTTTATTAAGCATCAATCATATTGACTAGACCCAAAAATCGTAAGTGTTTTTAAAATTCTATTTTCCCCCTCCCATCCCGGTTCGTCCCTTCCCAAGTACATTTCTACAATAGCAGTTCTTAGCCTGGATTTCTACATCCGAGGCCTTCAAGTCTCTTTCAGTCCCTCTCCGCCGGTTTTGTTGGTAGTCCTTTATGTTGGTCTTCGGATCTCGAAGGAGTTCTGTCCCAGTCAAGCCAGATTTTCTTCCCACAAGAAAAGTTAGAGACAACTGCTGCAAAAGTTCCACCAGTCCTTCATATTCAGAATGGAGGCCCTCATCATATTTCTTCTTTCTTTTAAGTTCTTGAATTCCAAGTACTCCAGGAGCCTCCTCCTTCATCTTTCGCATCTTTTGCAGATTTGTAATCCATGTAATCCAAGGGTCTTCTTGTTTATAATCCACATGTGTAGGCTTCTGGTTGGTACTTTCCATCTGTGCTTTCTCCTTTCCTTGTTTAGTCTCCTTCAATTCTTGTGATATCTGTTCCGATTCAGCTGCAGATTTTCTCTCATTCAGATCCTCAATACATTCAGCAGAGCTGCTTATTCCAGAAGTCAAGGTCGTAAGTTGTTTATTCATAGCCAGACTCTGCTCTTGTAAAGTTCCCACAAAGTAACACATTCTTTCTATTTCAGCTAGTAAATTTCCATCCGCAGCCATTGTAATGTCTCAGAATTCCCCCTAGAGGGATCTGGTTACTTAGTAATCTTTTCCCAACAGTCCTTTGCCTCGTTCTTTGTTTCTTTGTTTCGAACCACTTTAATTCAATTGTATCACATTTAGTCCAGGAGATCTTAAATAACACGCTTTTTACTTTAAATTGCCCGTTTGACAGCTTTAACAGCTGTCAAACTCCTTTCCTCTTCAACAGGCTCAAAGGCAGGACGCTCCCGGGCCTGGAAGGGGGTTACACACCACAAGAGAAAAAACTTCTAAAGTTCCACTCTTACACTCCAGCTCAAAACTTCTTTTATCAAATCGTGAAAGTTAATGTCTTTTTAACTCACCCCAAAGGGTAGACTCTCCAACTTAGTTCTCCTGCTATTGCTTTAAATCGTCTGCAGAAGGGGGTGCGGACTTCCCTTTAACACATCCCCGGTCGTATCAAATTCACAGATAGATATTTTAAAGTCCAATTCCAATCTACTCACGGGTTGCTTCTTTTCGAGTTCAATTTAAGGAAAAAAGTCAGTGCTCTTCAGCCATGGCACACGGCTCCGCTCCGCTGGGGTAGCGGTCTACGCCCAGCACCACGCCGCCGTCCGTGCCCTCTCCGAAGCCTTTAAAAGGCTCTTCGTGGGTCGGGGGCGCTTAAGGTGCCCACCGAGTCACCAGGTCCGCAGGCATCCGCGCCTGCGGTTTTTGAGGGTCTCCGCGTCGCCGTCGCGGCAAGACCCGTCCCCAGCGGAGCCGATTCCCTCCGGAGCTCGGAGAGAATCCGCCATTAGCTGTTCGCACCAACCCGGAAGTCTACAATCTAGTCAGTCTTAGTTACAGGTAGGTAGCCGTGTTGGTCTGTCGTAGTCGAAACAAAAAAAAAAAAAAAAAAAAAATCCTTCCAGTAGCACCTTAGAGACCAACTGAGTTTCTTACTGGTATGAGCTTTCGTGTGCATGAAGAATCTGAAGAAGTGTGGATGCTCACAAAAGCTCATACCAATAACAAACTCAGTTGGTCTCTAAGGTGCTACTGAAAGGAATTTTTTTAATTTTGTTTAGTCAGTCTTATGCATTCACATTCCCCTTGCTTTCCCCACCAGGAAGAAGGGTGTGTTCAACTTTGGTTGTGTGAAGTTGTGCTTGAAAACAACATTCACGGGAGGTCCTGCTTTGTATTGTTGTGGAAGGATCATAGTTTATTGCCAGTGAACACACACATGTATATTGAAAATGTGTGAATCTGTTTATTCTTCTACATAGTTCATACTCATTTTGATACAGCTATGCGGTGTCGCACATATCAGTTTAGATGCTAATTACTTTTGGAAACCTGGAATATATATTTTGTATAATGTTACACATATAACAATGTATATAATAATACATTGGCTCCCCATCTGTGGGATGCTCTCCCCAGGCAAGTTTGCCTGGCGCCTTCATTACACACCTTTTGGCGCCAGGCAGAAACGTTCCTTTTTAACCAGGCCTTTGGTTGATTTGATTTACTTCCTATGCCCTTTTAAAATGTGGTTTTTTTGTGGGGGAGGGTGGTTGCTTTTATTTTTATTGTGTATTTTGTGGTTTTATATCTTGATTTTATTCTGTGAACCGCCCTGAGACCCCTGGGTATAGGGCGGTATATAAATTTAATAAATAATAATAATAATAACCTCACAATGGTAACAAGCTGCTCAATAATAGATCAAACGACTTGAGAGATGATAGGATCTTCCACTATGGTGGCATTTAAGCGATGGACGGGAAGCTACATGTCAGATATGCTGAGGTTTGCAAGATTCCGGCATTCAGCAGTTAGATGAACTCCAACGTCCCATCCAGAAGGTACTCAAAAATGATAAATTTTGCCAGTACAGTGGTACCTCGGGTTAATAACTTAATTCGTTCCGGAGGTCCGTTCTTAACCTGAAACTGTTCTTAACCTGAGGTACCACTTTAGCTAATGGGGCCTCCCACTGCTGCCACGCCCCCACCGTGCGATTTCTGTTCTTATCCTGAAGCAAAGTTCTTAACCCGAGGTACTATTTCTGGGTTAGCGGAGTCTGTAACCTGATGCGTCTGTAACCCAAGGTACCACTGTATTATACACCCCGATCATTCATGGCCTGTTGGCGGTTCCCTAAATAAAACCAAAAGGACACAAAGACAATAGATCAGGCTTCCTCAAACACGGCCCTCCAGATGTTTTAAGACTACAATTCCCATTATCCCTGACCACTGCTAGCTAGGGATCGTGGGAGTTGTAGGCCAAAAACATATGGAGGGCCGAGTTTGCAGAAGTCTGCAATAGATAGTACTGAAAACTATCAAAGCAGTCAAAACCCAGACAACATCAGAAAGCCAGTAAATAGCATTCAAAACCAGCAAGGGGGATCATAGGAGCCAACTCCTAGGGGCTGAAGTCCCTTTGCCCTCCCTCCAAGAAAATGTTTGATGGGGCTGCCTCTCCCCCCCCCCCCAGTTGATGGGCATTGCCATTCAAATGGTGCTGTGTGGGTCGTGTCCTGTGATCAGCGTTGTGGGGCAGGGCTTACTTGTCTCTCCCCCCTAAGAATATTTTATTCAGGTTGACCCCCCTGAGGAGAATACAATTTAGCCAGGAGGTTGGAAATTGCAAATAAACAGTGTTCTCAGAAGTGGAAGTTCTTGGCCTTCCTGATTTCTGATTCTTCCGGTCATTTTAACGATTTCAGCATCATCCATCAACTTGATCTGTCATTCTTCTCTGGTATAAGCCAGCTCCTGAGCGATCCTTGTTTGAAAACTCTAGGGGAAGTGTGAGAGAGAGGTTTTTGTATCAGTTCCCCATTAGACTGTACCACCGTGGAACACGTTACTTACCCAGTCAGCACAGTAATAAACCGCCTCGTCTTCAGCCTGGACATTGGAGATGGTTAAATAGTAAGTGTTCCCAGAGGTGGAGGCAGCGAACCGATCAGGGATCCCGTCTCCCCGGGTGCTGGTAGCATAGAACATGAAACGAGGCGCCTGTCCACCTTTCTGTTGATACCAGCTATAAGCATACAAGCTGCCACTACTTCTAGAGCAGGAGAGTTTGACAGTTTGACCCGGGAGCACAGACTCAGAGGCAGGCTGGATCAATGTTGTCTGCGATGTGACACCTTTGCAGAAAGAAAAATCAAATAAAAGCACATGAATCATTTCCAGTGTTCTCAAATATTAGGAAAGACTATAGCTTTCTTGCTGGTACATGCATCATTTTCTGTGCCCTCAGATTTCAGAAAATTATTATCTTCTTGTGAAAAGTAACAGAAGTCAAGTCAAATAATACATTAGGTCTCCACAAACATACCTGAACAGTAACTGAGACATGTGACGAGAAGAAGGATCCAGGCCATGGTGAATGTCAAAAGGAGGGTGGATCCCACAAACAGATCTCTAATCCTGTGGCACCTCCCTACCACCCTCTTAAATCACCTGGGAAATGAGGTACGAGCAATTATGCAAATACCTCGACACCCGTTGGCCTTGCTAGAAAGAATATGAGGAAATGCAGGGAACATCCAGCAGATGACCACAGAACAGATTTTGCATGAAGGGGGTGTTTTCACAGAAGATTGAAGCTTCTATGTATTGTTTAGGTCATGATTGGGGAGCTATAGAACCAGGGGCTGAACATGACCTCCCAAAATTATTATTATTATTATTATTATTATTATTATTATTATTATTATTAATATTATTATTATTATTATTACCCACCCATCTGGCTGGGCTGCCCCAGCCACACTGGGTGGCTAACAGTTTACATAAAACATAGTAAAACTTCAAACATAAATTTTCCATTGCAGGGCTGCCTTCAGATGTCTTCTGATAGTTGTGTAGTTCTTTATCTCTTTGACATCTGATGGGAGGGCATTCCAGAGGCAGGGTGCCACTGTCAAGAAGGCCCTCTCCCTGGTTCCCTGTAACCTCACTTCTCACAGTGAGGGAAGCAGCAGAAGACCCTCGGAGGAAGACCTCAGTGTCCGGGCTGAGCAATGGAAGGTGGAGAAGCTCCTCCAGATATTTCCTTTTGTGGCTCTCAGGACGTGCTCAGAACTTGCCCTCTTTAGGCCACATGCCTCACTTACATGGTGCTGTGGTCCCCAATGATTCTGCCTGGCTTGAACATATCCCTGAATGTTGATGATGCTTAATAATAATAATAATAATAATATGCAAACGTATTTAAGCACTCCTTGTTGAAAGAAGCCAACCCACCACCCTCCTTTCTCAGATTCAGGGACTCACAACAAAGGTGGAAATTAAGAAATAAAATCAGCTCCCGAACTCTGAAGCTTTGTCCAGGTTGCAATGGAAACTTCTCTCCATGGCAAACTATGATTACGAGGGAGGAGTGGCTCATCAGCACTGCTCCTCATGCAAATGTCTCCTAAGCGAGTCCTCAGGCATAAGAAAAAACATTCTGACGCTTCGCTTCACCCCAACAGTTCAGTTTTTGTAACAATTTTCCGTTTCGTAATATAATTCACTTTTTTTTAAAAAAACGGGTAGGTGGCCCAACATTGTCCCCTGGAGGTTGAAGCCAGAACAGTAGACACCACAAAACGCCTGCATCACATTTCAAAGCAAAATACTGAAATCACAATCTAGTCAGTCTTAGTTACAGGTAGGTAGCCGTTTTTGTCTGCCATAGTCAAAACAAAATAAAAAAATTCCTTCCAGTAGCACCTTAGAGACCAACTGAGTTTCTTATTGGTATGAGCTTTCGTGTGCATGAAGAATCTGAAGAAGTGTGGATTTCCAAGGTATGACTGTATTTTTTATTATTATTATTTTGAGAAAACGCAAGCCGAAAACTCACCCACTAATCCAAGATGAAATGATTATTTAATTAAGGATTTTCTTCATAGCTGTAATTTCAGCAGTGCTCTTCTAAGGTTGAATTTGAATTTATGACATTCCAAATGAAGTTTACATAATAAATTCCAGTTTTCAAGGAATCCCACTCTGCCTGCTTTGGATCCTTTTTGCATCTTGCCAATATCTGTTAGCTTTCTAGTTTCAACATTATTAATCCAAGACTTGGATTTCACAGCAAATTTTGATCTCAGTATTAGGGGAGTAATGCTAAGTAACAGCTTCTCTCTGTTACACCTTTTCCCACTCTTTGGTTCAGTTTTCCATATTTTGACACAAGAAGAAGAAGAAGAAGAAGGAGGAGGAGGAGGAGGAGGAGGAGGAGGAGGACACTGACAAACTGGAACGTGTCCAGAGGAGGGCAACCAAAATGGTCAAAGGCCTGGAAACGATGCCTTATGAGGAACCGCTAAGGGAGCTGGGCATGTTTAGCCTGGAGAAGAGGAGGTTAAGGGGTGATATGATAGCCATGTTCAAATATATAAAAGGATGTCACATAGAGGAGGGAGAAAGGTTGTTTTCTGCTGGTCCAGAGAAGCGGACACGGAGCAATGGATCCAAACTACAAGAAAGAAGATTCCACCTAAACATTAGGAAGAACTTCCTGACAGTAAGAGCTGTTTGACAGTGGAATTTGCTGCCAAGGAGTGTGGTGGAGTCTCCTTCTTTGGAGGTCTTTAAGCAGAGGCTTGACAACCATATGTCAGGAATGCTCTGATGGTGTTTCCTGCTTGGCAGGGGGTTGGACTCGATGGCCCTTGTGGTCTCTTCCAACTCTATGATTCTAAGAAGAAGAAGAAGAAGAAGAAGAAGAAGAAGAAGAAGAAGAAGAAGAAGAAGGAGAAGAAGAAGAAGGCAAAGTCCTTATTAATGCTTTTAGTTCATTTTCTCCACAGATATATAATTTTGCCTTATATTCATGTTTCTGTACAACAATTTTCCCTGGGGTCAAAAGGAAAGCACTTCAGAAGGACATTTTCCTGCCCTTGCCATGTAGAAGATCTTGTAATAATAATAATAATAATAATAATAATAATTTATTTATACCCCACCCATCTAGCTGCGTTTCCCCAGCCACTCTGGGCAGCTCCCAACGGAATATTAAAAACACGATAAAAAATCGGACCCAGGACGTTCTGCATGCAAAACAGGTATTCTCCCCTGAGCTTTGGCCCTTCTAAGTCGGAAGTGGCTTTATTGCCAACAAGGCCAGTGAAAACATGAAGAGCATTGTTTATTGGGACATGTGTCAGATATTTAATACAAGGTCATATCTCCAATAGGATTCTTTAGTCTAAATAACTTGATAACTTTTAATGCACGTTCTTGTCGAAAACTAACAAAAGTCATTCACGTGCAGCTATGCTCTTGAATGATTCAGGATTCTACACTCATAAGAAAGAACAGAGAAGGTTTTTGTCTCAGTTCCCCATCAGTTTATTTCACTGTGGAACGTGTCACTGTCAAGCTCGAAGTCACAACAAAAATAAACTGCTTCATCTGCAGCCTCGATGTTAGAGATAGTTAATGAGCCCGAGTCAGAACCGGTGAAGCGAGCTGGGACCCCTTCTCCCCGGGTGCTGGATCCATACCACAGAAAACGGGGAGGCTGTCCAGGTTTCTGTTGATACCAGTGAATATCATCCCAGGAAGTAGCACCATTTCTAGAGCAGGAGAGTGTAGCAGTTTGGCCCAGAGACACCGACTGGGAGGCAGGCTGAGTCAAACTGGGTTGTGAAGTGACACCTTTCATAAAAAAAAGAGAAAGAAACCATGACTTTGGCATTCAAATACCATAGAAGCTTTATCTCCCTCTGGCAGATAAAGTTTTGATGTTACCCAACATGATGTGCATCTTCCACACTCTTACCTGAGCAGTAGCTGAGAAGTTACAGTAAAAGCAGGTACCAGGCCATGGTAAGACTCCTTTAGAGTCTGACTAAAGATCTAGATGGGATCTTCTTCCCCCTCTCTGAAATCCCCCGGAAATATCAACTGTCTCCTTCGCGCAGATTGGTTGTATGCTCATTGGTTCTGCAAGAGTGTCTTTATCTACTTGCTTCTCTCCGTGAAAAGCCAATGATCAAAGGAGAAATTTGCATGATGATGTTGAGGGCAGGCCTCACTCTGGCCAAGATAAAAATTAAGGGGTCATAGTGTTACCAAATACAGTGGTACCTCAGGTTACAGAGGCTTCAGGTTACAGACACTTCAGGTTACAGACTCCGCTAACCCAGAAATAGTACCTTGGGTTAAGAACTTTGCTTCAGAATGAGAACAGAAATTGCGCGGTGGCAGCAGGAGACCCCATTAGCTAAAGCGGTCTTCAGGTTAAGAACAGTTTCAGGTTAAGAACGGACCTCTGGAACAAATTAAGTTCTTAACCTGAGCTACCACTGTACAGTCATACCCCAGCTCCTGAACATCTTGGGAGTCGAATGCTTTGGCTCCCGAATGATTGAAAACCAGAAGTGAGTGTTCCTGTATTCGAACGTTAAATTGGAAGCCAAATGTTTGATGGGGCTTCTGCAGCTTCCAATTGGCTGCAGGAGCTTCCTGCAGCCAATGAGAAGCCGCCCTTCGAAAGTCAAACGTTTCGGAAGTCAAACGGACTTCCGGAATGGATTCTGTTTGACTTCCGAGGTACAACTGTACATAACCTAAGGGCAGATGATGCCCAGGGTTCATCACAGTAGAATGAGCAGAAGGTTCCCTAAATGCACCAGTTATGAAGTGGAGCAACACCCACTGCCATATAAAGACCCTCCCATCCCATTTAGTTCATTAAGTCCACAGCTGAAATTTTTCAGAACTCTGGGTGGGGGACATTGTTCAGATAGAGAACTACAAGCCCATCTGGATCATGTTCTGGATAATGAGGGAGGGGGGCTGAGGTGAAAGTGGGTGGAGCAACATCTAGTGATGTTACCTTTGTAGCATAGGCTGGTTTCTAGCTCTCACTCCCCTTTCTTATCAATTCAGACAATCTAGAAGTGTTGTCAGAATTCAAGGACACAATCCAGATGACCAGAAACACGCAAGGAGACCACATAGCAGAGGGGGTGAGTGATGTGGCCTGGATGGAGGGGTATGTCTTAAGATGGGCATGATCTGTGGCTATCTTGAAGGGTCATCTAGAAAGGCCTGGACATGGAGATGCAAAGTCGTGGAGGGAAAGTTCCTTCATATGTGGTGGACTTGTAAAAGGGAATGAGAGTATTGGGAAATGATCCATAATGAATTGGAAAAAATGTTTCAAAGTACTCCCCACTCCACCCCACCCCCAGAGTCCTCTCTGTTGGGGATAATTCAGACTGAAATTCCCAGGTGTCAAAAAAGGTGATTTATGTATGCCACTATTGCGACCCGTGTTTTGTTAGCCCCCAAATGGAAAACAAGCGAAGTCCCAACCAAAGAAGAATGGCAACTTAAGTTGACAGAATATGTACAACTTGCAGACTTAACACATAGAAACAGAGAACAAGAAGAACATATATTCAGAGAAGATTGGAAAACATTTATTGAATATATGGGAAATAATTGTGTACAGCTGAAAACATTGGCAGCATTAAGATAAATTCAAGTGTTGATGGATGTAATAATGGAATACTGAATGGTTTAAGTTTATGTAAAATATGCAGGGATTTATGATATGTAAAATGAACCATGGAAGAGAAGAGGGAAGTCATTGCTATTTTAAGGATGTAAAAATGAGTACAGTGGTACCTCGGGTTAAGTACTTAATTATTTCCGGAGGTCCGTTCTTAACCTGAAACTGTTCTTAACCTGAAGCACCACTTTAGCTAATGGGGCCTCCTGCTGCTGCCGCGCCTCCGGAGCACAATTTCTGTTCTTACCCTGAAGCAAAGTTTTTAACCTGAAGCACTATTTTTGTGTTAGCGGAGTCTGTAACCTGAAGCGTATGTAACCTGAGGTACCACTGTATTTTAAAATGGAAAACAGAAAATTTAATAAAAAATTATATACAAAGAGGAAAAAAAAGACGCCTGAACTTTGCCCCCAGTTGTGGGAACTTACAAAGCTTTCCAAAGCTAGATCGTGGGTTAACTGGATGAGAGCGAGGTTATCGTTTGATTTCTGTGCCTGAATGAGTAGGAAAGACGGGGCAGTTGGCGGTGGAAACTTGAGCAGATATGTCCTTCCTGAGCATGTCCTCCTTCATTTGCTTCACAGCTGCAGGTGGTGCATGGGCTTTCTGTGACTGGTAAATTCTATGAGATATGGGGAAGTTGGTCCATCTTACAGGCCAAAAGTAGACAGCCAACATTCTACAGACAGTGGTACCTCAGGTTAAGTACTTTATTCATTCCGGAGGTCCGTTCTTAACCTGAAACTGTTCTTAACCTGAAGCACCACTTTAGCTAATGGGGCCTCACACCGCCGCCATGTGATTTCTGTTCTCTTTTTTTTTTTTTAAAGCAATTTATTGGGTTTTACAATAAAAATAAACATATTAAACAATATGACCTTTGTCTTGACATAATTTTCACATTTTCTTTGGACTTCCTCACATCTCCCGCTCCCACTTTCATCGTTATAACATTTTGTCAGCAATTTATCATCTTATTTAAATTCTTATATCGCTTCTATATTTCATAATCTTATAATTTTCAAAGGGAGTTAAATTTTCACAGTCTTACTTATTTTCATAGAAAACTTCTAAATTTAGTGGTGCTCAGTTATTTTAGTCTAGCATCTTATTTAGCATTCACTCAAATTACAATATTTTTGTAAATAGTTCTTAAATTTCTTCCAATCCTCCTCAATCTTTTCTTCTCCCAGGTCACGGATTCTGCCGGTCATTTCAGCCAGTTCCATGTAGTCTATCAGTTGCATCTGCCATTCTTCCAGTGTGGGTAGATCTTGAGTTTTCCAATGTTTTGCGAGGAGTATCCTTGCTGCTGTTGTTGCATACATAAAAAATATCTGATCTTTCCTTGCCACCCCTTGGCCGACAATACCCAAAAGGAAAGCCTCTGGTTTCTTAGTGAAGGTATACTTAAATACCTTTTTCAATTCGTTATAAATCATCTCCCAGAACGCCTTCACTTTAGGGCAAGTCCACCAGAGGTGGAAGAACGTTCCCTCAGACTCTTTACATTTCCAACACTTATTATCAGACAGGTGGTAAATTTTTGCAAGTTTGACTGGGGTCATATACCATCTATAAATCATTTTCATTACATTTTCTTTCAGAGCGTTACATGCAGTAAACTTCAATCCATTACTCCACAACCTTTCCCAGTCCTCAAACATAATATTATACCCAATGTCCTGTGCCCACCTTATCATAGCCGATTTAACCGTTTCATCTTGTGTATTCCATTCCAACAGCAAGTTATACATCCTTGAAAGTACCTTAATCTTTGGTTCTAACAATTCTGTTTCTAGTTTCGATTTCTCCACCTGGAACCCTAATTTCTTATCATTTTTAAAAACTTCTTTAATCTGAGCGTAATGTAACCAATCTCGCACTTTGTCTTTCATTTTCTCCAAACTCTGCAATTTCCAATTGTCTCCATCCTTTTCTAATATTTCCCAATATTTTGGCCATTTAGCCTCCATATTGGGTCTTTTTCGGGCCTTAGCTTCCAAAGGTGAAAGCCACCTTGGTGTTTTGTTTTCCAGCAAGTCTTTATATTTTATCCAGACATTAAACAGTGATTTTCTGACAATATGGTTCTTGAAGGCCTTATTTGCTTTAACTTTGTCATACCATAAATATGCATGCCATCCAAAAACATTGTTAAACCCTTCCAGATCTAACACATCAGTGTCTTCAAGAAGTAGCCAGTCTTTTAGCCAGCAGAACGCTGCGGCTTCATAATACAACTTTAAGTCTGGCAGGGCAAAGCCCCCTCTTTGTTTTGCATCAGTTAATATCTTAAACTTAATTCTGGGCTTTTTGCCCTGCCAGACAAACTTAGAAATATCTCTCTGCCACTTCTGAAAGCACTCCATTTTGTCCAAAACCTGAAGTGTCTGAAATAAAAACAACATCCTTGGCAATACATTCATCTTAATAGCAGCAATTCGGCCTAACAAAGAAAGTTTCAATTTTGACCAACTATCTAAGTCTCTTTTAATTTCTGTCCAGCATTTTTCATAGTTGTCCTTAAATAGACTTAGATTTTTTGCTGTTATGTTTACCCCTAGGTATTTTACTTTTTTAACCACATTGAGTTCCGTCTCATTCTGAAACCGTTCTGACTCTGTATCAGTCAAATTTTTCCCCAAAACCTTAGTTTTCTGTTTATTTAATTTAAATCCAGCCACCCGACCAAAATCATTAATCAATTGTAATACTCTTTTCGTACTGGGCTCTGGCTTCTGCAGGGTCAAAACCAGGTCATCTGCAAAAGCTTTTAGTTTATATTGTTTCTGACCGACCTGAATTCCTTCCACCAACCGATCCCCTCTAATCATGTTCAATAGCACTTCCAGAACCGAAATGAATAACAAAGGGAGATAGGGCAACCTTGTCGTGTCCCTTTTTCAATTTTGAACTCTTCTGTGACCACATTATTAACTATCAGTTTAGCTTTCTGTTCTGAATATATCGCCTCAATCCCATTCTCAAAACCCCGTCCCACTCCCATCTCTTTTAAATTTCCCATCATAAATTTCCAGGAGATATTGTCAAAGGCCTTCTCCGCATCTATGAAAATTAGAACTGCTTTTGTATTTATATCTGTTTGCAGAAGTTCCAAAATGTCAATAATGTTCCTTGTATTAGCAAACAGATGTCTACCTGGGAGAAAACCGGCCTGGTCCTTATGAATTACTTCATTTAAGACTTTTTAAATCTACTTGCCAAAATATCTGCAAATATTTTGTAATCCACATTTAAAAGGGAGATGGGGCGGTAGTTCTTAAGTTGTGTCTTTTCAGCTTCCGACTTTGGTATCAATGTGATAAACGCTTCCTTCCACGAATCCGGTGCCCTCTTCCCTTCCAAAATTTCATTGCTGACCTCCATCAAAGGTTGTATCAAATAGTCTTTTAATGTCTTATAATACTTGGAGGTCAGCCCATCTGGCCCTGGAGATTTGCCAAGTTGCATGTTCTGAATAGCTTGTTCAATCTCCTGTCGTGTTATTTTAGAATTCAGGATTGTCCTATTTTCTTGTGACAATTTAGATAGTCCATTTTTTGCCAAAAATTGTTTAATCTCAACTTCGTCTTGCGGCCCTTGGGTGTATAATTTTTTGAAATATCTCTGGAAACACTTTCTAATATCCACTGGATTCTGAATGTTTTTCCATCAACCTCTAAGTTTGTAACCGTGTTTAATCTTTGTCTTCTCTTCAACTGCCAAGCTAGCAGTTTTCCACATTTATTCGCCGACTCAAACGTTTTTGTTTCATTAATTTAACCTTCCATTCGATTTCCTGATTTATCAATTTAGAATATTGTGTTTGATAAAGTTTAATTTCTCTCAGAGTTGGCTGTGACTTTGGATTCACTCTTAATTTCTTCTCTAATTCTTTTATTTTATCCAAGATCTTATCTTTTTCTCATTTTGTGTTCTTTTCTTTACTACATTCTGTTGTCTCAAGAATCCCCTCATTACTGCTTTGCTTGCGTCCCAGACGATTCTTTTTCCACCGAATTGTTCATGTTTATCTCAAAATAGTCCTTCAAAACTTTTTGGGCCTTCTTGGTAATTTCCTGATCTCTAAACAAATTGTCATTCATCTTCCATCTAAAGGATCCAGTTGGTAGTAGTGTCATATCCATCTTTACTGCATTATGGTCAGAGCAGGTCTTTGGGCAGATTTCCACTTTTCTGACCTTAGGTGCCAGGCCTCTAGAAATCCATATTTGGTCGATTCTTGTCCAGGTCAGTTGGGCTTCAGAAAAAAATGTTCCTTCTCTACCTAGTGGGTTCTTTGTCCTCCAAATGTCAATCAAATCCATATTGTCAGTCATTTCAAAAAAGGTTTTAGGTAGTCTGCCGTCTTTTGTAACATTTTGACTTTGTGACTTGTCCATGTTAGTTGACACGACCCCGTTCATATCTCCCATCATTATGATGTTGTTGTAATCCAGATAGTCCAGCATTGTCCCCTGCAGCTTCTTGTAAAATTCCGATTTCCCTTCATTAGGTGCATAAATTCCTAATATCAACAGTTTCTCTCCTTGATATTGTATCTCAATGGCCAAAATTCTTCCGTGTTCATCTTTAAATAAAAATTTAGGTGACAGGCTCTCTTTTGCATATATCACCACGCCTCTCTTCTTAACTTTGTCCGACGAAACAAATTCCTGGCCCAATCTTTTATTTATTAACACTTTTCTGTGGAGCCTCGTCACATGTGTTTCTTGTAAACAGATAATGTCCAATTGTTCTTTTTTAATATATGAAATATTTTCTTCCTTTTTCCGGAATGTTACAACCATTAATATTCCAACTCAGCAATTGCAGAGACATCCTGGATCTATCTGGTTATTTCTCCAGGGGTGGTGTCTTCTCTGGATCTTCAGGTTCCCCAGGTGCTGGTGTTAATGCTGGCTCTGCCCCAGGCCCAGAAGGTAATTCAATTCCTTTTTGAAGGTCCTCTCCGTATGTAGCCAAAAATTTGTCTCTCTCTTCCAATGTTCTAACTTTGACCTTTCTCCCTTTAAAGGTAAAAGATATTCCTTGGGAAAATTCCCACCTGAATGGAATTGCGTTGCTCCTTAGTAGTTTAGCAAGTTCAGAATAGGCAGCTCTAAGATCCAGCAGTTGTCTTGGAATATCTTTATAAATTTCAATTCTTCTGTCCAAAACCTCCAGTGACTTTCCGTAATGTAGGCCCAAAATCTTATCCCTTTCCTCCTTTGATCTCAATGTAATCAAACAGTCTCTGGGCCTCTCCTTCTTTATGAATCTTCCAAGTCTGAAAGCCGACACAATTTTAAAATCCTTTTCTTCCAAATTCCAGAACTTGGAAAATTCTTTAGTCAAAAACTCAGTTAAATTTCCTTCTTCTGCCTCTTGTAATGATCTAATCCTCAAATTATTCTCACGATTTCGCAGTTCTATCATAGAAAGATAAGTCTGATGTTCCCCAACTTGTTTAGTGAGTGGTCTTACCTCTTGCTCTAAATTTTCCAATTTTTGTCTAGTATCCTCAGCCAATTTCCGATTTTCTGCTGAGGCCTCCGTTAACTGTCCAATTGCTTGTGTATTCTGTACCACTTGTATGGTTAATTTATTTAGACATTCAGTATTTTTGTCAATCTTTGCTGATTGCGCATCTACTTTCTTGTCCAAAGCTTCCAATTTTTCAAAGATTTTGTCTAGAACAGAGACAGATGCTCCTGAGGCCATATCTTCCAATTGTAACTGCTCTGCTTCACCCTCTCCCTCTTTTGCCTGTGGCAAGGCGACTTCTTCAAGTTCTACTTCTGAGGGCAAAGTAGGTACAGATGATCTACGTGTCTGCGAGGCTGAGGTTAGAGTTGTTAAAGTTGTTTGTCTAACTCTCCCTCTTTCCTTGTGCCACTCATTCCAACGTTGTCTATCAGTCAAGGTCACACTGAGTTTTTCCCATGGGAATAGAAAGGCCCAGAGCAAGCAAACAACAAGGGAATCGAAAGTAAATGTAGATGTAAAGTCACTGTTTTAATCCAATCCTCTAGAGGGAGCTTAAAATGTCTTTCAGAGTCTAATTTAATGTCCAAGAACCTTCAAATATAAATGTTTAGCAGAGTTTATAAGTAGTCACTTTGTTACAGACAGTGCTTATTTGTCTCCAAAAAGAATGTTTCAAATTTAAAAAGTCTCAATGCCCTCAGATTGTTGCAAGTTCCAATATACAGTGTCCAAATCTGCAATACTGACAGCTCAATCTCTCAATGCTCAGGCAGCTCCTGACTCTGGGTTTCACCTTCTAATTTGTAATCCAATAAAAGGAGGAAAGTCAAGTGCAAGTTAAAATTCCAAATCTTTAGCTTAATGTCTTTACTTTAAATTGCAAGTTCAATAGATGCTTAGATCTGTAAAGTTTAAAATCTCTTTCTTTCAGCCTCCACTCCTCCAACTTAGTTGCTTTTTTCAAGTTCAATGGCTGCGGAAGACGGACTTCCTGTTTCCACGTCTCTCCGCTTTCAGCCAAGTTCAAGCCAATTTAAGATTTTTCATTTAAAGTCTCTAATTTCAAGTGATTCAGTCTTTACTCACGAGTAAGTTGCTTTTCGTCCGAATCCGTATTTTAACAGGAAAAAGGATCAGCGCTCACCGGCAGCAGCAGCGCGGCTTCACTCCGCAGACTGTGAAGCAGCTCTCAGCGCCGCAACCCCCCTCCACGCTCCGGAGCCCCTTACGAGGTTCCTTTTACGTTTGGAGGGTCACTTAAGGCGCCCACCGAGCCTCAAGACCCCAAGCTCTTGCTGCCTGGGGTTTTCCGGAGTGGGTCTCCGCTTCGCCGTAGCGGACGACCCGTTGTCTGCGGAGCCTCCTCTCCCGTTCAGAAGAGGACCGCCATTGCCGTTCGCGCCGCCCCTCGGAAGTCCCATGTGATTTCTGTTCTCATCCTGAAGCAAAGTTCTTAACCCGAGGTACTATTTCTGGGTTAACAGAGTCTGTAACCTGAAGCGTATGTAACCTGAGGTACCACTGTACAAGATTTGAGAAAATGTGTGTGGGGTGGTGGGGAGGACAAAGCCCCACCCTTTAATCAGAGCTGAATTCAGACGTGCAAGTTCTGTCAGGGTCTCTGTCAGGTGCAAATGTGAATTCACATAGCCGCAAGCGAAGTTGAGCAAAGAATTCCCAGGAGTCCAGTTGCAGCAGCAGCAGCCTCCTTGAGACTGTTTCAGGTTGACCATTTTGTATCCAATAGCTTGTGAAGGTTGGATTTGCATGAACTGCAAAACCTCATTTAAACGGTGGTGTCAGAGACTGGACTGAAGAGGAGGAGGAGTGTCCCGTCCCCGCCTTCTCCTGTAGCTGCCTCCTTTTGCCCAATGATTTTGCCTGGCTTGAACATATCGCTGAATGTTGATGATGCTTAATTATAATAATAATAATAGGGACGCAGGTGTCTCTGTGGGTTAAACCACAGAGCCTAGGACTTGCTGATCAGAAGGTTGGCGGTTCAAATCCCCGTGACAGGGTGAGCTCCCGTTGCTCGGTCCCTGCTCCTGCCAACCTAGCAGTTCAAAAGCACGTCAAAGTGCTTCCGGCGGGAAGGTAAACGGCGTTTCCGTGCGCTGCTCTGGTTCGCCAGAAGCGGCTTAGTCACGCTGGCCACATGACCCGGAAGCTGTACGCTGGTTCCCTCGGCCAATAAAGCAAGATGAGCGCTGCAACCCCAGAGTCGGTCACGACTGAACCTAATGGTCAGGGGTCCCTTTACCTTTAATAATAATAATATGCAAACGTATTTAAGCACTCCTTGTTGAAAGAAGCCAACCCACCACCCTCCTTTCTCAGATTCAGGGACTCACAACAAAGGTGGGAATTAAGAAATAAAATCAGCTCCCGAACTCTGAAGCTTTGTCCAGGTTACAATGGAAACTTCTCTCCATTGCAAACTGTGATTATGGAGGGGGGGGGGAGTGGCTCATCAGCACTGCTCCTCATGCAAATGTCTCCTAAGCGAGTCGTCAGGCATAAGAACAGCCAGTTGTGTCTAAGACAGCCAGTTGTGTCTGCCTTGGTGTTGAAACCTTTTATTTATGGGAATCTGCATTATAGCAGCTCCAACTATTTCTTCATTTAAGGCAATTCCAGCTTGCCATTATTTTCAGGTGAGATTCAGTCACGTACCAGCAAATTGAGGCTGCCCAATTCAGGTTGATTTCAAGGTGTTGTGCAGGAAGCCAGCTCCTCCTCAAGCGAGTAGTCAGGCATAAGAAAAAACATTCTGACGCTTCGCTTCACCCCAACAGTTCAGTTTTTGTAACAATACTGAAATCACAATCCAGTCAGTCTTAGTTACAGGTAGGTAGCCGTGTTGGTCTGTCGTAGTCGAAACAAAATAAAAAAATTCCTTCCAGTAGCACCTTAGAGACTAACTGAGTTTCTTACTGGTATGAGCTTTCATGTGCATGAAGAATCTGAAGAAGTGTGGATGCTCACAAAAGCTCATACCAATAACAAACTCAGTTGGTCTCTAAGGTGCTACTGAAAGGAATTTTTTTAATTTTGTTTAGTCAGTCTTATGCATTCACATTCCCCTTGCTTTCCCCACCAGGAAGAAAGGGTGTGTTCAACTTTGGTTGTGTGAAGTTGTGCTTGAAAACAACATTCACGGGAGGTCCTGCTTTGTATTGTTGTGGAAGGATCATAGTTTAGTGGCAGTGAACACACACATGTATATTGTAAATGTGTGAATCTGTTTATTCTTCTACATAGTTCGTACTCATTTTGATACAGCTATGCGGTGTCGCACTATATCAGTTTAGATGCTAATTCCTTTTGGAAACCTGGAATATATATTTTGTATAACGTTACACATATAACAATGTATATAATAATACATTGGCTCCCCATCTGTGGAATGCTCTCCCCAGGCGAGTTTGCCTGGCGCCTTCATTACACACCTTTTGGCGCCAGGCAGAAACGTTCCTTTTTAACCAGGCCTTTGGTTGATCTGATTTACTTCCTATGCCCTTTTAAAATGTGGGGGTTTTTTGTGGGGGAGGGGAGCTATTGGGTGGTTGCTTTTACTTTTATTATGTATTTTGTGGTTTTATATCTTGATTTTATTCTGTGAACCTCCCAGAGACCCCTAGGTATAGGGCGGTGTGATGGGAAGATGAGCTGCTTGTGCGTAAAATCGTATTCCCTCAGAGTTTGTTCAAGTCCACAAACCTCTGTCTGTGACTGAGCCCCTCTGACATGGCTCCTCTAGTCACTAGAAGATTCCGACAGTGGTTGCTTTCGTAATCGCTTCCAACATAAAAGCTCCTTAACGGAATTTCGTCTTCTGGACTATCTGCTTGACAGTTTCCGGCGAGGAGTGGGTGTCCATTCAGGAGGTCCGGAAACATCACCACTGTTTTCGATTTAAGTATCTCTGAGCCATCCCCCAGCTCCCTTTCCCTCAGTTCAGCTTCTCTCCCCTGCTGGTTTCCTCTTCAGCTGCTGAGTCTCTTCCAACCTGTCTGAGCCCTTTCACCTCCCTCAGTTCAGCTTCTCTCCCTTGCTGGTTCCCTCTTCAGCTGCTGAGTCTCTTCCAACCTGTCTGAGTCCTTTTCACCTCCCTTCCTTCCGATGGCAGTTCCCTGACATCCACCTCCCCCTCCAGGGCCCCCTTCACCGCCTCTCGCCCCTCCTCTACGGGCGGTGAGGAGGCAAAACCCGGAATGAACTTCCTTCATCTTCCGATGTCTCGAACACTTCTCTCCACCTGTTGCGGTTCCTGGTCTCGAAGCACTCCTCCTCCTCCGAGTCCATCTCCCCTCCCCTTCCGATTCTGGGAATCCTTCCAACTCCTCCTCCTCCTCAGTGGTCCCAAAGTATTCCCTCCGGAACCTCTCCACAGGCTGAGGTTTCCTCGGGAACCTTTGATGGAACGTTTCTATCAATACCTCGTCATTGATATCTTCGGCCATTACCCACGTGTTTTCTGACTCCGGTTCTCCTTCCCACGCTACCAAATACTCCACCTGATTCCCCTTCCACCTGGCATCAAGGATTTCTGCCACATGACTGCTGCATTCTCTTTCTTCTATGACCGGTCCCCGAGTGGCCATCCCTTCTCGTCCCCTCGTACGGTGACAGTAACGACCTGTGAAATACTGGGTGCAGTTTCATGTGGTTGGGTAACCGGAGCCTGAAAGCCACTGGGTTGACCTGTTGAATGACCTCAAAGGGACCCAACCTCCTGGGTCTTAATTTCTTACAACCTCCTTTGAGCGGCAGCCCTCGGGTTGACAGCCACACCCTATCTCCAACCCTTATGGTTTCACCTTCCCTTCGGTTCTTGTCTGCCTGCCTCTTGTATTCTTCCTTCGCCCTTTCTAAGTTGAGTTGGAGCTGACGGTGGATTGCTTCCATTTCTTCTACAAAATGCTCGGCTGCCGGTACGCTCCATCTCTCCCCTTCTCCCCTGGGAAAGCCCTGGGATGACACCCATAATTAGCCAAGAAGGGGCTCATCCCTGTGGACACATTCTCGGCATTGTTGTAGGCAAATTCCGCCAGCGCCAACTTTTCTACCCAGTCATTCTCTCTGTCATTGACATAACACCTCAGGTATTGCTGGAGGACACCGTTTGCTCTTTCCGCCTGCCCGTTGGTTTCAGGGTGCCGGGCAGTCGAGAAGTTGACCTCCACCTGCAGTAAGCTCATGAGCTTCCTCCAGAACCTGGAAGTAAATTGTTTTCCTCGGTCTGAGACCACCCTCAATGGCACCCCGTGCAACCTAAAAATGTGTTCTACAAATAACTTCGCTGTCTCTTCCGCCGTGACTGCATGCGAGCAAGCTACAAAGTGGCACATCTTTGTTAGTAGGTCTACCACCACCATGATGGCTGTTTTCCCTTTGGACTTCGGCAGATCAGTCATAAAATCTATCGACACTGCCTCCCAAGGTCGTTCTGGTGTTGGTAAGGATTCTAATAGCCCCGCCGGCGCCCGCCTTTCCCCTTTGGCTCGCTGGCCCTGCTCGCACCCTCTTACATACTCACGTACATCCTCCCTCACCTTAGGCCACCAAAATTCCCTGGTGACCAACCACATGGTTTTGTGTTGCCCAAAATGCCCCGCCGTGGGGCTGTCATGCAACTGCTTGAGTACCCTCCCCCTAAGTCTCCTTCAGGGATATACAGTGCCCCTTTGTAATACAAAGCTCCATTTCTTTCCTCGAAACCCCTTGATTCCTCTCCCTCATCCCTAAGACCTCTGAGCTTATTCTGGGCGTATTCATCATTCTCTGTTTCTTCTACCAGTTCTCTTTGTCCCACCAATGCCGCCCCACACACCCAGCGGTCCTCTGGAATGACATGTCTCTCTTCGGGTGCTCCTCCCCTCCAAATATTCAGGTTTGCGTGAGAGAGCGTCCGCCCTAATGTTCTCTGGGCCTGGCACGTAACAAATCTCAAAGTTAAATTTGGAGAATTCCTGGGCCCACCTCACTTGCCGTTGGTTGAGCACTCGTGCCGTCCTCCAATACTCTAGGTTCTTGTGGTCAGTGCACACTTGCACCTTATGTTGTGCGCCAATTAGCAGGTGCCTCCATCTCCGGAACGCCTCATGAATGGCTAGTAGTTCTCGGTCATACACCGTGTAGTTCCTCTCGGATTTGTTCAGCTTCTGAACAAAGCACACGGTCTCCACTCTGACTCCTCCTTCCCTGGCTGGAGAAGCACCGCCCCAACCGCTCTGTCTGATGCGTCAGTTTCCACTCTCATCGGTTTTTGTAAATCCACATGCAGGAGCTGTTGTTCCGAGGCGAAGGCCCTTTTAGTTCCTCAAATGCTTGCTCCGCCTCCTCCGTCCAAACGAACTTCTTCTTACTGCTGAGACAGTCCGTAATGGGCGCCGTCAGGTGGGCAAAGTTTGGGATGAACTTACGATAGAAGTTCCCAAATCCCAAAAACCTCTGCACATCCTTCCTTGTTTTGGGTGTTTTCCATTCCAGTACCGCCTGGACCTTGCCGGGATCCATGGCCAACCCCTTGTCAGACAGGCGATACCCCAGGAATTCCACCTCCTTGGTATGAAACTGACACTTCTCCAGTTTCACCCACAGCTGGTTGGCTTGCAGCCTGCTCAACACTTCTCTGACGTCTCTCACATGCTGCTCCTCATTCTCCGAATACACCAACACGTCGTCTAAGAAGGCCACACAATTCTTGTAAAGCAACGGCCCCAGGACGTGGTTCATAAACGATTGAAATGTTGCGGAGCCTGCTTGTAGACCGAAGGGCATAACTAAGTATTCAAATGCCCCTAAAGGGGTGAACATGGTGGTTTTCCATTCATCCCCCTTCCTTATTCGTATCAGGTTGTACGCCCCCCTTAGATCCAGCTTGGTGAAAATCTTTCCCTTCCGCACCCTTGTCAAAATGTCGTCAATCCTGGGCATCGGGAAGGCCACTGGTTCTGACACTGCATTTAAGGCCCTGAAGTCACACACCAGTCTCGGCTTGTTCGTGTTTTTGTCCACAAAAACACTGGGCTGCCCCCACCGCCCTGGACTCTCTGATGAACCCTCTCTTCAGGTTCTTGTCAATGAACTCTCTTAGCTCCTGCATCTCTCTGTCTGACATGGCGTACAGCTTGCCCACAGGGAGCTGTGCCCCAGGGAGCAAATTGATTTGACAGTCAAAGGCTCTATGCGGTGGTAGTTGGTCAGCTTCCCTTTCGCTGAAGACGTCGCGGAGATCTGCGTATTGTCGTGGTACCTTCACGTTCTCCGTTACTTCAGTCCCTGCTAGGGTGGCTTGGGCCCCTGCCAAAACCTTTCCCTCTTTGCAGTGTTCTAAGCAATGTGCTGACCCAAAAGAAACCACTCTTTGATGCCAGCCCACCAGCGGATCATGTAACGCTAGCCAGCTCATCCCCAATATAATGGGAGCTCCTCCCAAGGTGGCCACATTAAACGCTATTAGTTCGGTGTGCCTTGCCACCTTCATTATCATTGGGACGGTCTGCAAGCTGACTTCTCCTCCCAACAGCTCCCTGCCATCGATCGTGGTTACCTGCAGGGGGTTGCTTAAAGGGAGCGTCTGTATCTGGTGTTCAGCTGCAAACTCTTTGCTCATGAAATTGCAGGAGCTGCCTGAGTCCAACAGCGCCTTTATCTTTAGAGGGTGTCCGTTTGGCAGCTCTAGTGTCACTTCTATCACTAGGGCGGGTTTAGGAGGTTCTGGCGTGGGCACTTTCACTGCTCTTTGGCCTGGCTGCTGTGCCCCGACAATGGCAGCCAGGCGTTGGCTTTTAGTTGCTCCGGTATCTTTTCCTCTCTTCCCTCCACAGCTCCCACCATCCCTTGCCATTCCTTCCTCTGGGGGCAGACTCTGGCAAAGTGCCCTGGCTGTTGGCAGAGATAGCATTTCCGGGCGCCTTTTCCCTCCTTTTTTTCCCCCCTCACTGGGCTTTGAAACTGCGCGCGCGCGCGCTGTTCCGATTTCCATCGGCTCTGCCGGCGGGAAAGTTGGCTCTGGAATGTCTGGAATGCGGAACTCCTTCCAACGTTCCCCTTCCCTTCCCGCCTCTCCAATGCTCTCGCCTCCTGGCGCGCTCCTATGGCCAGCGCTGATTTGGTCAGCTGGTCCATAGACTCCGCCCTGGGCGCCCGGGAAAGTTCATCTTTCACAGCCGAAGAAAGCCCTTCTTCAAAGAGCATTTGAATGGGTTCCGCCGATAAGTCCCACCCCAATCTGTGTATCAGCATGGTGAACTCAGTCCAGTACTCACGTACAGATCGGCTCCCTGTTTGCAAGCCATTAACTGTCTACGCACCACTCCCTTTTCAATATCGCTGGAAAACATCAGATCCATGGCGCGAAAGAACTTCATCGTGTCCTTTAGGACGTCACTATGCGCTGCCATCAGGGGTCTAACCCAGTCTCTCGCCCCTTTTCAAGATGCCCAATCACAAAAGCCACTCGTGATTCCTCATCAGGAAATCATCAAACTGCAGATTGAGGGCATTTTGCATTTCTGTCCGAAGCTATGATAGTCTTTGGGCTCCCCCCCAAATTTCTGCACCAATCCTGGTACCTTTCTGGCGAGCTGGGTGGCTTTCTCCCTTTTGTCTGCATCTTGAGCCCTCCTCTCCTCCAGCCTCGCCGTCTGCAGCGCCAGCTGGACCTCCAACACCTTTCTTCCAGGCTTGGACCCGCTCCAGCCCCTGCTTCTCCGGTTCCTGCTGGGTTGCTCATTATGCCTTCTCCTGCACAAGCTGCGTTCAAAGACTGTCGGAATGCTGTGATGGGAAGATGAGCTGCTTGTGCGTAAAATCGTATTCCCTCAGAGTTTGTTCAAGTCCACAAACCTCTGTCTGTGACTGAGCCCCTCTGACATGGCTCCTCTAGTCACTAGAAGATTCCGACAGTGGTTGCTTTCGTAATCGCTTCCAACATAAAAGCTCCTTAACGGAAACACGTCTTCTGGACTCTCTGCGTGACAGTTTCCGGCGAGGTGGGTGTCCCTACAGGAGGTCCGGAAACCTCACCACTGTTTTCGCTGGAAGTATCTCTGAGCCATCCCCCAGCTCCCTTTCCCTCAGTTCAGCTTCTCTCCCCTGCTGGTTTCCTCTTCAGCTGCTGAGTCTCTTCCAACCTGTCTGAGCCCTTTCACCTCCCTCAGTTCAGCTTCTCTCCCCTTGCTGGTTCCCTCTTCAGCTGCTGAGTCTCTTCCAACCTGTCTGAGTCCTTTCACCTCCCTTCCTTCCGATGGCAGTTCCCTGACAGGCGGTATATAAATTTAATAAATAATAATAATAATAACCTCACAATGGTAACAAGCTGCTCAATAATAGATCAAACGACTTGAGAGATGATAGGATCTTCCACTATGGTGGCATTTAAGCGATGGACGGGAAGCTACCTGTCAGATATGCTGAGGTTTGCAAGATTCCGGCATTCAGCAGTTAGATGAACTCCAACGTCCCATCCAGAAGGTACTCAAAAATGATAAATTTTGCCAGTACAGTGGTACCTCGGGTTAATAACTTAATTCGTTCCGGAGGTCCGTTCTTAACCTGAAACTGTTCTTAACCTGAGGTACCACTTTAGCTAATGGGGCCTCCCACTGCTGCCACCGTGAGATTTCTGTTCTTATCCTGAAGCAAAGTTCTTCACCCGAGGTACTATTTCTGGGTTAGCGGAGTCTGTAACCTGAAGCGTCTGTAACCCAAGGTACCACTGTATTATACACCCCGATCATTCATGGCCTGTTGGCGGTTCCCTAAATAAAACCAAAAGGACACAAAGACAATAGATCAGGCTTCCTCAAACACGGCCCTCCAGATGTTTTAAGACTACAATTCCCATTATCCCTGACCACTGCTAGCTAGGGATCGTGGGAGTTGTAAGCCAAAAACATCTGGAGGGCCGAGTTTGAGGAAGTCTGCAATAGATAGTACTGAAAACTATCAAAGCAGTCAAAACCCAGACAACAGCAGAAAGCCAGTAAATAGCATTCAAAACCAACAAGGGGGATCATAGGAGCCAACTCCTAGGGGCTGAAGTCCCTTTGCCCTCCCTCCAATAAAATGTTTGATGGGGCTGCCTCTCCCCCCCCCCCCCAGTTGATGGGCATTGCCATTCAAGTGGTGCTGTGTGGGTCGTGTCCTGTGATCAGCGTTGTGGGGCAGGGCTTACTTGTCTCTCCCCCCTAAGAATATTTTATTCAGGTTGACACCCCTGAGGAGAATACAATTTAGCCAGGAGGTTGGAAATTGTAAATAAACAGTGTTCTCAGAAGTGGAAGTTCTTGGCCTTCCTGATTTCTGATTCTTCCGGTCATTTTAACGATTTCAGCACGATCCATCAACTTGATCTGTCATTCTTCTCTGGTATAAGTCAGCTCCTGAGCGATCCTTGTTTGAAAACTCTAGGGGAAGTGTGTGAGAGAGGTTTTTGTATCAGTTCCCCATTAGATTGTACCACCGTGGAACACGTTACTGCCTGTCACCCAGTCAGTACAGTAATAAACTGCCTCGTCTTCAGCCTGGACATTGGAGATGGTTAAATAGTAAGTGTTCCCAGAGACAGAGGGAGTGAACCGATCAGGGATCCCGTCTCCCCGGGTGCTGGTACGATAGAACACGAAACGGGGAGCCTGTCCACCTTTCTGTTGATACCAGCTATAATAAGCCAAGCTGCCACTACTTCTAGAGCAGGAGAGTTTGACAGTTTGACCCGGGAGCACAGACTCAGAGGCAGGCTGGATCAATGTTGTCTGCGCTGTGACACCTTTGCAGAAAGAAAAATCAAATAAAAGCACACGAATCATTTCCAGTGTTCTCAAATATTAGGAAAGACTATAGCTTTCTTGCTGGTACATGCATCATTTTCTGTGCCCTCAGATTTCAGAAAATTATTATCTTCTCGTGAAAAGTAACAGAAGTCAAGTCAAATAATACGTTAGGTATCCACAAACATACCTGAACAGTAACTGAGACATGTGACGAGAACAAGGATCCAGGCCATGGTGAATGTCAAAAGGAGGGTGGATCCCACAAACAGATCTCTAATCCTGTGGCACCTCCCTACCACCCTCTTAAATCACCTGGGAAATGAGGCACGAGCAATTATGCAAATACCTCGACACCCGTTGGCCTTGCTAGAAAGAATATGAGGAAATACAGGGAACATCCAGCAGATGACCACAGAACAGATTTTGCATGAAGGGGGTGTTTTCACAGAAGATTGAAGCTTCTATGTATTGTTTAGGTCATGATTGGGGAGCTATAGAACCAGGGGCTGAACATGACCTCCCAAAATTATTATTATTATTATAATTATTATTATAATTATTATTATAATTATTATTATTATTATTATTATTATTATTATTACCCACCCATCTGGCTGGGCTGCCCCAGCCACTCTGGGCGGCTAACAGTTTACATAAAGACATAGTAAAACTTCAAACATAAATTTTCCATTGCAGGGCTGCCTTCAGAAGTCCTCTGATAGTTGTGTAGTTCTTTATCTCTTTGACATCTGATGGGAGGGCATTCCAGAGGCAGAGTGCCACTGTCAAGAAGGCCCTCTGCCTGGTTCCCTGTAACCTCACTTCTCACAGTGAGGGAACCAGCAGAAGACCCTTGGAGGAAGACCTCAGTGTCCGGGCTGAGCAATGGAAGGTGGAGAAGCTCCTTCAGATATTTCCTTTTGTGGCTCTCAGGACGTGCTCAGAACATGTCCTCTTCAGGCCACATGCCTCACTTACATGGTGCTGTGGCCCCCAATGATTCTGCCTGGCTTGAACATATCCCTGAATGTTGATGATGCTTAATAATAATAATAATAATATGCAAACGTATTTAAGCACTCCTTGTTGAAAGAAGCCAACCCACCACCCTCCTTTCTCAGATTCAGGGACTCACAACAAAGGTGGAAATTAAGAAATAAAATCAGCTCCCGAACTCTGAAGCTTTGTCCAGATTGCAATGGAAACTTCTCTCCATTGCAAACTATGATTACAGGGGGGGGGGGGGGAGTGGCTCATCAGCACTGCTCCTCATGCAAATGTCTCCTAAGCGAGTCGTCAGGCATAAGAAAAAACATTCTGATGCTTCGCTTCACCCCAACAGTTCAGTTTTTGTAACAATTTTCCGTTTTGTAATATAATTCACTTTAAAAAAAAACAACGGGTAGGTGGCCCAACATTGTCCCCTGGAGGTTAAAGCCAGAACAGTAGACACCACAAAATGCCTGCATCACATTTCAAAGCAAAATACTGAAATCACAATCTAGTCAGTCTTAGTTACAGGTAGGTAGCCGTGTTGGTCTGCCATAGTCAAAACAAAATAAAAAAATTCCTTCCAGTAGCACCTTAGAGACCAATTGGTATGAGCTTTCGTGTGCATGAAGAATCTGAAGAAGTGTGGATTTCCAAGGTATGACTGTATTTTTTATTATTATTATTTTGAGAAAACGCAAGCCGAAAACTCACCCACTAATCCAAGATGAAATGATTATTTAATTAAGGATTTTCTTCATAGCTGTAATTTCAGCAGTGCTCTTCTAAGGTTGAATTTGTATTTATGACATTCCAAACGAAGTTTACATAATAAATTCCAGTTTTCAAGGAATCCCACTCTGCCCGCTTTGGATCCTTCTTGCATCTTGCCAATATCTGTTAGCTTTCTAGTTTCAATTTTATTAATCCAAGACTTGGATTTCACAACAAATTTTGATCTCAGTATTAGGGGAGTAATGCTAAATAACAGCTTCTCTCTGTTACACCTTTTCCCACTCTTTGGTTCAGTTTTCCACATTTTGACACAAGAAGAAGAAGAAGAAGAAGAAGAAGAAAAAGAAGAAAAAGAAGAAGAAGAAGAAGGACACTGACAAACTGGAACGTGTCCAGAGGAGGGCAACCAAAATGGTCAAAGGCCTGGAAACGATGCCTTATGAGGAACCGCTAAGGGAGCTGGGCATGTTTAGCCTGGAGAAGAGAGGAGGTTAAGGGGTGATATGATAGCCATGTTCAAATATATAAAAGGATGTCACATAGAGGAGGGAGAAAGGTTGTTTTCTGCTGCTCCAGAGAAGCGGACACGGAGCAATGGATCCAAACTACAAGAAAGAAGATTCCACCTAAACATTAGGAAGAACTTCCTGACAGTAAGAGCTGTTTGACAGTGGAATTTGCTGCCAAGGAGTGTGGTGAAGTGTCCTTCTTTGGAGGTCTTTAAGCAGAGGCTTGACAACCATATGTCAGGAGTGCTCTGATGGTGTTTCCTGCTTGGCAGGGGGTTGGACTCGATGGCCCTTGTGGTCTCTTCCAACTCTATGATTCGAAGAAGAAGAAGAAGAAGAAGAAGAAGAAGAAGAAGAAGAAGAAGAAGAAGAAGAAGGCAAAGTCCTTATTAATGCTTTTAGTTCATTTTCTCCACAGATATATAATTTTGCCTTATATTCATGTTTCTGTACAACAATTTTCCCTGGGGTCAAAAGGAAAGCACTTCAGAAGGACATTTTCCTGCCCTTACCATGTAGAAGATCTTGTAATAATAATAATAATAATAATAATAATAATAATAATAATAATAATTTATTTATACCCCACCCATCTAGCTGCGTTTCCCCAGCCACTCTGGGCAGCTCCCAACGGAATATTAAAAACACGATAAAAAATCGGACCCAGGACGTTCTGCATGCAAAACAGGTATTCTCCCCTGAGCTTTGGCCCTTCTAAGTCGGAAGTGGCTTTATTGCCAACAAGGCCAGTGAAAAATGAAGAGCATTGTTTATTGGGACATGTGTCAGATATTTAATACAAGGTCATATCTCCAATAGGATTCTTTAGTCTAAATAACTTGATAACTTTTAATGCACGTTCTTGTCGAAAACTAACAAAAGTCATTCACGTGCAGCTATGCTCTTGAATGATTCAGGATTCTGCACTCATAAGAAAGAACAGAGAAGGTTTTTGTCTCAGTTCCCCATCAGATTATTTCACTGTGGAACGTGAAACTGCCAAGCTCGAAGTCACAACAAAAATAAACTGCTTCATCTGCAGCCTCGATGTTAGAGATAGTTAATGAGCCAGATCGCGAACCGGTGAAGCGAGCTGGGACCCCTTCTCCCCGGGTGCTGGATCCATACCACAGAAAACGGGGAGGCTGTCCAGGTTTCTGTTGATACCAGTGAATATCATTCCAGAGAGTACCACCATTTCTTGAGCAGGAGAGTGTAGCAGTTTGGCCCAGAGACACCGACTGGGAGGCAGGCTGAGTCAAACTGGGTTGTGAAGTGACAAGTTTCATAGAAAAAAGAGAAAGGAACCATGACTTTGGTACATTTCCTATGCATTCAAATACCACAGAAGCTTGATCTCCCTCTAGCAGACCAAGTTTTGATGTTGCCCTACATGATGTGAGTCTTCCACGCTCTTACCTGAGCAGTAGCTGAGAAGTGACAGTAAAAGCAGGTACCAGGCCATGGTAAGACTCCTTTAGAGTCTGACTAAAGATCTAGATGGGATCTTCTTCCCCCTCTCTGAAATCCCCCGGAAATGCCAAATGTCTCCTTCGCGCAGATTGGTTGTATGCTCATTGGTTCTGCAAGAGTGTCTTTATCTACTTGCTTCTCTCCATGAAAAGCCAATGATCAAAGGAGAAATTTGCATGATGATGTTGAGGGCAGGCCTCACTCTGGCCAAGATAAAAATTAAGGGGTCATAGTGTTACCAAGTACAGTGGTACCTCGGGTTACAGAGGCTTCAGGTTACACACTCCGCTAACCCAGAAATAGTACCTTGGGTTAAGAACTTTGCTTCAGAATGAGAACAGAAATTGCGCGGTGGCAGCAGGAGGCCCCATTAGCTAAAGCGGTCTTCAGGTTAAGAACAGTTTCAGGTTAAGAACGGACCTCTGGAACAAATTAAGTTCTTAACCTGAGCTACCACTGTACAGTCATACCCCAGCTCCTGAACATCTTGGGAGTCGAATGTTTTGGCTCCCGAATGATTGAAAACCAGAAGTGAGTGTTCCAGTATTCGAATGTTAAATTGGAAGCCAAATGTTTGATGGGGCTTCTGCAGCTTCCAATTGGCTGCAGGAGCTTCCTGCAGCCAATCAGAAGCCGCCCTTCGAAAGTCAAACGTTTCGGAAGTCAAACGGACTTCCGGAATGGATTCTGTTTGACTTCCGAGGTACAACTGTACATAACCTAAGGGCAGATGATGCCCAGGGTTCATCACAGTAGAATGAGCAGAAGGTTCCCTAAATGCACCAGTTATGAAGTGGAGCAACACCCACTGCCATATAAAGACCCTCCCATCCCATTTAGTTCATTAAGTCCACAGCTGAAATTTTTCAGAACTCTGGGTGGGGGACATTGTTCAGATAGAGGACTACAAGCCCATCTGGATCATATTCTGGATAATGAGGGAGGGGGGCTGAGGTGAAAGTGGGTGGAGCAACATCTAGTGATGTTACCTTTGTAGTACAGGCTGGTTTCTATGCTCCCACTCCCCTTTCTTATCAATTCAGACAATCTAGAAGTGTTGTCAGAATTCAAGGACACAATCCAGATGACCAGAAACATCCAAGGAGACCACATAGCAGAGGGGGTGAGTGATGTGGCCTGGATGGAGGGGTATGTCTTAAGATGGGCATGATCTGTGGCTATCTTGAAGGGTCATCTAGAAAGGCCTGGACATGGAGATGCAAAGTCGTGGAGGGAAAGTTCCTTCATATGTGGTGGACTTGTAAAAGGGAAAGAGAGTATTGGGAAATGATCCATAATGAATTGAAAAAAATGTTTCAAAGTACTCCCCACTCCACCCCACCCCCAGAGTCCTCTCTGTTGGGGATAGTTCAGACTGAAATTCCCAGGTGTCAAAAAAGGTGATTTATGTATGCCACTATTGCGACCCGTGTTTTGTTAGCTCCCAAATGGAAAACAAGCGAAGTCCCAACCAAAGAAGAATGGCAACTTAAGTTGACAGAATATGCACAACTTGCAGACTTACCACATAGAAACAGAGAACAAGAAGAACATATATTCAGAGAAGATTGGAAAACATTTATTGAATATATGGGAAATAATTGTGTACAGCTGAAAACATTGGCAGCATTAAGATAAATTCAAGTGTTGATGGATGTAATAATAGAATACTGAATGGTTTAAGTTTATGTAAAATATGCAGGGATTTATGATATGTAAAATGAACCATGGAAAGAGAAGAGGGGAAGTCATTGCTATTTTAAGGATGTAAAAATGAGTACAGTGGTACCTCGGGTTAAGTACTTAATTGTTTCCGGAGGTCCGTTCTTAACCTGAAACTGTTCTTAACCTGAAGCACCACTTTAGCTAATGGGGCCTCCTGCTGCTGCCGCGCCTCCGGAGCACAATTTCTGTTCTCACCCTGAAGCAAAGTGCTTAACCTGAAGCACTATTTTTGTGTTAGCGGAGTCTGTAACCTGAAGTGTATGTAACCTGAGGTACCACTGTATTTTAAAATGGAAAACAGAATATTTAATAAAAATTATATACAAAAAGGAAAAAAAGACGCCTGAACTTTGCCCCCAGTTGTGGGAACTTACAAAGCTTTCCACAGCTTGAATCATGGGTTAACTGGATGAGAGCGAGGTTATCGTTTGATTTCTGTGCCTGAATGAGTAGGAAAGACGGGGCAGTTGGCGGTGGAAACTTGAGCAGATATGTCCTTCCTGAGCATGTCCTCCTTCATTTGCTTCACAGCTGCAGGTGGTGCATGGGCTTTCTGTGACTGGTAAATTCTATGAGATATGGGAAGTTGGTCCATCTTACAGGCCAAAAGTAGACAGCCAACATTCTACAGACAGTGGTACCTCAGGTTAAGTACTTTATTCATTCCGGAGGTCCGTTCTTAACCTGAAACTGTTCTTAACCTGAAGCACCACTTTAGCTAATGGGGCCTCACGCCGCCGCCGTGTGATTTCTGTTCTCATCCTGAAGCAAAGTTCTTAACCCGAGGTACTATTTCTGGGTTAGCGGAGTCTGTAACCTGAAGCGTATGTAACCTGAGGTACCACTGTACAAGATTTGAGAAAATGTGTGTGGGGTGGTGGGGAGGACAAAGCCCCACCCTTTAATCAGAGCTGAATTCAGACGTGCAAGTTCTGTCAGGGTCTATGTCAGGTGCAAATGTGAATTCACATAGCCGCAAGTGAAGTTGAGCAAAGAATTTCCAGGAGTCCAGTTGCAGCAGCAGCAGCCTCCTTGAGACTTTTTCAGGTCGACCATTTTGTATCCGATAGCTTGTGAAGGTTGGATTTGCATGAACTGCAAAACCTCATTTAAACGGTGGTGTCAGAGACTGGACTGAAGAGGAGGAGGAGTGTCACCTCCCCGCCTTCTCCTGTAGCTGCCTCCTTTTGCCCAATGATTTTGCCTGGGTTGAACATATCCCTGAATGTTGATGATGCTTAATTATAATAATAATAATAGGGACGCAGGTGTCTCTGTGGGTTAAACCACAGAGCCTAGGACTTGCTGATCAGAAGGTTGGCGGTTCAAATCCCCGTGACAGGGTGAGCTCCCGTTGCTCAGTCCCTGCTCCTGCCAACCTAGCAGTTCGAAAGCACGTCAAAGTGCAAGTAGATAAATAGGTACTGCTCCGGTGGGAAGGTAAACGGCGTTTCCGTGCGCTGCTCTGGTTCGCCAGAAGCGGCTTAGTCATGATGGCCACATGACCCGGAAGCTGTACGCCGGCTCCCTCGGCCAATAAAGCGAGATGAGCGCCGCAACCCCAGAGTCGGACACGACTGAACCTATTGGTCAGGGGTCCCTTTACCTTTAATAATAATAATATGCAAACGTATTTAAGCATTCCTTGTTGAAAGAAGCCAACCCACCACCCTCCTTTCTCAGATTCAGGGACTCACAACAAAGGTGGAAATTAAGAAATAAAATCAGCTCCCGAACTCTGAAATTTTGTCCAGGTTTCAATGGAAACTTCTCTCCATTGCAAACTATGATTACGGGGGGGGGGGGGGGAGTGGCTCATCAGCACTGCTCCTCATGCAAATGTCTCCTAAGCGAGTCGTCAGGCATAAGAACAGCCAGTTGTGTCTAAGACAGCCAGTTGTGTCTGCCTTGGTGTTGAAACCCTTTTATTTATGGGAATCTGCCTTATAGCAGCTCCAACTATTTCTTCATTTAAGGCAATTCCAGCTTGCCATTATTTTCGGGTGAGATTCAGTCACGTACCAGCAAAATGAGGCTGCACAATTCAGGTTGATTTCAAGGTGTTGTGCAGGAAGCCAGCTCCTCCTCAAGCGAGTAGTCAGGCATAAGAAAAAACATTCTGACGCTTCGCTTCACCCCAACAGTTCAGTTTTTGTAACAATTCTCCGTTTCGTAATATAATTCACTATTATTTTAAAAAAACAGATAGGTGGCCCAACATTGTCCCCTAGAGGTTAAAGGCAGAACAGCAGACACCACAAAACGCCTGCATCACATTTCAAAGCAAAATACTGAAATCACAATCTAGTCAGTCTTAGTTACAGGTAGGTAGCCGTGTTGGTCTGTTGTAGTCGAAACAAAATAAAAAAATTCCTCCAGTAGCACCTTAGAGACCAACTGAGTTTCTTACTGGTATGAGCTTTCGTGTGCATGAAGAATCTGAAGAAGTGTGGATGCTCACAAGAGCTCATACCAATAACAAACTCAGTTGGTCTCTAAGGTGCTACTGAAAGGATTTTTTTTTATTTTGTTTAGTCAGTCTTATGCATTCACATTCCCCTTGCTTTCCCCACCAGGAAGAAAGGGTGTGTTCAACTTTGGTTGTGTGAAGTTGTGCTTGAAAACAACATTCACGGGAGGTCCTGCTTTGTATTGTTGTGGAAGGATCATAGTTTATTGGCAGTGAACAAACACATGTATATTGTAAATGTGTGAATCTGTTTATTCTTCTACATAGTTCATACTCATTTTGATACAGCTATGCGGTGTCGCACATATCAGTTTAGATGCTAATTCCTTTTGGAAACCTGGAATATATATTTTGTATAACGTTACACATATAACAATGTATATAATAATACATTGGCTCCCCATCTGTGGGATGCTCTCCCCAGGCAAGTTTGCCTGGCGCCTTCATTACACACCTTTTGGCGCCAGGCAGAAACGTTCCTTTTTAACCAGGCCTTTGGTTGATCTGATTTACTTCCTATGCCCTTTTAAAATGTGGTTTTTTGTGGGGGAGGGTGGTTGCTTTTATTTTTATTGTGTATTTTGTGGTTTTATATCTTGATTTTATTCTGTGAACCGCCCTGAGACCCCTGGGTATAGGGCGGTATATAAATTTAATAAATAATAATAATAACCTCACAATGGTAACAAGCTGCTCAAGAGTAGATCAAACGACTTGAGAGACGATAGGATCTTCCACTATGGTGGCATTTAAGCGATGGACGGGAAGCTACATGTCAGATATGCTGAGGTTTGCAAGATTCCGGCATTCAGCAGTTAGATGAACTCCAACGTCCCATCCAGAAGGTACTCAAAAATGATAAATTTTGCCAGTACAGTGGTACCTCGGGTTAATAACTTAATTCGTTCGGGAGGTCCGTTCTTAACCTGAAACTGTTCTTAACCTGAGGTACCACTTTAGCTAATGGGGCCTCCCACTGCTGCCACGCCGCCACCGTGTGATTTCTGTTCTTATCCTGAAGCAAAGTTCTTAACCCGAGGTACTATTTCTGGGTTAGCAGAGTCTGTAACCTGAAGCGTCTGTAACCCAAGGTACCACTGTATTATACACCCTGATCATTCATAGCCTGTTGGCGGTTCCCTAAATAAAACCAAAAGGACACCAAGACAATAGATCAGGCTTCCTCAAACACGGCCCTCCAGATGTTTTAAGACTACAATTCCCATTATCCCTGACCACTGCTAGCTAGGGATCGTGGGAGTTGTAGGCCAAAAACATCTGGAGGGCCGAGTTTGAGGAAGTCTGCAATAGATAGTACTGAAAACTATCAAAGCAGTCAAAACCCAGACAACAGCAGAAAGCCAGTAAATAGCATTAAAAACCAACAAGGGGGATCATAGGAGCCAACTCCTAAGGGCTGAAATCCCTTTGCCCTCCCTCCAATAAAATGTTTGATGGGGCTGCCTCTCTCCCCCCCCCCCAGTTGATGGACATTGCCATTCCAATGGTGCTGTGTGTGTTGTGTCCTGTGATCAGCGTTGCGGGGCAGGGCTTACTTGTCTCTCCCCCCTAAGAATATTTTATTCAGGTTGACACCCCTGAGGAGAATACAATTTAGCCAGGAGGTTGGAAATTGCAAATAAACAATGTTCTCAGAAGTGGAAGTTCTTGGCCTTCCTGATTTCTGATTCTTCCGGTCATTTTAACGATTTCAGCACGATCCAACAACTTGATCTGTCATTCTTCTCTGGTATAAGTCAGCTCCTGAGCGATCCTTGTTTGAAAACTCTAGGGGAAGTGTGAGAGAGAGGTTTTTGTATCAGTTCCCCATTAGACTGTACCACCGTGGAACACATTACTGCCTGTCACCCAGTCAACACAGTAATAAACCGCCTCGTCTTCAGCCTGGACATTGGAGATGGTTAAATAGTAAGTGTTCCCAGAGGTGGAGGCAGCGAACCGATCTGGGATCCCGTCTCCCCGGGTGCTGGTACCATAGAACACAAAACGAGGAGCCTGTCCACCTTTCTGTTGAAGCCAGCTATAAGCATGCAAGCTGCCACTACTTCTAGAGCAGGAGAGTTTGACAGTTTGACCCGGGAGCACAGACTCAGAGGCAGGCTGGATCAATGTTGTCTGCGATGTGACACCTTTGCAAAAAGAAAAATCAAATACAAGCACATGAATCATTTCCAGTGTTCTCAAATATTAGGAAAGACTATAGCTTTCTTGCTGGTACATGCATCATTTTCTGCGCCCTCAGATTTCAGAAAATTATTATCTTCTTGTGAAAAGTAACAGAAGTCAAGTCAAATAATACGTTAGGTCTCCACAAACATACCTGAACAGTAACTGAGACATGTGACGAGAGCAAGGATCCAGGCCATGGTGAATGTAAAAAGGAGGGTGGATCACACAAACAGATCTCTAGTCTGGTGGCACCTCCCTACCACATTCTTAAATCACCTGGGAAATGAGGCACAAGCAATTATGCAAATACCTTGACACCCGTTGTCCTTGCTAGAAATAATATGAGGAAATATAGGGAACAACTAGCAGATGACCACAGAACAGATTTTGCATGAAGGGGGTGTTTTCACGGAAGATTGAAGCTTCTATGTATTGCTTAGGTCATGATTGGGGAGCTATAGAACCAGGGGCTGAACATGACCTCCCAAAATTATTATTATTATTATTATTATTATTATTATTATTATTACCCACCGATCTGGCTGGGCTGCCCCAGCCACTCTGGGCAGCTAATAGTTTACATAAAGACATAGTAAAATGTCAAACATAAATTTTCCATTGCAGGGCTGCCTTCAGAAGTCTTCTGATAGTTGTGTAGTTCTTTATCTCTTTGACATCTGATGGGAGGGCATTCCAGAGGAAGAGTGCCACTGTCAAGAAGGCCCTCTGCCTGGTTCCCTGTAACCTCACTTCTCACCGTGAGGGAAGCAGCAGAAGACCCTCGGAGGAAGACCTCAGTGTCCGGGCTGAGCAATGGAAGGTGGAGAAGCTCCTTCAGATATTTCCTTTTGTGGCTCTCAGGACGTGCTCAGAACATGCCCTCTTCAGGCCACATGCCTCACTTACATGGTGCTGTGGCCCCCAATGATTTTGCCTGGCTTGAATATATCCCTGAATGTTGATGATGCTTAATTATAATAATAATAATAATAATAGGGACGCAGGTGGCTCTGTGGGTTAAACCACAAAGCCTAGGACTTGCTGATCAGAAGGTCGGCGGTTCAAATCCCTGCAACGGGGTGAGCTCCCGTTGCTCGGTCCCTGCTCCTGCCAACCTAGCAGTTCAAAGGAACGTCAAAGTGCTTCCGGCAGGAAGGTAAATGGCGTTTCCGTGCGCTGCTCTGGTTCGCCAGAAGCGGCTTAGTCATGATGGCTACATGACCCGGAAGCTGTACGCTGGTTCCCTTGGCCAATAAAGCGAGATGAGCGCTGCAACCGCAGAGTCGGTCACGACTGAACCTAATGGTCAGGGGTCCCTTTACCTTTAATAATAATAATATGCAAACGTATTTAAGCATTCCTTGTTGAAAGAAGCCAACCCACCACCCTCCTTTCTCAGATTCAGGGACTCACAACAAAGGTGGAAATTAAGAAATAAAATCAGCTCCCGAACTCTGAAATTTTGTCCAGGTTTCAATGGAAACTTCTCTCCATTGCAAACTGTGATTACAGGGGGGGGGGGAGTGGCTCATCAGCACTGCTCCTCATGCAAATGTCTCCTAAGCGAGTCGTCAGGCATAAGAACAGCCAGTTGTGTCTAAGACAGCCAGTTGTGTCTGCCTTGGTGTTGAAACCTTTTATTTATGGGAATCTGCATTATAGCAGCTCCAACTATTTCTTCATTTAAGGCAATTCCAGCTTGCCATTATTTTCAGGTGAGATTCAGTCACGTACCAGCAAATTGAGGCTGCCCAATTCAGGTTGATTTCAAGGTGTTGTGCAGGAAGCCAGCTCCTCCTCAAGCGAGTAGTCAGGCATAAGAAAAACATTCTGACGCTTCGCTTCACCCCAACAGTTCAGTTTTTGTAACAATACTGAAATCACAATCCAGTCAGTCTTAGTTACAGGTAGGTAGCCGTGTTGGTCTGTTGTAGTCGAAACAAAATAAAAAAATTCCTCCAGTAGCACCTTAGAGACCAACTGAGTTTCTTACTGGTATGAGCTTTCGTGTGCATGAAGAATCTGAAGAAGTGTGGATGCTCACAAAAGCTCATACCAATAACAAACTCAGTTGGTCTCTAAGGTGCTACTGAAAGGAATTTTTTTTATTTTGTTTAGTCAGTCTTATGCATTCACATTCCCCTTGCTTTCCCCACCAGGAAGAAAGGGTGTGTTCAACTTTGGTTGTGTGAAGTTGTGCTTGAAAACAACATTCACGGGAGGTCCTGCTTTGTATTGTTGTGGAAGGATCATAGTTTATTGGCAGTGAACACACACATGTATATTGTAAATGTGTGAATCTGTTTATTCTTCTACATAGTTCGTACTCATTTTGATACAGCTATGCGGTGTCGCACATATCAGTTTAGATGCTAATTCCTTTTGGAAACCTGGAATATATATTTTGTATAACGTTACACATATAACAATGTATATAATAATACATTGGCTCCCCATCTGTGGGATGCTCTCCCCAGGCGAGTTTGCCTGGCGCCTTCATTACACACCTTTTGGCGCCAGGCAGAAACGTTCCTTTTTAACCAGGCCTTTGGTTGATCTGATTTACTTCCTATGCCCTTTTAAAATGTGGGGGTTTTTTGTGGGGGAGGTTGGTTGCTTTTATTTTTATTGTGTATTTTGTGGTTTTATATCTTGATTTTATTCTGTGAACCGCCCTGAGACCCCTGGGTATAGGGCGGTATATAAATTTAATAAATAATAATAATAATAACCTCACAATGGTAACAAGCTGCTCAATAATAGATTAAACGACTTGAGAGATGATAGGATTTTCCACTATGGTGGCATTTAAGCGATGGACGGGAAGCTACCTGTCAGATATGCTGAGGTTTGCAAGATTCCGGCATTCAGCAGTTAGATGAACTCCAACGTCCCATCCAGAAGGTGCTCAAAAATGATAAATTTTGCCAGTACAGTGGTACCTCGGGTTAATAACTTAATTCGTTCCGGAGGTTCGTTCTTAACCTGAAACTGTTCTTAACCTGAGGTACCACTTTAGCTAATGGGGCCTCCCACTGCTGCCACGCCGCCACCGTGCGATTTCTGTTCTTATCCTGAAGCAAAGTTCTTAACCCGAGGTACTATTTCTGGGTTAGCGGAGTCTGTAACCTGATGCGTCTGTAACCCAAGGTTCCACTGTATTATACACCCCGATCATTCATGGCCTGTTGGCAGTTCCCTAAATAAAACCAAAAGGACACCAAGACAATAGATCAGGCTTCCTCAAACACGGCCCTCCAGATGTTTTAAGACTACAATTCCCATTATCCCTGACCACTGCTAGCTAGGGATCATGGGAGTCGTAGGCCAAAAACATCTGGAGGGCCGAGTTTGCGGAAGTCTGCAATAGATAGTACTGAAAACTATCAAAGCAGTCAAAACCCAGACAACATCAGAAAGCCAGTAAATAGCATTAAAAACCAACAAGGGGGATCATAGGAGCCAACTCCTAGGGGCTGAAATCCCTTTGCCCTCCCTCCAAGAAAATGTTTGATGGGGCTGCCTCTCCCCCCCCCCCAGTTGTTGGACATTGCCATTCAAATGGTGCTGTGTGGGTCGTGTCCTGTGATCAGCGTTGCGGGGCAGGGCTTACTTGTCTCTCCCCCCGAAGAATATTTTATTCAGGTTGACCCCCCTGAGGAGAATACAATTTAGCCAGGAGGTTGGAAATTGCAAATAAACAGTGTTCTCAGAAGTGGAAGTTCTTGGCCTTCCTGATTTCTGATTCTTCCGGTCATTTTAACGATTTCAGCATCATCCATCAACTTGATCTGTCATTCTTCTCTGGTATAAGCGAGCTCCTGAGCGATCCTTGTTTGAAAACTCTAGGGGAAGTGTGAGAGAGAGGTTTTTGTATCAGTTCCCCATCAGATTGTACCACCGTGGAAGACGTTACTGCCTGTCACCCAGTCAGCACAGTAATAAACCGCCTCGTCTTCAGCCTGGACATTGGAGATGGTTAAATAGTAAGTGTTCCCAGAGGTGGAGGCAGCGAACCGATCAGGGATCCCGTCTCCCCGGGTGCTGGTACCATAGAACACGAAACGAGGAGCCTGTCCACCTTTCTGCACATACCAGCTATAACCATACAAGCTGCCACTACTTCTAGAGCAGGAGAGTTTGACAGTTTGACCCGGTAGCACAGAGTCAGAGGCAGGCTGGATCAATGTTGTCTGCGATGTGACACCTTTGCAGAAAGAAAAATCAAATAAAAGCACATGAATCATTTCCAGTGTTCTCAAATATTAGGAAAGACTATTGTAGAAGACAAATAGCTTTCTTGCTGGTACATGCATCATTTTCTGTGCCCTCAGTTTTTGGAAGATTTTTATCTTCTTGTGAAAAGTAACAGAAGTCAAGTCACATAATACATTAGGTCTCCACAAACATACCTGAACAGTAAATGAGACATGAGATGAGAACAAGGATCCAGGCCATGGTGAATGTCAAAAGGAGGGTGGATCACACAAACAGATCTCTAGTCTGGTGGCACCTCCCTACCACATTCTTGAATCACCTGGGAAATGAGGCACAAGCAATTATGCAAATACCTTGACACCCGTTGTCCTTGCTAGAAATAATATGAGGAAATACAGGGAACAAGTAGCAGATGACCACAGAACAGATTTTGCATGAAGGGGGTGTTTTCACAGAAGATTGAAGCTTCTATGTATTGTTTAGGTCATGATTGGGGAGCTATAGAACCAGGAGCTGAACATGACCTCCCAAAATAATAATAATAATAATAATAATAATAATAATTATTATTATTATTATTATTATTACCCACCCATCTGGCTGGGCTGCCCCAGCCACTCTGGGCAGCTAACAGTTTACATAAAGACATAGTAAAATGTCAAACATAAATTTTCCATTGCAGGGCGGCCTTCAGAAGTCTTCTGATAGTTGTGTAGTTCTTTATCCCTTTGACATCTGATGGGAGGGCATTCCCGAGGCAGGGTGCCACTGTCAAGAAGGCCCTCTGCCTGGTTCCCTGTAACCTCACTTCTCACAGTGAGGGAAGCAGCAGAAGACCCTCGGAGGAAGACCTCAGTGTCCGGGCTGAGCAATGGAAGGTGGAGAAGCTCCTCCAGATATTTCCTTTTGTGGCTCTCAGGACGTGCTCAGAACATGTCCTCTTCAGGCCACATGCCTCACTTACATGGTGCTGTGGCCCCCAATGATTCTGCCTGGCTTGAACATATCCCTGAATGTTGATGATGCTTAATAATAATAATAATAATAATAATAATAATAATAATATGCAAACGTATTTAAGCACTCCTTGTTGAAAGAAGCCAACCCACCACCCTCCTTTCTCAGATTCAGGGACTCACAACAAAGGTGGAAATTAAGAAATAAAATCAGCTCCCGAACTCTGAAGCTTTGTCCAGGTTGCAATGGAAACTTCTCTCCATTGCAAACTATGATTACAGGGGGGAGTGGCTCATCAGCACTGCTCCTCATGCAAATGTCTCCTAAGCGAGTCGTCAGGCATAAGAAAAAACACTCTGACGCTTCGCTTCACCCCAACAGTTCAGTTTTTGTAACAATTTTCCGTTTTGTAATATAATACACTTTAAAAAAACCAAAACGGGTATGTGGCCCAACATTGTCCCCTGGAGGTTAAAGCCAGAACCGTAGACACCACAAAACGCCTGCATCACATTTCAAAGCAAAATACTGAAATCACAATCTAGTCAGTCTTAGTTACAGGTAGGTAGCCGTGTTGGTCTGCCATAGTGAAAACAAAATAAAAAAATTCCTTCCAGTAGCACCTTAGAGACCAACTGAGTTTCTTATTGGTATGAGCTTTCATGTGCATGAAGAATCTGAAGAAGTGTGGATTTCCAAGGTATGACTGTATTTTTTATTATTATTATTTTGAGAAAACGCAAGCCGAAAACTCACCCACTAATCCAAGATGAAATGAATATTTAATTAAGGATTTTCTTCATAGCTGTAATTTCAGCAGTGTTCTTCTAAGGTTGAATTTGAATTTATGACATTCCAAATGAAGTTTACATAATAAATTCCAGTTTTCAAGGAATCCCACTCTGCCCGCTTTGGATCCTTTTTGCATCTTGCCAATATCTGTTAGCTTTCTAGTTTCAATTTTATTAATCCAAGACTTGGATTTCACAGCAAATTTTGATCTCAGTATTAGGGGAGTAATGCTAAGTAACAGCTTCTCTCTGTTACACCTTTTCCCACTCTTTGGTTCAGTTTTCCACATTTTGACACAAGAAGAAGAAGAAGAAGAAGAAGAAGAAGAAGAAGGAGGAGGAGGAGGAGGAGGAGGAGGAGGAGGAGGAGGAGGACACTGACAAACTGGAACGTGTCCAGAGGAGGGCAACCAAAATGGTCAAAGGCCTGGAAACGATGCCTTATGAGGAACCGCTAAGGGAGCTGGGCATGTTTAGCCTGGAGAAGAGGAGATTAAGGGGTGATATGATAGCCATGTTCAAATATATAAAAGGATGTCACATAGAGGAGGGAGAAAGGTTGTTTTCTGCTGCTCCAGAGAAGCGGACAGGGAGCAATGGATCCAAACTACAAGAAAGAAGATTCCACCTAAACATTAGGAAGAACTTCCTGACAGTAAGAGCTGTTCAACAGTGGAATTTGCTGCCAAGGAGTGTGGTGGAATCTCCTTCTTTGGAGGTCTTTAAGCAGAGGCTTGACAACCATATGTCAGGAGTGCTCTGATGGTGTTTCCTGCTTGGCAGGGGGTTGGACTCGATGGCCCTTGTGGTCTCTTCCAACTCTATGATTCGAAGAAGAAGAAGAAGAAGAAGAAGAAGAAGAAGGAGAAGGAGAAGGCAAAGTCCTTCTTAATGCTTTTAGTTCATTTTCTCCACAGATATATAATTTTGCCTTATATTCATGTTTCTGTACAACAATTTTCCCTGGGGTCAAAAGGAAAGCACTTCAGAAGGACATTTTCCTGCCCTTGCCATGTAGAAGATCTAATAATAATAATAATAATAATAATAATAATAATAATAATTTATACCCCACCCATCTAGCTGGGTTTCCCCAGCCACTCTGGGCAGCTCCCAACGGAATATTAAAAGCACGATAAAAAATCGGACCCAGGACATTCTGCATGCAAAACAGGTATTCTCCCTGAGCTTTGGCCCTTCTAAGTCGGAAGTGGCTTTATTGCCAACAAGGCCAGTGAAAACATGAAGAGCATTGTTTATTGGGACATGTGTCAGATATTTAATACAAGGTCATATCTCCAATAGGATTCTTTAGTCTAAATAACTTGATAACTTTTAATGCACGTTCTTGTCGAAAACTAGACAAAACTCATTCACGGGCATCTATGCTCTTGAATGATTCAGGATTCTACACTCATAAGAAAGAACAGAGAAGATTTTTGTCTCAGTTCCCCATCAGATTATTTCACTGTGGAACGTGTCACTGACAAGCTCGAAGTCACAACAAAAATAAACTGCTTCATCTGCAGCCTCGATGTTAGAGATAGTTAATGAGCCAGAGTCAGAACCGGTGAAGCGAGCTGGGACTCCTTCTCCCCGGGTGCTGGATCCATACCACAGAAAACGGGGAGGCTGTCCAGGTTTCTGTTGATACCAGTGAATATCAGCCCAGAGAGTAGCACCATTTCTTGAGCAGGAGAGTGTAGCAGTTTGGCCCAGAGACACCGACTGGGAGGCAGGCTGAGTCAAACTGGGTTGTGAAGTGACACCTTTCATAAAAAAGAGAGAAAGGAACCATGACTTTGGTACATTTCCTATGCATTCAAATACCACAGAAGCTTTATCTCCCTCTAGCAGACCAAGTTTTGATATTGCCCTACGTGATGTGCGTCTTCCACGCTCTTACCTGAGCAGTAGCTGAGAAGTGTCAGGAAAAGCAGGTACCAGGCCATGGTAAGTCTCCTTTAGAGTCTGACTAAAGATCTAGATGGGATCTTATTCCCCCTCTCTGAAATCCCCTGGAAATGCCAAATGTCTCCTTCGCGCAGATTGGTTGTATGCTCATTGGTTCTGCAAGAGTGTCTTTATCTACTTGCTTCTCTCCGTGAAAAGCCAATGACCAAAGGAGAAATTTGCATGATGATGTTGAGGGCAGGCCTCACTCTGGCCAAGATAAAAATTAAGGGGTCATAGTATTACCAAATACAGTGGTACCTCGGGTTACAGAGGCTTCAGGTTACAGATGTTGATTTAAGCAGAGTCTCGTGCCCAGCGGAAGGATGAGGAATACGTGCTGCATACTCTATATTGCTTTATTTACAGTTCAAAGCTGGTATATTACAGAAAGACATCTTGCCTCTGCCGGAGCAGAAAAAGCATCCTCTCTCCTCGACAGCTCGGAGAGAATCACACAGTGAAAAACAGGAAACCAGTGTACGTCACATCCAGTCTCCCTTTCCCGTGAGAAACTCCAACAGTACAGACTGTGGAATGTAAACACCTGTCTCGTGACAAGCAGAGCTGCGCAGTGAAGGAAAGCAGAAACCAACATCCTCCCCCCTTTCTGTGAACATCACTGGGCAGCGTGTTTGTACAATATCAGTACAAACCCAACTTCTGCACATAGGTACAGTGTTGATCCCTTGATACAATCTTGGACAATACATCAGCAGGAATTTCATTACCTGGCATATAGGACACCGTTACGAGTCCCTTCTGAATACATTCCCTAGCATGCTGCAACTTTAATTGCAAGTGCTTTGTGCTTTGCTTACAACCTTCAGACTTCAGCAAAGCCAAACATGCTTTGTTGTCCTGGTAAACCTGGATTGGACATTTGACAGGAATTTTCATATCTTTGCACAATTGTACTAACCATTCACAATCCTTAAGTGAATAAGACAGTGCATTCAGTTCGGCTTCACAAGTACTTAAGCTAACTGTTGTTTGCTTCTTGCATGACCAATCAAACAGACTCTGATTGTACATGTAGCAAACTCCAGACGTACTTTTCCTGTCTGTAGCGTCACTTCCAAAACTTGCATCTGCAAATATCTCAAGACCACCAGACTTCTGATTGTTAAATCTCAGTCTGTAATGCATAGTGCCTTTCAAATACCGCGCTATGCGTTTCAGAGCTTTCCAGTGCTTGACACTAGGATTGTTGACTTGTCTGCTTAGCAAATTACAGCTAACAGCAATGTCTGGTCTTGAACATCTGGCAATGAAGTTTAGCTTGCCTAGCACACTCCTGTACAGTGTAGTGTCAGAAAATGCTTCTTCAGTGTCATCTACCTGATAACCTGTTGTCATCGGTGTGTCTACAGGGTTAGCATCCATCAGATTTAGTTTGCTTAACACATCAGCAATTTTCCGTGACTGGTGTACTAGAATGTTACCATCTTGATCTCTCTCTATTTCCAGAGATAGGTAGTTGTTTACCTCACCAAGATCTTTCATGTCAAAGTGCTCTTTCAGTTGAGCTAGGGCGCTATTGTACATTGCGACATCTTTCCAAAAGAATAATAAATCATCAACATAAAACAAACAGTACAGTTTCTTTTGCCCCTCCTCTTTGACAAATACACATGGATCAGCTTTCCCTTGCTGAAAACCTAGAGAAAACAATACTTCAGTGAGTTTTGTGTGCCAACACCGTGCACTTTGTTTGAGACCATAAAGGGATTTCTTCAGAGCACAAACAAATCCCTGTTTTACCTGTACGCCATCAGGTGGAAGCATATAAAGTGATTCATCTAGAGATCCGTACAGAAAAGCTGTATTAATATCATGGTGACTAATGTGTAGATTTTCCTCTGCAGCTAGCTTGAGCATAAGCCTAATGCTTTCATATCTCACTGTGGGTGAATAGGTCTCGTGATAGTCTTCACCTGGTACCTGTGCAAAACCTCTGGCTACCAATCTGGCTTTGTGTCTGACTATCTTGCCATTTTGATCTGTCTTCGCTTTGAAGACCCATTTGCTTCAAGCAGTTTCATTCCTGGAACTACTGGAACTAGCTCCCATGTTTTGTTCCTTTCTAAGGAATCAAGCTCAGCCTTCATGGCATTTAACCATGGCTCAGCTTCCTTTGAATCCAAACCCTGGATTTCTTGGAAACTTGAAGGTTCAAATACCTTCTTGGAGCTTTTAACAGCTGTTACTGCTATCGTAGCAAACTCATCAGCAAATCTCTTTGGAGGTTTGCCTTTTGTGGCTCTCTGTGACCTACGAATTAGCCTTAAGTCTTCAACACTCTCCTCTTCCTTCTTAGGAGAAAACCGACCTATTGTGAACAATGGTTCCTCCAATTCTTGATCAGAGCTTTCAGAGGGTCGCATAGAGGCTTTCGCACTCTCGAAATCCTCTGAATCACCCGATTCAGTTTCAGATTCAGACTCAGAACCTTCATCAGTGGGTGTGGGCTGTTGTGGTTGCTTTTGACTATCCTCAGTCTCATCACCGTCATCAGGATAACATTGGAAAATTCCCACATTCTCCCCCACTTTGCATTGTACTCAACACTTCTCGTGAGCTTAATTGTCTTAGAGTCAGTCATCATTATTCTGTAAGACCCTTTCTGATAACCTAGAAAGATACCATGCAATCCACGCTTGTCTAACTTGGAGTTTTGTGGTGAGCGAACCCACATGTCAGAACCAAAAATCTTCATGTGTTTGATGTATGGCTTCTTGCCAAACATCTTCTCATAGAGGTACAACCAATCGCTGAAGATAACCTGCGATTGTAACTGTAAACAAAACACGAGAGAGATTCGGCCCAATAACTCTCTGGAAGATTGGCATCATGCAGCAAGGTTTTTAACCCTTGAAGCAATGTCTGATTTGCCCGTTCCGCAAGTCCATTCTGCCATGGCGAGCGAGGACTAGACAAATCGTGTTGAATTCCTTTCTCAGTCAGAAAAGCTTCAAACTGCTGAGAAGTGAATTCCCCAACGATCACTGAAAAGAGTCTTTATCTTCTTACCATGCACATTTTCCAACCAAGCACAGAATTCCTTGAACCTAGGAAAAGCCTCCGATTTCTGCTTGAGATTGTACACAAAAATATATCTAGAAAATGCATCAATGAGAACCATGAAGTATCTATTTCCACCCAAAGAGGGCGCTAGTGGTCCAACCAAATCAGCATGAACAACCTGGTATGGTTCTGTAGCTTTCCTACTAGACACCTTACCTTTAGCAGCCATTTTCACCTTGTTTGCTGCGCATGCTTTGCACTTCATGTGGTACCTGCAGGGTTTAATAGTCATACCTTCAACCAAGGCAGGCATTTTAGATACTGCCTCAAAATGCAAATGACCAAATTTTCGATGAAAATCGTGAATACATTCTGCATGCAAACTTTTGTTAGAACCTGCAATGCAACAAGTGTCATCCTGCACCACATCATCATAATACAAAACAAACAAACGATCAACATATTCTGCATGCAATACATAATCATTTTTCTTTGTGATGATGCACTTCTTGTTCTTGAAGGAAACGTCAATGTTCCGCTCATTCAGCTGTCCAACGCTGAGCAGATTATGTTTGGCGTCTGGCACGTAAAGCACATTCTGTATCGATAAGTCCAAACTGTGAAGAACAACAGTTCCGTAGCCTTTACTGGGAATAGTGTGGTCATCCGCCTGGTGAATCGCACCTTCCTGCGGTGTAAAAGACACAAACAGTCTCTTATCGTTGCACATGTGGTGGGTGGCCGCTGAATCAACAACGAAGAAAGATCTAGACGTCTTCTGGACCTCTGCAACCTTTGGAGTGAAGCGTGAAACCATAGCCTTGTGCTGCGTTGTCCTAGACACCGGACCTTTGCCTTTGCCTCGGCCTTTTCCGCGCGATGAGCTTTCGCTGCGCTGCTCTGTCTTGGCCCTGGGATATCTGCATTCCCTCTTCATATGGCCTAGACGTCCACACGAGTAGCATTTCACTGCCTTCAAAGCTTTGGCGCCATCTGGTGGTTCCACTGCACTATGGGATGACGTCTGTGAAGACTCCCCCTTGCCCATGCAGCTAGCACCCGGCGATCTGCTTCATTTAAAATCACGGCAGTAACAAAGTCCACTGTCAGCTGAGCAGTTGGTTGCACAGCAATCTGGGTTGCAACAGACTCCCAACCTGAACCCAAAGATTGTAGTATCATGAAAGAATACACAGCCTCTGGAAAGTTGAGTCCTCTCTGTTGCAGCTCATGTCTCAGATTTTGCATCTCCATCAGATGTAAACGCACATCTCCACCTTCAGCAAGAGCCATATTGTGCAGCTTGTTAAAGTAAAACATAGTGGATCCAGCTTCTGTCCTTAAGTGAGCCTCTCTCAAAGCGTCCCAAATTTCTCTGGCTGAGGTCTTATCACGCAATAGACAGAGCTCTTCTGGGGATACTATCAATGTAAGAGTTCCCCTTGCTTTGGAATCCTTAGCTTCCCATGCATCTGTAACTGGAACTGGGGGGGTTTCTGTAATCACCTCAAACAAACCCTCTTTCCGCAGAATTGCCTCTGCATACTGAACCCAGTCGCTGTAATTTTTCTTGTTGAGCTTAGGAATCCCACAAGCATCCTGAAGGGCCATCATGACTCTGGCATTAGCCTTCAGCGTCATATATATGCTGCTTTAAATCTTGCTGCGTCACTGCTGCAGCTGCTTTATTACAAAGCGCACTTAAAAGTTACTTTCGATTTCCCCAGCATAGTGACTTGTGCCTGGGAGCCTTTTGCCTATTCCCGGCAAAACCGGCTTTAAAAGTTCAAAGTCCAGCCATAAAGCCATTAACTTGAAGCTGGCAGGCTGCCCGGAGCAGTAGCACATACCTCATCAATCACTTCTACGCGCAGAGCAGATTCCGTTCCGATCTGTTCCTCTGCATTCCGATCCTTTGCCGGCACTCCGATTCGACTTCTGGAGCCCATAACCACGTGTTGATTTAAGCAGAGTCTCGTGGCCAGCGGAAGGATGAGGAATACGTGCTGCATACTCTATATTGCTTTATTTACAGTTCAAAGCTGGTATATTACAGAAAGACATCTTGCCTCTGCCGGAGCAGAAAAATGCATCCTCTCTCCTCGACAGCTCGGAGAGAATCACACAGTGAAAAACAGGAAACCAGTGTACGTCACATCCAGTCTCCCTTTCCCGTGAGAAACTCCAACAGTACAGACTGTGGAATGTAAACACCTGTCTCGTGACAAGCAGAGCTGCACAGTGAAGGAAAGCAGAAACCAACAACAGACACTTCAGGTTACAGACTCCGCTAACCCAGAAATAGTACCTTGGGTTAAGAACTTTGCTTCAGAATGAGAACAGAAATTGCGCGGTGGCAGCAGGAGGCCCCATTAGCTAAAGCGGTCTTCAGGTTAAGAACAGTTTCAGGTTAAGAACGGACCTCTGGAACATATTAAGTTCTTAACCTGAGCTACCACTGTACAGTCATACCCCAGCTCCTGAACATCTTGGGAGTCGAATGTTTTGGCTCCCGAATGATTGAAAACCAGAAGTGAGTGTTCCTGTATTCGAACGTTAAATTGGAAGCCAAATGTTTAATGGGGCTTCTGCAGCTTCCCATTGGCTGCAGGAACTTCCTGCAGCCAATCAGAAGCTGCCCTTCGAGAGTCAAACGTTTCGGAAGTCAAACGGACTTCCGGAATGGATTCTGTTTGACTTCCGAGGTACAACTGTACATAACCTAAGGGCAGATGATGCCCAGGGTTCATCACAGTAGAATGAGCAGAAGGTTCCCTAAATGCACCAGTTATGAAGTGGAGCAACACCCACTGCCATATAAAGACCCTCCCATCCCATTTAGTTCATTAAGTCCACAGCTGAAATTTTTCAGAACTCTGGTTGGGGTACATTGTTCAGATAGAGGACTACAAGCCCATCTGGATCATATTCTGGATAATGAGGGAGGGGGGCTGAGGTGAAAGTGGGTGGAGCAACATCTAGTGATGTTACCTTTGTAGTACAGGCTGGTTTCTATGCTCCCACTCCCCTTTCTTATCAATTCAGACAATCTAGAAGTGTTGTCAGAATTCAAGGACACAATCCAGATGACCAGAAACACGCAAGGAGACCACATAGCAGAGGGGTGAGTGATGTGGCCTGGATGGAGGGTATGTCTTAAGATGGGCATGATCTGTGGCTATCTTGAAGGGTCATCTAGAAAGGCCTGGACATTGAGATGCAAAGTCGTGGAGGGAAAGTTCCTTCCTATGTGGTGGACTTGTAAAAGGGAAAGAGAGTATTGGGAAATGATCCATAATGAATTGAAAAAAATGTTTCAAAGTACTCCCCACTCCACCCCACCCCCAGAGTCCTCTCTGTTGGGGATAGTTCAGACTGAAATTCCCAGGTGTCAAAAAAGGTGATTTATGTATGCCACTATTGCGACCCGTGTTTTGTTAGCCCCCAAATGGAAAACAAGCGAAGTCCCAACCAAAGAAGAATGGCAACTTAAGTTGACAGAATATGCACAACTTGCAAACTTAACACATAGAAACAGAGAACAAGAAGAACATATATTCAGAGAAGATTGGAAAACATTTATTGAATATATGGGAAATAATTGTGTACAGCTGAAAACATTGGCAGCATTAAGATAAATTCAAGTGTTGACGGATGTAATAATGGAATACTGAATGGTTTAAGTTTATGTAAAATATGCAGGGATTTATGATATGTAAAATGAACCATGGAAAGAGAAGAGGAAGTCATTGCTATTTTAAGGATGTAAAAATGAGTACAGTGGTACCTCGGGTTAAGTACTTAATTGTTTCCGGAGATCCATTCTTAACCTGAAACTGTTCTTAACCTGAAGCACCACTTTAGCTAATGGGGCCTCCTGCTGCTGCCGCGCCTCCGGAGCACAATTTCTGTTCTCACCCTGAAGCAAAGTGCTTAACCTGAAGCACTATTTTTGTGTTAGCGGAGTCTGTAACCTGAAGCGTATGTAACCTGAGGTACCACTGTATTTTAAAATGGAAAACAGAAAATTTAATAAAAATTATATACAAAAAGGAAAAAAGACACCTGAACTTTGCCCCCAGTTGTGGGAACTTACAAAGCTTTCCACAGCTTGAATCGTGGGTTAACTGGATGAGAGCGAGGTTATCGTTTGATTTCTGTGCCTGAATGAGTAGGAAAGACGGGGCAGTTGGCGGTGGAAACTTGAGCAGATATGTCCTTCCTGAGCATGTCCTCCTTCATTTGCTTCACAGCTGCAGGTGGTGCATGGGCTTTCTGTGACTGGTAAATTCTATGAGATATGGGAAGTTGGTCCATCTTACAGGCCAAAAGTAGACAGCCAACATTCTACAGACAGTGGTACCTCAGGTTAAGTACTTTATTCATTCCGGAGGTCCGTTCTTAACCTGAAACTGTTCTTAACCTGAAGCACCACTTTAGCTAATGGGGCCTCATGCTGCCGCCGTGTGATTTCTGTTCTCATCCTGAAGCAAAGTTCTTAACCCGAGGTACTATTTCTGGGTTAGCGGAGTCTGTAACCTGAAGCGTATGTAACCTGAGGTACCACTGTACAAGATTTGAGAAAACGTGTGTCGGGTGGTGGGGAGGACAAAGCCCCACCCTTTAATCAGAGCTGAATTCAGACGTGCAAGTTCTGTCAGGGTCTACGTCAAGGGCAAATGTGAATTCACATAGCCGCAAGTGAAGTTGAGCAAAGAATTTCCAGGAGTCCAGTTGCAGCAGCAGCAGCCTCCTTGAGACTTTTTCAGGTCGACCATTTTGTATCCGATAGCTTGTGAAGGTTGGATTTGCATGAACTGCAAAACCTCATTTAAAGGGTGGTGTCAGAGACTGGACTGAAGAGGAGGAGGAGTGGAAGGGGTGTCCCCTCCCCGCCTTCTCCTGTAGCTTCCAGAGAGAAGGAAGGCAGTCCTGATGTACAGCAGGGCTTGGAGGAAGATAACAGCTCAGAGATAGGCAGACAGCAGAGCTATGCAGAGTTAGGAGAAGGGGGAGGGGAGGCAGAGCAGCTGGCTAACACGTCACTGGACAGCATAACCGACCCCCCTCCTCCCAAAATGCGGCCTTCATTAAGAGTGCAAGAACAAAGAGCACAGAGACAATGGTCCACGGACAGACGCCGTAGGAACAGGTGTTGTTGCTGGAGGGGAGAGGCGGAGGAGCTCAGTGTGAACAACTCCATTATGGAGGAATGTCCGGAATTCTTTGTCCTTACCGCGATGACTGAATAAATCACATGTATTATAATAATAATAATAATAATAATAATAATAATAATAATAATAATTTATTATTTATACCCTGCCTCTGGGTGGCTTCCAACAGAATATTAAAATACAGTAATCTATTAAACATTAAAAGCTTCCCTAGACAGGGCTACCTTCAGATGTCTTCTAAAAGTCAGATAGTTGTTTTTTTCTTTGACATCTGGTGGGAGTGTGTTCCACAGGGTAGGTGCCACTACCAAGAAGGCCCTCTGAAGGTTCCCTGTAACTTGGCTTCTCGCAGCGAGGGAACCGCCAGAAGGCCCTCGGCGTTGGACCTCAGTGTCTGGGAAGAACGATGGGGTGGAGACGCTCCTTCAGGTATACTGGACCGAGGCCGTTTAGGGCTTTAAAGGTCAGCACCAACACTTTGAATTGTGCTTGGAAACGTATTGGGATCCAATGTAAGAACTGGTTTGAGAGGCCAGGGGCCTTGTAACTACAGTTTTGACAAGGTCGTGCCAAAATTGTGGACCTCTGCGTAATGGTGGGACATGTCACTGTCTCAAGGCAAATCTTAAAAAATGTAGTATAAACACTGACAACTGGGAAACACTGGCCTGCGAGCGTTCCAGTTGAAGAACAGCCTTTACCAAAGGTGTCATGGGCTTTGAAGACACTCGAACTTAGGACGCAAGGGAGAAACGTGATAAGAGGAAGGCATGCTTCGCAAATCCACACCATGATCAACTCCCACCCAGAAACCAATGTCCCCACTGTGGAAGGATCTGTGGATCCAGAATTGGCCTCCACAGTCACTTACGGACTCATTGTTAAAACCATGTTTATGGAAGACAATCTTACTCAGCTACGAGTGATTGCCAAAGAAGAGAAGAAGAAGAAGAAGAAGAAGAAGAAGAAGAAGAAGAAGAAGAAGAGGAGGAGGAGGAGGAGGAGGAGGAGGTGAGGTCATTTCTGTAAAAGAATCCATCTGTTTAAATAACTTGATATTCTTGCCAAAAAGAAATAAAGTTCATTTGGACCAAACTCAGCTCTTGCCTAATTCTGGTTTCTTTGCTTTATGGGGAAGGAGAGAGAAAGTTTTTGTCTCAGTTCCCCATCAGATGGTACCACAGTGGAACTTCGGGGTACCGGTGCCTTCCCATGCAAAACAGTGATAAACTGCCTCATCTTCAGCCTGGACATTGGAGATGGTTAAATAGCCGGTATCCTCAGAGGGAGAAGCGGTGAACCTATCTGGGACCCCGTCTCCCCTGGTGCTGGGACCATACCATAGAAAACGAGGAGGCTGCCCAGGTTTCTGTTGACACCAGCCAAAGGTCTGCCAGCTCCCCTTATTCTTAGAGCAGGAGAGGGTCACAGTCTGACCCAGGGACACAGACTGGGATCCCAGCTGGGTCAATGCTGGCTGTGAAATAACACCTTTGTAAAAAAAGAGAAAAAGAAATGTATGATTCTCAATCCTCTCTGTTCTCACATATCACCTGAACTTTAAGGCACTATGATAAATAAACATTACAGATATGCCCCCCCCCCATTTAGGCCAGCTTAAGTCTACTTCTTTTTGTATTTACCTAAACAGTAACTGAGAAGAACCAGGAAAAACAGAGTCCAGGCCATGGTGAGCTCTCTAAAGCAAGGCGACTTTCTGAAGGTTAACAGGCAACTGCTGGTGGTCCTGAGTCTTTCCTTTGCTAAAACTTCCCAGAGCTGGTGAAGGATCTTTTGATGCAAATCCAGGCGGTGCTCATTGGCTCTGTTAAAAAGCCCTTGTCTGGAATAAATGATGCAGTAAGCAAAATACAATGGAACTGATTTGGATAAAGGTGATGTTTGCTTTTTAAAATGAGGAGGTTCTTGTCTTGTGAACTTGAGGTCAATTGACTAGGTCAGTTTACCTCAAGGAAGCAGGATTGGGGCTGTAGTTCAAGGGATGAGGGGTGATGTGTGGATGCTGAAGATGTCGTCCCTGCATCTCAAATTAATTTTTAAAAAATCAAGCAGCACATGATGACAAAGGAGGGTGGTGGGTTGGCTTCTTTCAACTAGCAGTGTTTAAATAGGCTTGCAAGTTATCATCATCATCATTATTAATTTTATTATTCACAAACAGAAAGAAAATGAAAAACATAGTTACAATTCATAAACCATATTTTACCAAACCCAAACTCATATAGACTAATAAAGAACTATAATTTGCACCTGTCTGACTTCCATCCACCACAACTCGACATCCTTTACTGCATACTCTTATTTACATTGTGTCCTTATATTGTTCATTTTATATCGATTAGTAATTTTACCTTGAATTAGTTCCTCTTTGCATACTTATTCTATGCATATAAATATGTTTTCCTTAGAGCAGTGTTTTTTCATATATTCCTCAAAACATTGCCATTCCTTCCTTTGATTAGACTGATTTCTTATGGCTGCTGTTACTTTAGCTAATTCTATAAATTCACATAATTTACTTTTCCAGTCTTCCTTTGTGGGAAGTTTTTAGCAAGCAATAATCTGGCTGCGGCTGTGCCATATAATTTTTTTTATTCTGTTGAGACTAAGACAGCCAGTTGTGTCTGCCTTGGTGTTGAAACCCTTTTATTTATGGGAATCTGCCTTATAGCAGCTCCAACTATTTCTTCATTTAAGGCAATTCCAGCTTGCCATTATTTTCAGGTGAGATTCAGTCACGTACCAGCAAATTGAGGCTGCACAATTCAGGTTGATTTCAAGGTGTTGTGCAGGAAGCCAGCTCCTCCTCAAGCGAGTAGTCAGGCATAAGAAAAAACATTCTGACGCTTCGCTTCACCCCAACAGTTCAGTTTTTGTAACAATTCTCCATTTCGTAATATAATTCACTATTATTATTTTTAAAAAACGGGTAGGTGGCCCAACATTGTCCCCTGGAGGTTAAAGCCAGAACAGCAGATACCACAAAACGCCTGCATCACATTTCAAAGCAAAATACTGAAATCACAATCTAGTCAGTCTTAGTTACAGGTAGGTAGCCGTGTTGGTCTGTCGTAGTCGAAACAAAATAAAAATTTTTCCTTCCAGTAGCACCTTAGAGACCAAGTGAGTTTGTTACTGGTATGAGCTTCGTGTGCATGAAGAATCTGAAGAAGTGTGGATGCTCACAAAGCTCATACCAATAACAAACTCAGTTGGTCTCTAAGGTGCTACTGAAAGGAATTTTTTTAATTTTGTTTAGTCAGTCTTATGCATTCACATTCCCCTTGCTTTCCCCACCAGGAAGAAAGGGTGTGTTCAACTTTGGTTGTGTGAAGTTGTGCTTGAAAACAACATTCACGGGAGCTCCTGCTTTGTATTGTTGTGGAAGGATCATAGTTTATTGGCAGTGAACACACACATGTATATTGTAAATGTGTGAATCTGTTTATTCTTCTACATAGTTCATACTCATTTTGATACAGCTATGCGGTGTCGCACATATCAGTTTAGATGCTAATTCCTATTGGAAACCTGGAATATATATTTTGTATAACGTTACACATATAACAATGTATATAATAATACAACATTGGCTCCCCATCTGTGGGATGCTCTCCCCAGGCAAGTTTGCCTGGCGCCTTCATTACACACCTTTTGGCGCCAGGCAGAAACGTTCCTTTTTAACCAGGCCTTTGGTTGATCTGATTTACTTCCTATGCCCTTTTTAAAATGTGGGGTTTTTGTGGGGAGGAGCTATTTGGTGGTTGCTTTTATTTTATTATGTATTTTGTGGTTTTATATCTTGATTTTATTCTGTGAACCTCCCAGAGACCCCTAGGTATAGGGCGGTATATAAATTTAATAAATAATAATAATAATAACCTCACAATGGTAACAAGCTGCTCAATAATAGATTAAACGACTTGAGAGATTATAGGATCTTCCACTATGGTGGCATTTAAGCGATGGACGGGAAGCTACCTGTCAGATATGCTGAGGTTTGCAAGATTCCGGCATTCAGCAGTTAGATGAACTCCAACGTCCCATCCAGAAGGTACTCAAAAATGATAAATTTTGCCAGTACAGTGGTACCTCGGGTTAATAACTTAATTCGTTCCGGAGGTCCGTTCTTAACCTGAAACTGTTCTTAACCTGTGGTACCATTTTAGCTAATGGGGCCTCCCACTGCTGCCACGCCGCCACCGTGCGATTTCTGTTCTTATCCTGAAGCAAAGTTCTTAAGCCGAGGTACTATTTCTGGGTTAGCGGAGTCTGTAACCTGAAGCGTCTGTAACCCAAGGTACCACTGTATTATACACCCCGATCATTCATGGCCTGTTGGCGGTTCCCTAAATAAAACCAAAAGGACACAAAGACAATAGATCAGGCTTCCTCAAACACGGCCCTCCAGATGTTTGAAGACTACAATTCCCATTATCCCTGACCACTGCTAGCTAGGGATCGTGGGAGTTGTAGGCCAAAAACATCTGGAGGGCCGAGCTTAGGGAAGACAGCCATAGATAGAACTGAAAACTATCAAAGCAGTCAAAACCCAGACAAGAGCAGAAAGCCAGTAAATAGCATTAAAAACCAACAAGGGGGATCATAGGAGCCAACTCCTAGGGGCTGAAATCCGTTTGCCCTCCCTCCAAGAAAATGTTTGATGGGGCTGCCTCTCTCCCCCCCCCCCAGTTGATGGGCATTGCCATTCAAATGGTGCTGTGTGGGTCGTGTCCTGTGATCAGCATTGCGGGGCAGAGCTTACTTGTCTCTCCCCCCTAAGAATATTTTATTCAGGTTGACACCCCTGAGGAGAATACAATTTAGCCAGGAGGTTGGAAATTGCAAATAAACAGTGTTCTCAGAAGTGGAAGTTCTTGGCCTTCCTGATTTCTGATTCTTCCGGTCATTTTAACGATTTCAGCACGATCCATCAACTTGATCTGTCATTCTTCTCTGGTATAAGTCAGCTCCTGAGCGATCCTTGTTTGAAAACTCCAGGTGAAGTGTGAGAGAGAGGTTTTTGTATCAGTTCCCCATTAGATTGTACCACCGTGGAACACGTTACTGCCTGTCACCCAGTCAGCACAGTAATAAACCGCCTCGTCTTCAGCCTGGACATTGGAGATGGTTAAATAGTAAGTGTTCCCAGAGACAGAGGGAGTGAACCGATCAGGGATCCCTTCTCCCCGGGTGCCGGTAGCATAGAACACGAAACGAGGAGCCTGTCCACCTTTCTGTTGAAGCCAGCTATAAATATGCAAGCTGCCACTACTTCTAGAGCAGGAGAGTTTGACAGTTTGACCCGGGAGCACAGACTCAGAGGCAGGCTGGATCAATGTTGTCTGCGATGTGACACCTTTGCAAAAGAAAAATCAAATAAAAGCACATGAATCATTTCCAGTGTTCTCAAATATTAGGAAAGACTATAGCTTTCTTGCTGGTACATGCATCATTTTCTGCGCCCTCAGATTTCAGAAAATTATTATCTTCTTGTGAAAGTAACAGAAGTCAAGTCAAATAATATGTTAGGTCTCCACAAACATACCTGAACAGTAACTGAGACATGTGACGAGAACAAGGATCCAGGCCATGGTGAATGTCAAAAGGAGGGTGGATCCCACAAACAGATCTCTAGTCTGGTGGCACCTCCCTGCCACCCTCTTAAATCACCTGGGAAATGAGGCACGAGCAATTATGCAAATACCTCGACACCCGTTGGCCTTGCTAGAAAGAATATGAGGAAATACAGGGAAAAACCAGAAGATGACCACAGAACAGATTTAGCATGAAGGGGGTGTTTTCACAGAAGATTGAAGCTTCTATGTATTGCTTAGGTCATGATTGGGGAACTGTAGAACCAGGGGCTGAATATGGCCTCCCAAAATAATAATAATAATAATAATAATAATAATAATAATAATAATATTAACTATTATTGTTGTGTGTGTATGTATTATTACCCACCCATCTGGCTGGGCTGCCCCAGCCACTCTGGGCAGCTAACAGTTTACATAAAGACATATGAAAATGTCAAACATAAATTTTCCATTGCAGGCCTGCCTTCAGATGTCTTCTGATAGTTGTAGTACTTTGCAGTTAGTCCATCCGGCCCTGGAGATTTGCCCAGTTTCATATTCTGAATTGCTCCTTCCACCTCTTGATCAGATATTGTAGAGTTTAATATCGATTTACTCTCTTGAGATACTTTTTGTAATCCATTATTTTCCAAAAATCGGTCAATGTCTAATTCTTTCTGAGTCTCCTGCGTATATAACTGTTTAAAATAATTCTGAAAGCACTTCCGAATCTCTCCAGGATTCTGTATGTTCTCCCTTCTACAACCAAGTTCGTAATCGTATTCAGCTTTTGTCTTTTTTTCATTTGCCAGGCCAATAATTTCCCACATTTATTTGCCGATTCGAAAGTCTTTTGTTTCATCTGTTTGATCTTCCATTCTATCTCCTGGTTCATCAATTTCATATATTGTACTTGGTATAGCTTTATCTCTTTTAAAATCTCCTGTGAGTTCGGTTTCGCTCTCAGTCTTTTTCTCCATCCTTAATTTTCTCCAAAATTTTTCTCTCTTCTCATTTTGATATCTTTTCCTAATTGAATTTTGTTGTATCAAAATCCTCTCATCACCGCTTTACTGGCATCCCAAATCACTCTTTTTTTCTGTCGTAGTATTCAAATTTATTTCAAAATAGTCTCTCAAATTCTTCTGAGCCTTTTTAATAATTTCCTCATTCCTAAATAAGGAGTCATTCATCCTCCATCTAAAGGCCCCAATTGGCGTTGATATCATTTCAATCTTTACTGGATTGTGATCAGAGCAAATTTTCGGGCAAATCACCGCTTTTTTAATTTTAGGAGCCAGTCCTCTAGTTATCCAGATTTGGTCTATTCTTGTCCATGTCATATTTGCTTCAGAGAAGAAGGTTCCTTCTCTTTCCAAGGGGTTCTTTATTCGCCAAATATCCACAAGATCCATATTGTCAGTCATTTCAAAAAATGTCCTTGGCAGTCTTCCATCTTTTGTCACTGTTTGTCTTTGGGCTTTATCCATATTTGTAGACACTACTCCATTCATATCTCCCATCAAAATAATGTTGTAATCCAGATAATCCAGGAGAGTTTCATGCAGTTTCTTAAAGAATTCTGATTTTCCCTCATTTGGTGCATATACGCCTATTATCAAAAATTTCTGTCCTTGGAATTGAATTTCAATTGCTATATATCTTCCTTGATCATCTTTAAATATAAATTTTGGTGACAGGCTTTCCTTCGCATAAAGTACTACCCCTCTTTTTTACATTATCCGATGAGATAAATTCCTCCCAATCTTTTATTTATCAAAATTTTCCAATGTAGCCTTGTCACATGAGTCTCTTGTAGGCAAATCAAGTCCAAATGTTCTTTTTTCAGTGTATGAAATACTCTCCCCCTTTTTGCCGACGAATTTAGACCGTTAATATTCCAGCTTAAAATTTGTAGTGTCATTTTGTAGTTACTCTCCTTCTCCTCCAACAGCCCCAAGAAGATTGTCTATATCTGTCGGTGGCGTTGGTTTCACTTTGTGTTGCAGACCCTTATCCGGTATCGCAATGTCGATTCCCAATCCTTTCTGTAGATTTTCTTCGTATGCACTCAGAAACTTGTTCTTTTCCTCCACTGATCTAATCTTGGTCTTTCTTCCTTTGAAGCTAAAGGATAGACCTTGGGAATTTCCCACCTAAAAAGGATTTTATTTTTCTCAACAAGTCCACCAAATCTCCAAAGTCCTTTCTTAAATCAAGAAGATGTTTTGGTATATCTTTGAAGATTTCCACTTTTGATTGTATAATTGTCAAAGGTTTTTCGTAATGCAAGCCCAAAATTTTGTCCCTTTCTTCTTTGGATCGGAGGGTGATCAAACAGTCCCTTATTTTGATCTTTCTTCCTCCTTTCCCCAGTCGAAAGGCCCTCACAATCTTAAAATCCTCTTGTTTCAATTCCGATTTCCAAAAGTCCAAAAATTCTTGTGTCAAAAAGTCTATCAAGGTACCTTTCTCCAACTCAGGAACAGCTCTAATTCTAAGATTCGTTTGTTTGTCTTTAAGGTCAATCATAGACAACGTTAACTTATGTTCTGCAATCTCTTTCTGCAAGTCTGGTACTTTTTCAGTTTCCAATTGCCCCAATTTAAATTCTACAGCAGCAGTTTTTCTGTATAGACTTTGAGTCTTGCAGTAGTTTCTGAATAGATTCCGTATTGCTGTTTACTTTTTTCTCCAAATTGCCTAATGTTTCTGTGTTTAAGTCAATTTTCCTGTTTGCAATATCCACTTTCTGGTTCGTCTCTTCCACCTTCCTATTCGTCTCCCCCACTTTTGTACTTAATTGCTGTATTGATTCATTAATCTTAGTCAGAGCACTGGCTAAAAGTTCCTCAGACATTCCACCAGACTTAGATTGTATTGCCGATGCGGGCAAACCAGCAGATGATTGCCTTCTATGTGTCCAAGGTTTCCCTGATCTCAAAGTTGACTGGTCTTTTTGACCATCAGCCATAACAAAGTGAAGGTCAAATTCCTTTCCCACGTCTGATGTTCCTGTTTATAAGTGGAAAATTCCTTTCCTTTCCTGTAATTGCAGGGAGTCCCACTAGATGGACACTGTTACCACCTAGCAAGTTACTGTCCTTTTGAAATAACAGGAGAAAGATACTAAGTAAAAAGGCAAAAATAGAGAACACAATATAGCTTTCCAGTCCTTTCCAATCTTTTCCCAATGAAGTTGGCCACAGTGTATCTCCTTTGCAACCAACAAGCAGCTTTAACAGCTTTGACAGCTGAGACGTCCCACTGACAGGTCACTCATTAAATCCTTCAATTTAAACAGTCCGGTAGAATCAAGAGTCTTTCCCTTATCCCTCCAAAGGGTAGATCCCTCCAAATTTCTCAGGTCAGAAAGAAACACTTATTTCAGTTCAGTTTTCCCACGTTTAGCTCCAAATCTCTTTGCTTTATTCCATAAACAGTGCAGGGAAGCGGACTTCCTGTTTACGCTTCCACCGCGGTAGCCAATTCAGATGTTTTTAAACGGCTTAAAACTTTTCCGCTTTTTCACAAATAGTCCAATTAATCCAAATAATGCTCTTTTATCCAATTCTTCTACTCACGGTTAAATTTTAAGTCCAAATGTCCCAGGAATAAGTCAGCGCTCTCCAGCAACGGCAACACGGCTTCGCTCAGTGAAAGCAGCGATCCGCTCGCAGCACCGCGCTTCTCCCCCGCTCCCTTCTGAAGCCTCAAAAAAAGGCTTCCTTTCGGGTTGGGGGGGGCGCTCCAAGGTGCCAGCCGAGCCTCCACGTTCACAGGCGTCCGCGCCTGCGATTTCTGAGGGTCCCCGCTTCGCCGGAGCGCACAGGACCCGATCTCCCGCTGAGCTACCCCCTCCGAAACTCAAAGGAGGTCCGCCATTGCTGCTGGCGCTGACCGGAAGTATTATTACCCACCCATCTGGCTGGGCTGCCCCAGCCACTCTGGGCGGCTAACAGTTTACATAAAGACTTAGTAAAATGTCAAACATAAATTTTCCATTGCAGGGCTGCCTTCAGAAGTCTTCTGATAGTTGTGTAGTTCTTTATCCCTTTGACATCTGATGGGAGGGCATTCCCGAGGCAGGGTGCCACTGTCAAGAAGGCCCTCTGCCTGGTTCCCTGTAACCTCACTTCTCACAGTGAGGGAAGCAGCAGAAGACCCTCGGAGGAAGACCTCAGTGTCCGGGCTGAGCAATGGACGGTGGAGAAGCTCCTTCAGATATTTGCTTTTGTGGGTCTCAGGACGTGCTCTGAACATGCCCGCTTCAGGCCACATGCCTCACTGGCATGGTGCTGTGGCCCCCAATGATTCTGCCTGGCTTGAACATATCCCTGAATGTTGATGATGCTATAATAATAATAATAATACACACACAATAATATGCAAACGTATTTAAGCACTCCTTGTTGAAAGTAGCCAACCCACCACCCTCCTTTCTCAGATTCAGGGACTCACAACAAAGGTGGAAATTAAGAAATAAAATCAGCTCCCGAACTCTGAAGCTTTGTCCAGGTTGCAATGGAAACTTCTCTCCATTGCAAACTATGATTACGGGGGGGGGGGGGGGGTGGAGTGGCTCATCAGCACTGCTCCTCATGCAAATGTCTCCTAAGCGAGTCGTCAGGCATAAGAAAAAACATTCTGACGTTTCGCTTCACCCCAACAGTTCAGTTTTTGTAACAATTTTCCGTTTTGTAATATAATTCACTTTTAAAAACAACAACGGGTAGGTGGCCCAACATTGTCCCCTGGAGGTTAAAGCCAGAACAGTAGACACCACAAAACGCCTGCATCACATTTCAAAGCAAAATACTGAAATCACAATCTAGTCAGTCTTAGTTACAGGTAGGTAGCCATGTTGGTCTGCCAAAGTTGGAACAAAATAAAAAAATTCCTTCCAGTAGCACCTTAGAGACCAACTGAGTTTGTTATTGGTATGAGCTTTCGTGTGCATGAAGAATCTGAAGAAGTGTCGATGCTCACGAAAGCTCATACCAATAACAAACTCAGTTGGTCTCTAAGGTGCTACTGAAAGGAATTTTTTTTATTTTGTTTAGTCAGTCTTATGCATTCACATTCCCCTTGCTTTCCCCACCAGGAAGAAAGGGTGTGTTCAACTTTGGTTGTGTGAAGTTGTGCTTGAAAACAACATTCACGGGAGATCCTGCTTTGTATTGTTGTGGAAGGATCATAGTTTATTGGCAGTGAACACACACATGTATATTGTAAATGTGTGAATCTGTTTATTTTTCTACATAGTTCATACTCATTTTGATACAGCTATGCGGTGTCGCACATATCAGTTTAGATGCTAATTCCTTTTGGAAACCTGGAATATATATTTTGTATAACGTTACACATATAACAATGTATATAATAATACATTGGCTCCCCATCTGTGGGATGCTCTCCCCAGGGAAGTTTGCCTGGCGCCTTCATTACACACCTTTTGGCGCCAGGCAGAAACGTTGGGATTCAAGCCTTTATCAGGAGAAACTGGCCACTCTCCAGGCACCCGGCTTGATCTCCTGATGACCTCCCTGTCTGCATTCCCCAGCAGGATCCAGGCAAAGGTCGCAATAGGCGATCCTTCTCAGCGTGAGAAGAACACACCCCCTCTTTCCTGCCCCCCCGGGCAGGAGGAAGATAGACAGAAACGTATTTACGTGCCTTTATTTCTGTCTTTGCAGCGTTACAATAATTATGACTGCTCTCTTCAAGCTTCAGCAGTCGAGAGACAAACTCCTCCTGTACTTCCTGTACAGCTCATATTACACTCTGAGCTAATTCCGGTGTCCTCTGCACTGTGAATTGACTGTCCCTCTGTTTCCCACGGAACAGTCCCAACATTCCCATTATGTTTTGCTTTCAAGCTACCAGCTCGCGGCCGCATTGCTTCTATATCGTAACATACTCCCCCATATGAATCAATGTGCGCTGCAAGCAAAGCGTGATCCAGAGAAGAAAACAAACAGTTGTTATACATATAACACTCGCCTGTTGTTTCAGTTCCACCCTTGGAACTACCCGCCACTGGTTTCCCCAGTGTATCTCTCTGGTTGTCTGTCTTCCAAGGAATGAGTGCATCTGCATTACCTTGGCTAGGGAATGTAGTGTTACGCTTAGCAACTCTCTGTTGTGTCTTTGTCTCTGACTTAGACACAGCTTCAACCTGTCTTGAGTTGTCAACAATAGTAACACATGCTACAGCTGAGTTAGCAAACTCTTTTGAATACCTCTTGGGTGGTACACCCTTTGTAACTCTCTCGGACCTGCGTATGAGGTGCTGATCCTCTCTGCTCACTGGTTCAGTCTCAGGACTCTTTGGAGAACCAGTTCCAATAGTAAACAGTGGTTCATCCTTCACCTGTGAAGGTCTATCCATTGTGTGAGATTTCCTCTCAATGACTGTGTCAACTGAGCTCTTTGAGCTATCACTGTCACTCTCAGTACCACTGTAATCAGTAAAATCATCATCATCATCATCTGAATTGTCCTCAGTGGGAAATGTGTGAACAATTACTCTCTCCTGTTCAGGAGCACTCTCTAGAAATTTTGTGAGAACCACCTGACCAGATTCAGACAAAATTACTCTGTAGAGACCCTTTTCATAACCCACAAAAATGCCTCTAGCATTCTTTACTCCACCTGGAGCTTCAGTCTTCACATGAGACCCAAAAACCTTAAAATGTGCAACAGAAGGTTTTCTGTGGAACAGCTTTTCAAAAGGAGAACTTCCTAAACCTTTTGAAACCTTTCTCATCCAATTGTAACAAAAACACAATATCGATTCCGCCCAGTACTCATGTGGCAAATGTGAACTCAGCAATTGTGCCTTCATGCCATTTTGCAATTCTTTGTTCACTTGCACACAGATACTTCTGTTCCATGCTTCTGCAGAAACAGCAGTCTTGTGCCTTATCCCTTTCTTATCCAGGAAATCCTGAAAATCCTGCAAAAGAAAAACTGGCTTTTCATCTGTGAAAAGACAATCAATGTTAGCATCATGAACATTCTTAACCTTGTCACAAAACTCTTTAAACCTTTCTAAGGCTTCTTGTGGTTTCTGCAATATATATACCCACACATAATGAGAGAAATAATCCACACACACAAGATAATATCTTGCATTGCCTCTAGATGGTGCTAGAGGACCAATCACATCAGCATACACTCGCTGAAAAGCTTTAGTTACTTTCGTCGTCTTCTGGACGTTTTTCGACACACCTGCGAGAGAAATCATGTTAGAATCAGATGCATTACAATTTATGCAATCACTTTGATCAAAAGTCAACAAATACAGTCCATCTTCTCTCTGGCAGAAAGATACAGCTCTCCATCTTTGAAGATTTTGCAGCTTTCTCTATCATAGGACAAAGTCAGTCCTTTCTTTGTGATCTGCGAAACACTCAGCAGATTGAACTTTAAATCAGGAACCAAATACACATTGTTTATAGTCAAGTTCAGACTCTCAAGATACACAGTTCCAAACCCGGTCGCTTCCAGCTCCTGACCGTTGGCTTGTTTCACAGTGAAGCTTTGCTTCTTAAACGTTGAAAACAGATCTTGCCGCGACGTCATGTGTTGCGTCGCTCCAGTGTCCAAAATAAAAGCGTTCTCCATTGAAAATGCGGCTTTTGTTGACAGCAATGCCTTTGCCGGTTTCACCTGGGACTTGGTACGACTTTTGCCTGATGCCTCAGGCTTTGCAGAGCTCCCTTTAGCTCCTTTCTGTTGATGTGGCTTCTTACAATTCCGCTGAAGATGCCCAGTCTGTCCACAATTGAAACAACGGACAACGTTCAAAGCAACAGCCTGTTCTTCACTAGCAATAGCAGCGGGGGTGTCAGAACTCCGAGCTTCTCTCCCCCTGTCTTTGACATCTATTGCAGCAAGTCTGTCTTTCTCATTGAGAATCACGGCACAAATTCTCTCCGCCGAAAGATCTGCGGCAGGTAGAGAACCAAGCTGACTTGCAACCGTTTTATAAGTCCGATTAAGGCTGTTAATAATCATGAAGCAGAATATCTCTTCCTGTAGAGGAAATTGCGTTCCGCCATCTGCTGGCGTAAGAATTTCATCTCTGTCAGATGCGCTTGTACATCTCCATCAGGCGCTAGCCTTAGATTGGTTAGCTTTTCAAAATGCAGCAACGCTGAAGAACCAGCATCTCTTTGATGTATTCTACGCAGCGTTTGCCAAATCTCACGCGCGTCTTCCAAATCCTGAATATGCACGAGTTGATCATCTGAGATACACAGAATTATGGCCGTCCTGGCTCTCACATTCTGTGAATTCCAACCTGGCGTTGGTGCAGCAGGGATGGGGTTATCAATCACCCCAAAAATCCTCTGATTCTGAAGCAGGGCTTTCATCTTTACAGACCATGAGGAATAATTGTCATTAGTCAGTGGAGGTGGGTAAGGTAAGCTTCCCCCCTTCTTGGTATCCATTTTGAATCCAAGTGGCAGCTCTCACTCTCGAGCCTGTAAAATTCCAAGAGTCTATTGGCTGTTTACTGCCTCACTTGGCAGCTAAACACAGGCTGTTTTGAAAGTCCCTCCAAGAGCAGTGAGATAATAGACAAAACAAACGCTGTTTACCAGCCTCTCACAGTCCCAGCCCCACTTCCGTTGTTGGCCAGTAACTTTCCACTTTACTGACGTTTCGTTGCTTAGCAACTGGACATTCCAGGCTTATCAAGACTCAGGTATGCGAAATATGTGGCTCTCTTTCAGTGCTGGTTTCATCCAAAAGCAGACACTCAGTGAACCGAAGAATGCTTCAATTCGCGTTCACTCTCACAGCCATAAAATCACCATACCTTGAGGGAATCCGTTGCTCAGCAAAAACACCTCCTCCGGTGCTCAGCCGTCCTTGTAGCTTCCATCCACCCGCTACAACATTCTTTCTTTATTTTTTTGCAGAGGATGAAGTACGATCCATCAACCTCTCTTGTTGCTTTCATGGATCACAACCATCGGCTCCGTGCTACCAGATGTTGGGATTCAAGCCTTTATCAGGAGAAACTGGCCACTCTCCAGGCACCCGGCTTGATCTCCTGATGACCTCCCTGTCTGCATTCCCCAGCAGGATCCAGGCAGAGGTCGTAATAGGCGATCCTTCTCAGCGTGAGAAGAACACACCCCCTCTTTCCTGCCCCCCCGGGCAGGGGAGAGAGATAGACAGAAACGTATTTACATGCCTTTATTTCTGTCTTTGCAGCGTTACAAAAATCATGACTGCTCTCTTCAAGCTTCAGCAGACGAGAGACAAACTCCTCCTGTACTTCCTGTACAGCTCATATTACACTCTGAGCTAATTCCGGTGCCCTCTGCACTGTGAATTGACTGTCCCTCTGTTTCCCACGGAACAGTCCCAACATTCCCATTATGTTTTGCTTTCAAGCTACCAGCTCGCGGCCGCATTGCTTCTATATCGTAACACTTTTTAACCAGGCCTTTGGTTGATCTGATTTACTTCCTATGCCCTTTTAAAATGTGGGGTTTTTTTGTGGGGGAGGGGAGCTATTGGGTGGTTGCTTTTACTTTTATTATGTATTTTGTGGTTTTATATCTTGATTTTATTCTGTGAACCTCCCAGAGACCCCTAGGTATAGGGCGGTATATAAATTTAATAAATAATAATAATAATAACCTCACAATGATAACAAGCTGCTCAATAATAGATCAAACGACTTGAGAGATGATAGGATCTTCCACTATGGTGGCATTTAAGCGATGGACGGGAAGCTACCTGTCAGATATGCTGAGGTTTGCAAGATTCCGGCATTCAGCAGTTAGATGAACTCCAACGTCCCATCCAGAAGGTACTCAAAAATGATAAATTTTGCCAGTACAGTGGTACCTCGGGTTAATAACTTAATTCGTTCCGGAGGTCCGTTCTTAACCTGAAACTGTTCTTAACCTGAGGTACCACTTTAGCTAATGGGGCCTCCCACTGCTGCCACGCCGCCACCGTGCGATTTCTGTTCTTATCCTGAAGCAAAGTTCTTAACCCGAGGTACTATTTCTGGGTTAGCGGAGTCTGTAACCTGATGCGTCTGTAACCCAAGGTACCACTGTATTATACACCCCGATCATTCATGGCCTGTTGGCGGTTCCCTAAATAAAACCAAAAGGACACAAAGACAATAGATCAGGCTTCCTCAAACACGGCCCTCCAGATGTTTGAAGACTACAATTCCCATTATCCCTGACCACTGCTAGCTAGGGATCGTGGGAGTTGTAGGCCAGAAACATCTGGAGGGCCGAGTTTGAGGAAGTCTGCAATAGATAGTACTGAAAACTATCAAAGCAGTCAAAACCCAGACAACATCAGACAGCCAGTAAATAGCATTAAAAACCAACAAGGGGGACCATAGGAGCCAACTCCTAGGGGCTGAAGTCCCTTTGCCCTCCCTCCAAGAAAATGTTTGATGGGGCTGCCTCTCCCCCCCCCCCATTTGATGGGCATTGCCATTCAAATGGTGCTGTGTGGGTCGTGTCCTGTGATCAGCGTTGCGGGGCAGGGCTTACTTGTCTCTCCCCCCTAAGAATATTTTATTCAGGTTGACACCCCTGAGGAGAATACAATTTAGCCAGGAGGTTGGAAATTGCAAATAAACAGTGTTCTCAGAAGTGGAAGTTCTTGGCCTTCCTGATTTCTGATTCTTCCGGTCATTTTAACGATTTCAGCACGATCCATCAACTTGATCTGTCATTCTTCTCTGGTATAAGTCAGCTCCTGAGCGATCCTTGTTTGAAAACTCTAGGGGAAGTGTGAGAGAGAGGTTTTTGTATCAGTTCCCCATCAGATTGTACCACTGTGGAACACGTTACTGCCTGTCACCCAGTCAACACAGTAATAAACCGCCTCGTCTTCAGCCTGGACATTGGAGATGGTTAAATAGTAAGTGTTCCCAGAGGTGGAGGCAGCGAACCGATCAGGGATCCCATCTCCCCGGGTGCCGGTAGCATAGAACACGATACGAGGAGCCTGTCCACCTTTCTGTTGATACCAGCTATAATAAGCCAAGCTGCCACTACTTCTAGAGCAGGAGAGTTTGACAGTTTGACCCGGGAGCACAGACTCAGAGGCAGGCTGGATCAATGTTGTCTGCGATGTGACACCTTTGCAAAAAGAAAAATCAAATAAAAGCACATGAATCATTTCCAGTGTTCTCAAATATTAGGAAAGACTATAGCTTTCTTGCTGGTACATGCATCATTTTCTGTGCCCTCAATTTTTGGAAGATTTTTATCTTCTTGTGAAAAGTAACAGAAGTCAAGTCAAATAATACATTAGGTCTCCACAAACATACCTGAACAGTAACTGAGACATGTGACGAGAACAAGGATCCAGGCCATGGTGAATGTCAAAAGGAGGGTGGATCCCACAAACAGATCTCTAATCCTGTGGCACCTCCCTACCACCCTCTTAAATCACCTGGGAAATGAGGCACGAGCAATTATGCAAATACCTCGACACCCGTTGGCCTTGCTAGAAAGAATATGAGGAAATACAGGGAACATCCAGCAGATGACCACAGAACAGATTTTGCATGAAAGGGTGTTTTCACAGAAGATTGAAGCTTCTATGTATTGCTTAGGTCATGATTGGGGAGCTATAGAACCAGGGGCTGAACATGACCTCCCAAAATTATTATTATTATTATTATTATTATTATTATTATTATTATTACCCACCCATCTGGCTGGGCTGCCCCAGCCACTCTGGGCGGCTAACAGTTTACATAAAGACATAGTAAAATGTCAAACATAAATTTTCCATTGCAGGGCTGCCTTCAGAAGTCTTCTGATAGTTGTGTAGTTCTTTATCTCTTTGACATCTGATGGGAGGGCATTCCAGAGGCAGAGTGCCACTGTCAAGAAGGCCCTCTGCCTGGTTCCCTGTAACCTCACTTCTCACAGTGAGGGAACCAGCAGAAGACCCTCGGAGGAAGACCTCAGTGTCCGGGCTGAGCAATGGAAAGTGGAGAAGCTCCTTCAGATATTTCCTTTTGTGGCTCTCAGGACGTGCTCAGAACATGCCCTCTTCAGGCCACATGCCTCACTTTCATGGTGCTGTGGCCCCCAATGATTCTGCCTGGCTTGAACATATCCCTGAATGTTGATGATGCTTAATAATAATAATAATAATAATAATAATATGCAAACGTATTTAAGCACTCCTTGTTGAAAGAAGCCAACCCACCACCCTCCTTTCTCAGATTCAGGGACTCACAACAAAGGTGGAAATTAAGAAATAAAATCAGCTCCCGAACTCTGAAGCTTTGTCCAGGTTGCAATGGAAACTTCTCTCCATTGCAAACTATGATTACCGGGGGGGGGGGGGGAGTGGCTCATCAGCACTGCTCCTCATGCAAATGTCTCCTAAGCGAGTCGTCAGGCATAAGAAAAAACATTCTGACGCTTCGCTTCACCCCAACCGTTCAGTTTTTGTAACAATTTTCCATTTTGTAATATAATTCACTTTTTTTAAAAAAAACGGGTAGGTGGCCCAACATTGTCCCCTGGAGGTTAAAGCCAGAACAGTAGACACCACAAAACGCCTGTATCACATTTCAAAGCAAAATACTGAAATCACAATCTAGTTAGTCTTAGTTATAGGTAGGTAGCTGTGTTGGTCTGCCATAGTCAAAACAAAATAAAAAAATTCCTTCCAGTAGCACCTTAGAGACCAACTGAGTTTCTTATTGGTATGAGCTTTCGTGTGCATGAAGAATCTGAAGAAGTGTGGATTTCCAAGGTATGACTGTATTTTTATTATTATTATTTTGAGAAAACGTAGACCGAAAACTCACCCACTAATCCAAGATGAAATGATTATTTAATTCAGGATTTTCTTCATAGCTGTAATTTCAGCAGTGCTCTTCTAAGGTTGAATTTGAATTTATGACATTCCAAATGAAGTTTACATAATAAATTCCAGTTTTCAAGGAATCCCACTCTGCCTGCTTTGGATCCTTTTTGCATCTTGCCAATATCTGTTAGCTTTCTAGTTCCAGTTTTATTAATCCAAGACTTGGATTTCACAGCAAATCATGATTTCAGTATTAGGGGAGTAATGCTAAGTAACAGCTTCTCTCTGTTACACCTTTTCCCACTCTTTGGTTCAGTTTTCCACATTTTGACACAAGAAGAAGAAGAAGAAGATGAAGAAGAAGAAGAAGAAGAAGAATAGGAAGAAGAAGAAGAAGAAGAAGGACACTGACAAACTGGAACGTGTCCAGAGGAGGGCAACCAAAATGGTCAAAGGCCTGGAAACGATGCCTTGTGAGGAACGGCTAAGGGAGCTGGGCATGTTTAGCCTGGAGAAGAGGAGGTTAAGGGGTGATATGATAGCCATGTTCAAATATATAAAAGGATGTCACATAGAGGAGGGAGAAAGGTTGTTTTCTGCTGCTCCAGAGAAGCGGACACGGAGCAATGGATCCAAACTACAAGAAAGAAGATTCCACCTAAACATTAGGAAGAACTTCCTGACAGTAAGAGCTGTTTGACAGTGGAATTTGCTGCCAAGGAGTGTGGTGGAGTCTCCTTCTTTGGTGGTCTTTAAGCAGAGGCTTGACAACCATATGTCAGGAGTGCTCTGATGGTGTTTCCTGCTTGGCAGGGGGTTGGACTCGATGGCCCTTGTGGTCTCTTCCAGCTCTATGATTCTAAGAAGAAGAAGAAGAAGAAGAAGAAGAAGAAGGAGAAGAAGAAGGAGAAGAAGAAGAAGGCAAAGTCCTTATTAATGCTTTTAGTTCATTTTCTCCACAGATATATAATTTTGCCTTATATTCATGTTTCTGTACAACAATTTCCCCCGGGGTCAAAAGGAAAGCACTTCAGAAGGACATTTTCCTGCCCTTGCCATGCAGAAGATCTTGTAATAATAATAATAATAATAATAATTTATTTATACCCCACCCATCTAGCTGGGTTTCCCCAGCCACTCTGGGCAGCTCCCAACGGAATATTAAAAACACGATAAAAAATCGGACCCAGGACGTTCTGCATGCAAAACAGGTATTCTCCCCTGAGCTTTGGCCCTTCTAAGTCGGAAGTGGCTTTATTGCCAACAAGGCCAGTGAAAACATGAAGAGCATTGTTTATTGGGACATGTGTCAGATATTTAATACAAGGTCATATCTCCAATAGGATTCTTTAGTCTAAATAACTTGATAACTTTTAATGCACGTTCTTGTCGAAAACTAACAAAAGTCATTCACGTGCAGCTATGCTCTTGAATGATTCAGGATTCTACACTCATAAGAAAGAACAGAGAAGGTTTTTGTCTCAGTTCCCCATCAGATTATTTCACTGTGGAACGTCTCACTGCGAAGCTCGACGTCACAACAAAAATAAACTTCTTCATCTGCAGCCTCGATGTTAGAGATAGTTAATGAGCCCGAGTCAGAACCGGTGAAGCGAGCTGGGACCCCTTCTCCCCGGGTGCTGGATCCATACCACAGAAAACGGGGAGGCTGTCCAGGTTTCTGTTGATACCAGTGAATATCATCCCAGCGAGTACCACCTTTTCTAGAGCAGGAGAGTGTAGCAGTTTGGCCCAGAGACACCGACTGGGAGGCAGGCTGAGTCAAACTGGGTTGTGAAGTGACACCTTTCATAAAAAAAGAGAAAGGAACCATGACTTTGGTACATTTCCTATGCATTCAAATACCACAGAAGCTTTATCTCCCTCTGGCAGAAAAAGTTTTGATATTGCCCTACGTGATGTGCGTCTTCCACGCTCTTACCTGAGCAGTAGCTGAGAAGTGACAGTAAAGCAGGCACCAGGCCATGGTAAGACTCCTTTAGAGTGTGACTAAAGATCTAGATGGGATCTTCTTCCCCCTCTCTGAAATCCCCTGGAAATGCCAAATGTCTCCTTCGCGCAGATTGGTTGTATGCTCATTGGTTCTGCAAGAGTGTCTTTATCTACTTGCTTCTCTCCGTGAAAAGCCAATGATCAAAGGAGAAATTTGCATGATGATGTTGAGGGCAGGCCTCACTCTGGCCAAGATAAAAATTAAGGGGTCATAGTGTTACCAAGTACAGTCATACCCCAGCTCCCAAACATCTTGGGAGTCGAATGTTCTGGTTCCCGAAGGACTGAAAACTGGAAGTGAGTGTTCCTGTTTTTGAACGGTCTTTAGGAAGCCAAATGTTTGATGGGGCTTCCAATTGGCTGCAGGAGCTTCCTACAGCCAAAGCCACTTCCGACCCTAGGGAGGAGGTGGTGTTGCGGGCTTCCCCCTCCAACACCCGCACGGGGGCTGGCTTCCAGCTTCACGCGTACAGGGGGAATCCTCTGCCGCGTCATCCCCTCGTCAGCCTATCAGCTGGCTCAGGGGGCGTGGCTTCCCGCATTTAAGGCAGAGGAGCTTCCTCTTTGCCACCATTCAACTTGGGAATTACCCACCCACCCTCCCTTTAAGTTTCTCCTTTGACCTTGCTATGGACCTCGGTTGGTCACTGTTAAGGGGCCTGGTAGGAATTTTTCCACTTGGCAAATTGGCACCGGCCATTTGGTTTTTTCGCCTACCTCATAGCAAACGTCACAACTTTCCCGGTATTGGCGGTTAGGCATTGGCAGGGGTATTGTTATGCAAATGAAGTGGGGGGAAGGAAGCGCCATCACCTTCCCCAAGCAAAGGGTAGTCCGGTAAAGGACTCTGGGGGCGTGGCCCCGTCCGAAGCCTATGGAGGCCAGGGTCCAATGCCTAAGCCAATACCGCTCATCACCTGTAACCAATAAAGTTGTGGCCAATTTTTGCCCATTAACCTTAATTATTGTGTCTCGTGTCTTTATTTCTTCTGGTGGGAGGTGGGAACTCGCCACGCAATCAGAAGCCGCGCTTCGGAAGTCAAACATTTCAGAAGTCAAACGGACTTCCGGAATGGATTCTGTTTGACGTCCGAGGTACAACTGTACATAACTTAAGGGCAGATGATGCCCAGGGTTCATCACAGTAGAATGAGCAGAAGGTTCCCTAAATGCACCAGTTATGAAGTGGAGCAACACCCACTGCCATATAAAGACCCTCCCATCCCATTTAGTTCATTAAGTCCACAGCTGAAATTTTTCAGAACTCTGGGTGGGGGACATTGTTCAGATAGAGAACTACAAGCCCATCTGGATCATGTTCTGGATAATGAGGGAGGGGGGCTGAGGTGAAAGTGGGTGGAGCAACATCTAGTGATGTTACCATTGTAGTACAGGCTGGTTTCTATGCTCCCACTCCCCTTTCTTATCAATTCAGACAATCTAGAAGTGTTGTCAGGATTCAAGGACACAATCCAGATGGCCAGAAACATGCAAGGAGACCCCATAGCAGAGGGGGTGAGTGATGTGGCCTGGATGGAGGGGTATGTCTTAAGATGGGCATGATCTGTGGCTATCTTGAAGGGTCATCTAGAAAGGCCTGGACATGGAGATGCAAAGTCGTGGAGGGAAAGTTCCTTCCTATGTGGTGGACTTGTAAAAGGAAAGAGAGTATTGGGAAATGATCCATAATGAATTGAAAAAAATGTTTCAAAGTACTCCCCACTCCACCCCACCCCCAGAGTCCTCTCTGTTGGGGATAGTTCAGACTGAAATTCCCAGGTGTCAAAAAGGTGATTTATGTATGCCACTATTGCGACCCGTGTTTTGTTAGCCCCCAAATGGAAAACAAGCGAAGTCCCAACCAAAGAAGAATGGCAACTTAAGTTGACAGAATATGCACAACTTGCAGACTTACCACATAGAAACAGAGAACAAGAAGAACATATATTCAGAGAAGATTGGAAAACATTTATTGAATATATGGGAAATAATTGTGTACAGCTGAAAACATTGGCAGCATTAAGATAAATTCAAGTGTTGACGGATGTAATAATGGAATACTGAATGGTTTAAGTTTATGTAAAATATGCAGGGATTTATGATATGTAAAATGAACCATGGAAAGAAAAGAGGGGAAGTCATTGCTATTTTAAGGATGTAAAAATGAGTACAGTGGTACCTCAGGTTAAGTACTTAATTGTTTCCGGAGGTCCGTTCTTAACCTGAAACTGTTCTTAACCTGAAGCACCACTTTAGCTAATGGGGCCTCCTGCTGCTGCCATGCCTCCGGAGCACAATTTCTGTTCTCACCCTGATGCAAAGTTTTTAACCTGAAGCACTATTTTTCTGTTAGCGGAGTCTGTAACCTGAAGCGTATGTAACCTGAGGTACCACTGTATTTTAAAATGGAAAACAGAAAATTTAATAAAAATTATATACAAAAAGGAAAAAAAGATGCCTGAACTTTGCCCCCAGTTGTGGGAACTTACAAAGCTTTCCAAAGCTTGAATCGTGGGTTAACTGGATGAGAGCGAGGTTATCGTTTGATTTCTGTGCCTGAATGAGTAGGAAAGGCGGGGCAGTTGGCGGTGGAAACTTGAGCAGATATGTCCTTCCTGAGCATGTCCTCCTTCATTTGCTTCACAGCTGCAGGTGGTGCATGGGCTTTCTGTGACTGGTAAATTCTATGAGATATGGGGAAGTTGGTCCATCTTAAGGCCAAAAGTAGACAGCCAACATTCTACAGACAGTGGTACCTCAGGTTAAGTACTTTATTCATTCCGGAGGTCCGTTCTTAACCTGAAACTGTTCTTAACCTGAAGCACCACTTTAGCTAATGGGGCCTCCTGCTGCTGCAGTGCCGCTGGAGCACAATTTCTGTTCTCATCCTGAAGCAAAGTTCTTAACCCGAGGTACTATTTCTGGGTTAGCGGAGTCTGTAACCTGAAGCGTATGTAACCTGAGGTACCACTGTACAAGATTTGAGAAAATGTGTGTGGGGTGGTGGGGAGGACAAAGCCCCACCCTTTAATCAGAGCTGAATTCAGACGTGCAAGTTCTGTCAGGGTCTACGTCAGGGGCAAATGTGAATTCACATAGCCGCAAGTGAAGTTGAGCAAAGAATTTCCAGGAGTCCAGTTGCAGCAGCAGCAGCATCCTTGAGACTTTTTCAGGTCGACCATTTTGTATCCGATAGCTTGTGAAGGTTGGATTTGCATGAACTGCAAAACCTCATTTAAAGGGTGGTGTCAGAGACTGGACTGAAGAGGAGGAGGAGTGTCACCTCCCCGCCTTCTCCTGTAGCTGCCTCCTTTTGCCCAATGATTTTGCCTGGCTTGAACATATCCCTGAATGTTGATGATGCTTAATTATAATAATAATAATAGGGACGCAGGTGGCTCTGTGGGTTAAACCACAGAGCCTAGAACTTGCTGATCAGAAGGTTGGCGGTTCAAATCCCCGTGACAGGGTGAGCTCCCGTTGCTCGGTCCCTGCTCCTGCCAACCTAGCAGTTCGAAAGCACGTGAAAGTGCTTCCGGCGGGAAGGTAAACGGCGTTTCCGTGCGCTGCTCTGGTTCGCCAGAAGCGGCTTAGTCATGATGGCCACATGACCCGGAAGCTGTACGCTGGTTCCCTCGGCCAATAAAGCAAGATGAGCGCTGCAACCCCAGAGTCGGTCACGACTGAACCTATTGGTCAGGGGTCCCTTTACCTTTAATAATAATAATATGCAAACGTATTTAAGCACTCCTTGTTGAAAGAAGCTAACCCACCACCCTCCTTTCTCAGATTCAGGGACTCACAACAAAGGTGGAAATTAAGAAATAAAATCAGCTCCCGAACTCTGAAGCTTTGTCCAGGTTGCAATGGAAACTTCTCTCCATTGCAAACTATGATTACCGGGGGAGTGGCTCATCAGCACTGCTCCTCATGCAAATGTCTCCTAAGCGAGTCGTCAGGCATAAGAAAAAACATTCTGACGCTTCGCTTCACCCCAACCGTTCAGTTTTTGTAACAATTTTCCATTTTGTAATATAATTCACTTTTTTTAAAAAAACGGGTAGGTGGCCCAACATTGTCCCCTGGAGGTTAAAGCCAGAACAGTAGACACCACAAAACGCCTGTATCACATTTCAAAGCAAAATACTGAAATCACAATCTATTTAGTCTTAGTTACAGGTAGGTAGCTGTGTTGGTCTGCCATAGTCAAAACAAAATAAAAAAATTCCTTCCAGTAGCACCTTAGAGACCAACTGAGTTTCTTATTGGTATGAGCTTTCGTGTGCATGAAGAATCTGAAGAAGTGTGGATTTCCAAGGTATGACTGTATTTTTTATTATTATTATTTTGAGAAACGCAAGCCGAAAACTCACCCACTAATCCAAGATGAAATGATTATTTAATTAAGGATTTTCTTCATAGCTGTAATTTCAGCAGTGCTCTTCTAAGGTTGAATTTGAATTTATGACATTCCAAATGAAGTTTACATAATAAATTCCAGTTTTCAAGGAATCCCACTCTGCCCGCTTTGGATCCTTTTTGCATCTTGCCAATATCTGTTAGCTTTCTAGTTTCAATTTTATTAATCCAAGACTTGGATTTCACAGCAAATTTTGATCTCAGTATTAGGGAGTAATGCTAAGTAACAGCTTCTCTCTGTTACACCTTTTCCCACTCTTTGGTTCAGTTTTCCACATTTTGACACAAGAAGAAGAAGAAGAAGAAGAAGAAGAAGAAGAAGAAGAAGGAGGAGGAGGAGGAGGAGGAGGAGGAGGAGGAGGAGGAGGAGGAGGACACTGACAAACTGGAACGTGTCCAGAGGAGGGCAACCAAAATGGTCAAAGGCCTGGAAACGATGCCTTATGAGGAACCGCTAAGGGAGCTGGGCATGTTTAGCCTGGAGAAGAGGAGGTTAAGGGGTGATATGATAGCCATGTTCAAATATATAAAATATATAAAAGGATGTCACATAGAGGAGGGAGAAAGGTTGTTTTCTGCTGCTCCAGAGAAGCGGACACGGAGCAATGGATCCAAACTACAAGAAAGAAGATTCCACCTAAACATTAGGAAGAACTTCCTGACAGTAAGAGCTGTTCAACAGTGGAATTTGCTGCCAAGGAGTGTGGTGGAATCTCCTTCTTTGGAGGTCTTTAAGCAGAGGCTTGACAACCATATGTCAGGAGTGCTCTGATGGTGTTTCCTGCTTGGCAGGGGGTTGGACTCGATGGCCCTTGTGGTCTCTTCCAACTCTATGATTCGAAGAAGAAGAAGAAGAAGAAGAAGAAGAAGAAGACGGCAAAGTCCTTATTAATGCTTTTAGTTCATTTTCTCCACAGATATATAATTTTGCCTTATATTCATGTTTCTGTACAACAATTTTCCCTGGGGTCAAAAGGAAAGCACTTCAGAAGGACATTTTCCTGCCCTTGCCATGTAGAAGATCTTGTAATAATAATAATAATAATAATAATAATAATAATAATAATAATTTATTTATACCCCACCCATCTAGCTGCGTTTCCCCAGCCACTCTGGGCGGCTCCCAACGGAATATTAAAAACACGATAAAAAATCGGACCCAGGACGTTCTGCATGCAAAACAGGTATTCTCCCCTGAGCTTTGGCCCTTCTAAGTCGGAAGTGGCTTTATTGCCAACAAGGCCAGTGAAAACATGAAGAGCATTGTTTATTGGGACATGTGTCAGATATTTAATGCAAGGTCATATCAACAATAGGATTCTTTAGTCTAAATAACTTGATAACTTTTAATGCATGTTCTTGTCGAAAACTAGCAAAAGTCATTCACGTGCAGCTATGCTCTTGAATGATTCAGGATTCTGCACTCATAAGAAAAGAGAGAGAAGGTTTTTGTCTCAGTTCCCCATCAGATTATTTCACTGTGGAACGTCTCACTGACAAGCTCGAAGTCACAACAAAAATAAACTGCTTCATCTGCAGCCTCGATGTTAGAGATAGTTAATGAGCCAGATCGCGAACCGGTGAAGCGAGCTGGGACCCCTTCTCCCCGGGTGCTGGATCCATACCACAGAAAACGGGGAGGCTGTCCAGGTTTCTGTTGATACCAGTGAATATCATCCCAGAGAGTAGCACCATTTCTTGAGCAGGAGAGTGTAGCAGTTTGGCCCAGAGACACCGACTGGGAGGCAGGCTGAGTCAAACTGGGTTGTGAAGTGACACCTTTCATAAAAAAGAGAGAAAGGAACCATGACTTTGGTACATTTCCTATGCATTCAAATACCACAGAAGCTTTATCTCCCTCTGGCAGACCAAGTTTTGATGTTGGCCTACATGATGTGCGTCTTCCACGCTCTTACCTGAGCAGTAGCTGAGAAGTGACAGGAAAAGCAGGTACCAGGCCATGGTAAGACTCCTTTAGAGTCTGACTAAAGATCTAGATGGGATCTTCTTCCCCCTCTCTGAAATCCCCCGGAAATACCAAATGTCTCCTTCGCGCAGATTGATTGTATGCTCATTGGTTCTGCAAGAGTGTCTTTATCTACTTGCTTCTCTCCGTGAAAAGCCAATGATCAAAGGAGAAATTTGCATGATGATGTTGAGGGCAGGCCTCACTCTGGCCAAGATAAAAATTAAGGGTCATAGTGTTACCAAGTACAGTGGTACCTCGGGTTACAGAGGCTTCAGGTTACACACTCCGCTAACCCAGAAATAGTACCTTGGGTTAAGAACTTTGCTTCAGAATGAGAACAGAAATTGCGTGGTGGCAGCAGGAGGCCCCATTAGCTAAAGCGGTCTTCAGGTTAAGAACAGTTTCAGGTTAAGAACAGACCTCTGGAACAAATTAAGTTCTTAACCTGAGCTACCACTGTACAGTCATACCCCAGCTCCTGAACATCTTGGGAGTCGAATGTTTTGGCTCCCGAATGATTGAAAACCAGAAGTGAGTGTTCCTGTATTCGAACGTTAAATTGGAAGCCAAATGTTTGATGGGGCTTCTGCAGCTTCCAATTGGCTGCAGGAACTTCCTGCAGCCAATCAGAAGCTGCCCTTCGAGAGTCAAACGTTTCGGAAGTCAAACGGACTTCCGGAATGGATTCTGTTTGACTTCCGAGGTACAACTGTACATAACCTAAGGGCAGATGATGCCCAGGGTTCATCACAGTAGAATGAGCAGAAGGTTCCCTAAATGCACCAGTTATGAAGTGGAGCAACACCCACTGCCATATAAAGACCCTCCCATCCCATTTAGTTCATTAAGTCCACAGCTGAAATTTTTCAGAACTCTGGTTGGGGTACATTGTTCAGATAGAGGACTACAAGCCCATCTGGATCATATTCTGGATAATGAGGGAGGGGGGCTGAGGTGAAAGTGGGTGGAGCAACATCTAGTGATGTTACCTTTGTAGTACAGGCTGGTTTCTATGCTCCCACTCCCCTTTCTTATCAATTCAGACAATCTAGAAGTGTTGTCAGAATTCAAGGACACAATCCAGATGACCAGAAACACGCAAGGAGACCACATAGCAGAGGGGGTGAGTGATGTGGCCTGGATGGAGGGGTATGTCTTAAGATGGGCATGATCTGTGGCTATCTTGAAGGGTCATCTAGAAAGGCCTGGACATGGAGATGCAAAGTCGTGGAGGGAAAGTTCCTTCCTATGTGGTGGACTTGTAAAAGGGAAAGAGAGTATTGGGAAATGATCCATAATGAATTGAAAAAAAATGTTTCAAAGTACTCCCCACTCCACCCCACCCCCAGAGTCCTCTCTGTTGGGGATAGTTCAGACTGAAATTCCCAGGTGTCAAAAAGGTGATTTATGTATGCCACTATTGCGACCCGTGTTTTGTTAGCCCCCAAATGGAAAACAAGCGAAGTCCCAACCAAAGAAGAATGGCAACTTAAGTTGACAGAATATGCACAACTTGCAGACTTAACACATAGAAACAGAGAACAAGAAGAACATATATTCAGAGAAGATTGGAAAACATTTATTGAATATATGGGAAATAATTGTGTACAGCTGAAAACATTGGCAGCATTAAGATAAATTCAAGTGTTGACGGATGTAATAATGGAATACTGAATGGTTTAAGTTTATGTAAAATATGCAGGGATTTATGATATGTAAAATGAACCATGGAAAGAGAAGAGGGGAAGTCATTGCTATTTTAAGGATGTAAAAATGAGTACAGTGGTACCTCGGGTTAAGTACTTAATTGTTTCCGGAGATCCATTCTTAACCTGAAACTGTTCTTAACCTGAAGCACCACTTTAGCTAATGGGGCCTCCTGCTGCTGCCGCGCAACCGGAGCACAATTTCTGTTCTCACCCTGAAGCAAAGTGCTTAACCTGAAGCACTATTTTTGTGTTAGCGGAGTCTGTAACCTGAAGCGTATGTAACCTGAGGTACCACTGTATTTTAAAATGGAAAACAGAAAATTTAATAAAAATTATATACAAAAAGGAAAAAAAGACACCTGAACTTTGCCCCCAGTTGTGGGAACTTACAAAGCTTTCCACAGCTTGAATCGTGGGTTAACTGGATGAGAGCGAGGTTATCGTTTGATTTCTGTGCCTGAATGAGTAGGAAAGACGGGGCAGTTGGCGGTGGAAACTTGAGCAGATATGTCCTTCCTGAGCATGTCCTCCTTCATTTGCTTCACAGCTGCAGGTGGTGCATGGGCTTTCTGTGACTGGTAAATTCTATGAGATATGGGGAAGTTGGTCCATCTTACAGGCCAAAAGTAGACAGCCAACATTCTACAGACAGTGGTACCTCAGGTTAAGTACTTTATTCATTCCGGAGGTCCGTTCTTAACCTGAAACTGTTCTTAACCTGAAGCACCACTTTAGCTAATGGGGCCTCACACCGCCGCCGTGTGATTTCTGTTCTCATCCTGAAGCAAAGTTCTTAACCCGAGGTACTATTTCTGGCTTAGCGGAGTCTGTAACCTGAAGCGTATGTAACCTGAGGTACCACTGTACAAGATTTGAGAAAATGTGTGTGGGGTGGTGGGGAGGACAAAGCCCCACCCTTTAATCAGAGCTGAATTCAGACGTGCAAGTTCTGTCAGGGTCTGCGTCAGGTGCAAATGTGAATTCACATAGCCGCAAGTGAAGTTGAGCAAAGAATTTCCAGGAGTCCAGTTGCAGCAGCAGCAGCCTCCTTGAGACTTTTTCAGGTCGACCATTTTGTATCCGATAGCTTGTGAAGGTTGGATTTGCATGAACTGCAAAACCTCATTTAAACGGTGGTGTCAGAGACTGGACTGAAGAGGAGGAGGAGTGTCCCGTCCCCGCCTTCTCCTGTAGCTTCCAGAGAGAAGGAAGGCAGTCCTGATGTACAGCAGGGCTTGGAGGAAGATAACAGCTGAGAGATAGGCAGACAGCAGAGCTATGCAGAGTTAGGAGAAGGGGGAGGGGAGGCAGAGCAGCTGGCTAACACGTCACTGGACAGCATAACCGATCCCCCTCCTCCCAAAATGCGGCCTTCATTAAGGGTGCAAGAACAAAGAGCACAGAGACAATGGTCCACGGACAGACGCCGTAGGAGCAGGTGTTGTTGCTGGAGGGGAGAGGCGGAGGAGCTCAGTGTGAACAACTCCATTATGGAGGAATGTCCGGAATTCTTTGTCCTTACCGCGATGACTGAATAAATCACATGTATAATAATAATAATAATAATAATAATAATAATAATAATAATTTATTATTTATACCCTGCCTCTGGGTGGCTTCCAACAGAATATTAAAATACAGTAGTCTATTAAACATTAAAAGCTTCCCTAGACAGGGCTACCTTCAGATGTCTTCTAAAAGTCAGATAGTTGCTTTTTTCTTTGACATCTGGTGGGAGCGTGTTCCACAGGGCAGGTGCCACTACCAAGAAGGCCCTCTGAAGGTTCCCTGTAACTTGGCTTCTCGCAGCGAGGGAACCGCCAGAAGGCCCTCGGCGTTCGACCTCAGTGTCTGGGCAGAACGATGGGGGTGGAGACGCTCCTTCAGGTATACTGGACCGAGGCCGTTTAGGGCTTTAAAGGTCAGCACCAACACTTTGAATTGTGCTTGGAAACGTATTGGGATCCAATGTAAGAACTGGTTTGAGAGGCCAGGGGCCTTGTAACTACAGTTTTGACAAGGTCATGCCAAAATTATGGACCTCTGCGTAATGGTGGGATATGTCACTGTCTCAAGGCAAATCTTTAAAAATGTAGTATAAACACTGACAACTGGGAAAAACTGGCCTGCGAGCGCTCCAGTTGGAGAACAGCCTTTACCAATGGTTTCCTGGGCTTTGAAGACACTCGAACTCAGGACGCAAGGGAGAAATGTGCTAAGAGGAAGGCACACTTGGCAAATCCACACTGTGATCAACTCCCGCACAGAAACCAATGTCCCCACTGTGGAAGGATGTGTGGATCCAGAATTGGCCTCCACAGTCACTTATGGACTCATTGTTAAAACCATGTTTATGGAAGACAATCTTACTCGGCTACGAGTGATCGCCGAAGAAGAAGAAGAAGAAGAAGAAGAAGAAGTGGTGAGGTGATTTCTCTAAAAGCATCCATCTGTTTACCTAACTTGATATTCTTGCCAAAAAGAAATAAAGTTCACTTGGACCAAACTCATCTCTTGCCTAATTCTGGTTTCTTTGCTTTTAGGGGAAGGAGACAGAAGGTTTTTGTCTCAGTTCCCCATCAGATGGTACCACAGTGGAACTTTGGAGTACCGGTGCCTTCCCATGCAAAACAGTGATAAACTGCCTCATCTTCAGCCTGGACATTGGAGATGGTTAAATAGCCGGTATCCTCAGAGGGAGAAGCGGTGAACCTATCTGGGACCCCGTCTCCCCTGGTGCTGGGACCATACCATAGAAAACGAGGAGGCTGCCCAGGTTTCTGTTGACACCAGCCAAAGGTCTGCCAGCTCCCCTTATTCTTAGAGCAGGAGAGGGTCACAGTCTGACCCAGGGACACAGACTGGGATCCCAGCTGGGTCAATGCTGGCTGTGAAATAACACCTTTGTAAAAAAAGAGAAAAAGAAATGTATGATTCTCAATCCTCTCTGTTCTCACATATCACCTGAACTTTAAGGCACTATAATAAATAAACATTACCTCAAGGCCCCCCCCCCCCCCATTTAGGCCAGCTTAAGTCTACTTCTTTTTGTGTTTACCTAAACAGTAACTGAGAAGAACCAGGAAAAACAGAGTCCAGGCCATGGTGAGCTCTCTAAAGCAAGGCGACTTTCTGAAGGTTAACAGGCAACTGCTGGTGGTCCTGAGTCTTTCCTTTGCTAAAACTTCCCAGAGCTGGTGAAGGATCTCTTGATGCAAATCCAGGCGGTGCTCATTGGCTCTGTTAAATGGCCCTTGTCTGGAATAAATGATGCAGTAAGCAAAATACAATGGAACTGATTTGGATAAAGGTGATGTTTGCTTTTTAAAATGAGGAGGTTCTTGTCTTGTGAACTTGAGGTCAATTGACTAGGTCAATTTACCTCAAGGAAGCTAGGATTGGGGCTGTAGTTCAAGGGATGAGGGGTGATGTGTGGATGCTGAAGATGTCGTCCCTGCATCTCAAATTAATTTTTAAAAAATCAAGCAGCACATGATGACAAAGGAGGGTGGTGGGTTGGCTTCTTTCAACAAGCAGTGTTTAAATAGGCTTGCAAGTTATCATCATCATCATTAATTTTATTATTCACAAACAGAAAGAAAATGAAAAACATAGTTACAATTCATAAACCATATTTTACCAAACCCAAACTCATATAGACTAATAAAGAACTATAATTTGCACCTGTCTGACTTCCATCCACCACAACCCGACATCCTTTACTGCATACTCTTATTTACATTGTGTCCTTATATTGTTCATTTTATATCGATTAGTAATTTTACCTTGAATTAGTTCCTCTTTGCATACTTATTCTATGCATATCAATATGTTTTCCTCAGAGCAGTGTTTTTTCATATATTCCTCAAAACATTGCCATTCCTTCCTTTGATTAGACTGATTTCTTATGGCTGCTGTTAGTTTAGCTAATTCTATAAATTCACATAATTTACTTATCCAGTCTTCCTTTGTGGGAAGTTTTTAGCGAGCAATAATCTGGCTGCGGCTGTGCCATATAATTTTTTTTTATTCTGTTGAGACTAAGACAGCCAGTTGTGTCTGCCTTGGTGTTGAAACCCTTTTATTTATGGGAATCTGCCTTATAGCAGCTCCAACTATTTCTTCATTTAAGGCAATTCCAGCTTGCCATTATTTTCAGGTGAGATTCAGTCACGTACCAGCAAATTGAGGCTGCACAATTCAGGTTGATTTCAAGGTGTTGTGCAGGAAGCCAGCTCCTCCTCAAGCGAGTAGTCAGGCATAAGAAAAAACATTCTGACGCTTCGCTTCACCCCAACAGTTCAGTTTTTGTAACAATTTTCCGTTTTGTAATATAATTCACTATTATTATTTTTAAAAAACGGGTAGGTGGCCCAACATTGTCCCCTGGAGGTTAAAGCCAGAACAGCAGACACCACAAAACACCTGCATCACATTTCAAAGCAAAATGCAGTGGTACCTCTGGTTGCGAACGGGATCCGTTCTGGAGCTCCGGTCAGATTCCGAGGAATTCACAACTGGAGGTGCCACTTCTGCGCATGTGCACAGTGCGAAACCCGGAAAAATACTTCCAGGTTTCTGCGTTGGCATCCTGAAGGATACGCAACCAGAGGTGTGCGTATCCAGAGGGACCACTGTACTGAAATCACAATCTAGTCAATCTTATGCATTCACATTCCCCTTGCTTTCCCTACCAGGGAGAAAGGGTGCGTTCTGTTGATTTAAAGCAGAGTCTTGGTGCCCAGCGGAAGGATGAGGAAAATGTGTTACATACTCTATATTGCTTTATTTACAGTTCAAAGCTGGTATATTACAGAAAGACATCTTGCGTCTGCAGGAGCAGAAAAATGCATCCTCTCTCCTCGACAGCTTGGAGAGAATCACACAGTGAAAAAAACAGGAAACCAGTGTACGTCACATCCAGTCTCCCTTTCCCGTGAGAAACTCCAACAGTACAGACTGTGGAATGTAAAACAATGTCTTGTGACTGCAGTTGCTGCTCAGTGAGGAAATAGAAACCAACATCCTCCCCTTTCTGTGAACATCACTGGGCAGCGTGTTCGTACAATATCAGTACAAACCCAACTTCTGCACATAGGTACAGTGTTGATCCCTTGATACAATCTTGGACAATACATCAGCAGGAATTTCATTACCTGGCATATAGGACACCGTTACGAGTCCCTTCTGAATACATTCCCTAGCATGCTGCAACTTTAATTGCAAGTGCTTTGTGCTTTGCTTACAACCTTCAGACTTCAGCAAAGCTAAACATGCTTTGTTGTCCTGGTAAACCTGGATTGGACATTTGACAGAATTTTCATATCTTTGCACAATTGTATTAACCATTCACAATCCTTAAGTGAATAAGACAGTGCATTCAGTTCAGCTTCACAAGTACTTAAGCTAACTGTTGTTTGCTTCTTGCATGACCAATCAAACAGACTCTGATTGTACATGTAGCAAACTCCAGACGTACTTTTCCTGTCTGTAGTGTCACTTCCAAAACTTGCATCTGCAAATATCTCAAGACCACCAGACTTCTGATTGTTAAATCTCAGTCTGTAATGCATAGTGCCTTTCAAATACCGCGCTATGCGTTTCAGAGCTTTCCAATCCTTGACACTAGGATTGTTGACTTGTCTGCTTAGCAAATTACAGCTAACAGCAATGTCTGGTCTTGAACATCTGGCAATGAAGTTTAGCTTGCCTAGCACACTCCTGTACAGTGTAGTGTCAGAAAATGCTTCTTCAGTGTCATCTACCTGATAACCTGTTGTCATCGGTGTGTCTACAGGGTTAGCATCCATCAGATTTAGTTTGCTTAACACATCAGCAATTTTCCGTGACTGGTGTACTAGAATGTTACCATCTTGATCTCTCTCTATTTCCAGAGATAGGTAGTTGTTTACCTCACCAAGATCTTTCATGTCAAAGTGCTCTTTCAGTTGAGCTAGGGCGCTATTGTACATTGCAACATCTTTCCAAAAGAATAATAAATCATCAACATAAAACAAACAGTACAGTTTCTTTTGCCCCTCCTCTTTGACAAATACACATGGATCAGCTTTCCCTTGCTGAAAACCTAGAGAAAACAATACTTCAGTGAGTTTTGTGTGCCAACACCGTGCACTTTGTTTGAGACCATAAAGGGATTTCTTCAGAGCACAAACAAATCCCTGTTTTACCTGTACGCCATCAGGTGGAAGCATATAAAGTGATTCATCTAGAGATCCGTACAGAAAAGCTGTATTAATATCATGGTGACTAATGTGTAGATTTTCCTCTGCAGCTAGCTTGAGCATAAGCCTAATACTTTCATATCTCACTGTGGGTGAATAGGTCTCGTGATAGTCTTGACCTGGTACCTGTGCAAAACCTCTGGCTACCAATCTGGCTTTGTGTCTGACTATTTTGCCATTTTGATCTGTCTTCGCTTTGAAGACCCATTTGCTTCCAAGCAGTTTCATTCCTGGAACTACTGGAACTAGCTCCCATGTTTTGTTCCTTTCTAAGGAATCAAGCTCAGCCTTCATGGTATTTAACCATGGCTCAGCTTCCTTTGAATCCAAACCCTGGATTTCTTGGAAACTTGAAGGTTCAAATACCTTCTTGGAGCTTTTAACAGCTGTTACTGCTATCTTAGCAAACTCATCAGCAAATCTCTTTGGAGGTTTGCCTTTGTGGCTCTCTGTGACCTACGAATTAGCCTTAAGTCTTCAACACTCTCCTCTTCCTTCTTAGGAGAAAAACGACCTATTGTGAACAATGGTTCCTCCAATTCTTGATCAGAGCTTTCAGAGGGTCGCATAGAGGCTTTCGCACTCTTGAAATCCTCTGAATCACCCGATTCAGTTTCAGATTCAGACTCAGAACCTTCGTCAGTGGGTGTGGGTTGTTGTGGTTGCTTTTGACTATCCTCAGTCTCATCACCGTCATCAGGATAACATTGGAAAATTCCCACATTCTCCCCCACTTTGCATTGTACTCAACACTTCTCGTGAGCTTAATTGTCTTAGAGTCAGTCATCATTATTCTGTAAGACCCTTTCTGATAACCTAGAAAGATACCATGCAATCCACGCTTGTCTAACTTGGAGTTTTGTGGTGAGCGAACCCACATGTCAGAACCAAAATCTTCATGTGTTTGATGTATGGCTTCTTGCCAAACATCTTCTCATAGAAGTACATCCAATCGCTGAAGATAACCTGCGATTGTAACTGTAAACAAAACACGAGAGAGATTCGGTCCAATAACTCTCTGGAAGATTGGCATCATGCAGCAAGGTTTTTAATCCTTGAAGCAATGTCTGATTTGCCCGTTCCGCAAGTCCATTCTGCCATGGCGAGCGAGGACTAGACAAATCGTGTTGAATTCCTTTCTCAGTCAGAAAAGCTTCAAACTGCTGAGAAGTGAATTCCCCCCCGCGATCACTGAAAAGAGTCTTTATCTTCTTACCATGCACATTTTCCAACCAAGCACAGAATTCCTTGAACCTAGGAAAAGCCTCTGATTTCTGCTTGAGATTGTACACAAAAATATATCTAGAAAATGCATCAATGAGAACCATGAAGTATCTATTTCCACCCAAAGAGGGCGATAGTGGTCCAACCAAATCAGCATGAACAACCTGGTATGGTTCTGTAGCTTTCCTACTAGACACCTTACCTTTCGCAGCCATTTTCACCTTGTTTGCTGCGCATGCTTTGCACTTCATGTGGTACCTGCAGGGTTTAATAGTCATACCTTCAACCAAGGCAGGCATTTTAGATACTGCCTCAAAATTCAAGTGACCAAATTTGCGATGAAAATTGTGAATACATTCTGCATGCAAACTTTTGTTAGAACCTGCAATGCAACAAGTGTCATCCTGCACCACATCATCATAATACAAAACAAACAAATGATCAACATATTCTGCATGCAATACATAATCATTTTTCTTTGTGATGATGCACTTCTTGTTCTTGAAGGAAACGTCAATGTTCCGCTCATTCAGCTGTCCAACGCTGAGCAGATTATGTTTGGCGTCTGGCACGTAAAGCACATTCTGTATCGATAAGTCCAAACTGTGAAGAACAACAGTTCCGTAGCCTTTACTGGGAATAGTGTGGTCATCCGCCTGGTGAATCGCACCTTCCTGCGGTGTAAAAGACACAAACAGTTTCTTATCGTTGCACATGTGGTGGGTGGCCGCTGAATCAACAACGAAGAAAGATCTAGACGTCTTCTGGACCTCTGCAACCTTTGGAGTGAAGCGTGAAACCATAGCCTTGTGCTGCGTTGTCCTAGACACCGGACCTTTGCCTTTGCCTCGGCCTTTTCCGCGCGATGAGCTTTCGCTGCGCTGCTCTGTCTTGGCCCTGGGATGTCTGCATTCCCTCTTCATATGGCCTAGACGTCCACACGAGTAGCATTTCACTGCCTTCATAGCTTTGGCGCCATCTGGTGGTTCCACTGCACTATGGGATGACGTCTGTGAAGACTCTCCCTTGCCCATGCAGCTAGCACCCCGGCGATCTGCTTCATTTAAAATCATGGCAGTAACAAAGTCTACTGTCAGCTGAGCAGTTGGTTGCACAGCAATCTGGGTTGCAACAGACTCCCAACCTGAACCCAAAGATTGTAGTATCATGAAAGAATACACAGCCTCTGGAAAGTTGAGTCCTCTCTGTTGCAGCTCATGTCTCAGATTTTGCATCTCCATCAGATGTAAACGCACATCTCCACCTTCAGCAAGAGCCATATTATGCAGCTTGTTAAAATAAAACATAGTGGATCCAGCTTCTGTCCTTAAGTGAGCCTCTCTCAGAGCGTCCCAAATTTCTCTGGCTGAGGTCTTATCACGCAATAGACAGAGCTCTTCTGGGGATACTATCAATGTAAGAGTTCCCCTTGCTTTGGAATCCTTAGCTTCCCATGCATCTGTAACTGGAACTGGGGGGGTTGCTGTAATCACCTCAAACAAACCCTCTTTCCGCAGAATTGCCTCTGCATACTGAACCCAGTCGCTGTAATTTATCTTGTTGAGCTTAGGAATCCCACAAGCATCCTGAAGGGCCATCATGACTCTGGCATTAGCCTTCAGCGTCATATGCTGCTTTAAATCTTGCTGCGTCACTGCTGCAGCTGCCTCATTACAAAGGCACACTTAAAAGTTACTTCGATTTCCCCAGCATAGTGACTTGTGCCTGGGAGCCTTTTGCCTATTCCCGGCAAAACCGGCTTTAAAAGTTCAAAGTCCAGCCATAAAGCCATTAACTTGAAGCTGGCAGGCTGCCCGGAGCAGTAGCACATACCTCATCAATCACTTCTACGCGCAGAGCAGATTCCTTTCCGATCCGTCCCTCTGCATTCCGATCCTTTGCCGGCACTCCGATTCGACCTCTGGAGTCCATAACCACGTGTTGATTTAAAGCAGAGTCTTGGTGCCCAGCGGAAGGATGAGGAAAATGTGTTACATACTCTATATTGCTTTATTTACAGTTCAAAGCTGGTATATTACAGAAAGACATCTTGCGTCTGCAGGAGCAGAAAAATGCATCCTCTCTCCTCGACAGCTTGGAGAGAATCACACAGTGAAAAAAACAGGAAACCAGTGTACGTCACATCCAGTCTCCCTTTCCCGTGAGAAACTCCAACAGTACAGACTGTGGAATGTAAAACAATGTCTTGTGACTGCAGTTGCTGCTCAGTGAGGGAAATAGAAACCAACACGTTCAACGTTGGTTGTGGGAAGCAGTACTTGAAAACAACATTCACTGGAGGTCCTGCTTTGTATTGTTGCGGAAGGATCATAGTTGGTTGATAGTGAACACACACACGTATAATGGACATGTATATTAAATGTGTGAGTCTGTTTATTCATATAGATAGTTCATACTCATTTTTATACAGTTATGCACAGGGTCGCATGTATCTGTTTAGATGCTAATTACTTTTGCAAACCTGGAATATATATTTTGTATAATGTTATACATATAATAAAGCATATAATGTATTTTAGCAAAATTGGGGGGGGTGTCATTTCATGTTGAGATGAAAGAGTGAAATGGCCATTAGGAAACCATCTCTGCAGATAAACTCAACATAGAGATTGATTGATTGATTGATTGATTGATTGATAGATTGATTGATTTAAACAAACTTTTCAGGTTTATACATTTCACTGATTTTACAATCATTTTTACATTTCAAAACTTAAATTTATTTTTAATATCTTCTGCATATCCTCATTAACTTAATTTGCTCATTTATTCATCTTCTTTAAATAGATAGTCTTATGAAACTGCAGGTTACTACAGTAATCCTTACAGTGTTTTTATCTGTCTACAATTTATGTGTAAACATTCAATAAACCATTTCCATCCCTTTATTTCAATTCTTTTATTTATTCCATTCTTTTATGGAATCTTCTATTAAGATTATACTGGCAAGAATGAATCTTTCTGTGGAACGTCTTCCCATCAGATGGCAAGGAGATAAATAAGTATCTGACTTTTAGAAGACATCTGAAGGCAGCCCTGTTTAGGGAGGTTTTTAATGTTTGATGTTTTATTGTGCTTTTAATTTTGTTGGGAGCTGGCCAGAGTGGCTAGGGAAACTCAGCTCCTCTCCCGCCCTCCCTGCTAGCCAGGGAGGAGGGAGGCTCCAACTGTGGTGCTTGGCTGCATTGCTCACCCAATAAGGAGTCTGAGAACGACTGGGGGGGGGGGTGGAACTTGCATGCCTTGTGCCAATCAAATTGGCCGTGTTGCCTGGGGACTCGCCTTTGCTCAGCGCTTCCCAGCGGAGAGGTGACAGTGGTTTTCCTTGCTGCATCCCCTTTGCCGGGTTGCTGCGCTGTGGGAACCACCGCTTGAGGCTTCGTTGGCTGCTGGCTGGGCTTTCTGCCTTTGGCTCGTAGGGGCTCAGAAGTTGAACATACCTGTGCTCTGAAAATCCCTTATTTTGGCTGCTGATCCCTTATTTTCAAATCTGTAAGTTGACATCTATGACAGTGGTACCTCGGGTTACATACGCTTCAGGTTACAGACTCTGCTAACCCAGAAATAGTACCTCAGGTTAAGAACTTTGCTTCAGGATGAGAACAGATATCACGCAGCGGTGGCACGGCGGCAGCAGGAGGCCCCATTAGATAAAGTGGTGCTTCAGGTTAAGAACGGTTTCAGGTTAAGAACGGACCTCCGGAACGAATTAAGTACTTAACCCGAGGTACCACTGTACAGTGGACACTCTGGATACAAATTTTATTCGTCCTGGGGGGTCCGTGTACACCCCAAAAATTTCATAAGAAGAGGTGCCACTTCTGCACGTGCACATGGTGTGATAGAGTGTTTCTGCACATGTACTTCTGCACATGCGCGTGGTGCAACCCGAAAGTGTTACATTACCCAAAGGTAACATAACCCAAGGGTCCACTGTACTGAACATACATTGTGTGAGGGTGCACAGTCTCTCTATGAAAGCAGAATTTCATCAAATATGTGAAAACTGGTGCAACTTCTCCCCCTACAGCCTAAATGTAGAAGAGCAGCTCGCACAGAAGCTGTGAGGACCAACATTTTACGTCCTTTCGGAGGGAGACAGATGAAGCCAAGCAGAATAGGAATTTGCTTCCTAACGGGATACATAGCACCTTCAGGACTATCCAGAGTTAATGAGTCAGGGCCTTGCTCTACATTACTCACTGGGGTTTTAGACAGGGGTCTTTTGCACACATCCCTGAAGGATCTCAGAAACTGAACCTGGAACCTTCTGCAAGCAAACAGGTGTCCTACCACTAAGCTATGGCCGAGGGCAGAGGCACCCAAGAATTCAAGTTTCCCCAGATCACAATTCATAAAGAAAGCCTTTTGTATGCAGAGCTACCATTTACACATGTGTGTTTGCATTACAGCTTCACTCAAGGAGCTTCCCATCTCCTGCTCTGTATTCTTCGTAAAGCTTGTAATGACTCCGTGGCATGGGAGACATGCATTGTTAGAAACTCATTCGTGCTATTGTATGGATCTGTTTATAATGGGTCGTATTATTTTTATACAGTTACACACATTGTGGCATCAACCTGTTTATGTACAGGTTACTTTGAGGTCATTGAGGGTACATGTGTATAATGTCATACATGTGATGATGCACATAATATGCTGGAACTGTGCACAATTTAACAGAACTGGGACAGGTACTCTAAGGAGCTAAATGGGATTAGGAAAAAAAGAAAAGAAATCACACAGAGCCTGACACTGAGATTTTAAGGGAAATTTAATATCTACCACTGTGAAGATTGCCGTTGCAGCTAGTGGGTTGGTGGTACTGCCATTGACTGAGACCAGGTGGCTTTCTGGCTAGAGATCAAAAGATATTTCGACACAGATGAAATTAAGCTCTTTGGGTTATCAGAGATGCAGTTTCTGAAATCCTTCAGAGAGACTTTTTGTCCACACGAAGCTTCTGCTGAGTTGGGTGCCAGTGTCTCATGGTGCCTACTTGTTTCTTGCTTGTTCCAGGAAGCACAAAGAGAAGCTGAGAGGAAGGGGGAAGCAGAGAGCCTGCTAAGCCACACCCACACTGGCAACCTGAGCTCAGGGCTCAAGTTAACCCTTTTTTCAAGCAAGCGTGAGCCAGTAACTGTATATGACAACAGACTTGACAGGTGGTGGTTGGGGTTGGCAAGCAAATATTTAAGGGATTCAATTAACTTCATTGTAGTCCCTAAATAACATGATATCACCACTCACTCCTGTCAGAATCGGACAAAACATTCAGGTTTTCAACAAGCTATTGAATTATTCTGCCTCTCCTCCCTTAATAACATCCATGAGTGTAAATAACTTGATGTAAATGCATGTTATTGTCAAAAACAGATAAAGCTCATTCATGCGCAATTATGCTCTTGAGTGATTCAGGTTTCCCCACTCTTGGAAAGGAGAGAGAAGGTTTTTGTCTCAGTTCCCCCTTAGATTGCACCAGCGTGGAACGTGCTACTGCCATGCTCGAAGCCACAACAGTAATAAACCGCCTCATCTTCAGGCTGGCTATTGGTGATAGTTAAATAGCCAGTGTTCCTGGAGTAAGAACCAGTGAACCGATCCGGAATCCCTTCTCCCCGGGTGCCAGAACCAGCAAACACAAAGCGAGGAGCCTGTCCAGATTTCTGTTGATACCAGTGAAATGCTTGCCAGCTACGACCACCATTTCCAGAACAGGAGATTTTAACGGTTTGGCTTGGAGAGATAGACTCAGAAGCAGGCTGAATCAAACTTGGTTGTGAACAGACACCTTTACAAAAAGAAAAGGAAAAGAAACCAGGGCTTGGGTATATTTGCCATGCGCTGAAATATCACAGAAGCATGATGTTCCTGTGATAGATAAAGGTAAAGGGACCCCTAACCATTAGGTCCAGTCGTGACCGACTCTGGGGTTGCGGCACTCATCTCACTTTATTGGCCGAGGAAACTGGCGTACAGCTTCTGGGTCATGTGGCCAGCATGACTAAGCCACTTCTGGTGAACCAGAGCAGCACACGGAAATGCCGTTTATCTTCCCACCAGAGCGGTACCTATTTATCTACTTGCACTTTGACGTGCTTTTGAACTGCTAGGTTGGCAGGAGTAGGGACTGAGCAACGGGATCTCACCACGTCGCGGGGATTCGAACCGCTGACCTTCTGATCGGCAAGTCCTAGGCTCTGTGGTTTAACCCACAGCGCCACCCGCATCCCTTATTCCTGTGATAGGTTCACAATTAAAACAGATCTGATGTAGGCCTATATGAAATGTGTCATTCATACTCTTACCCGAGCAGTAGCTGAGAAGTGCCAGGTAAATCAGAATCCAGGCCATGGTGAGCTCTCTAGAAGAGTGACTTTCCTTCAGAGAGCTAGATGGCCTCTTCTTACTTCTTTCTGAATTCCCCCAGAAATAGTAAATGGGCTCTTCATGCAAATTAGTTCTATGCTCATTGGCTCTGCAAAAACATCTTTGTTTGCTTGTTGGCGTTGGTGCAACACCAATGATCAAAGGACACATTTGAATAAAGGGCGGCTCCTGTGGTGGGGAAGAGACGGAGCTGATCACAGCGCTTCCTGGCTCAGCTGGCTGCTTTGTGCCACGGTGGCCACCGCAGGCAGAGGCTCCGGGTGCGGCGGAGGCAGGTGAGGACAGTGAGCTGCTGCCGGGAGATGCTGCATTCAGCCTCCATCTTTTCCCTGGCGCCCTCCAGAACTTGGCACCCTGGTGCCCCACGCCACTAGCCTCTATGGGTAAGACGCCCCTGATCAGGGTCAGACAAAAACTGTGGGCTGCCATTTATTGGTGAGACCACATACAGTCGTACCTCAGGTTACGTAGGCTTCAGGTTACAGACTCTGCTAACCCAGAAATAATGCTTCAGGTTAAGAACTTTGCTTCAGGATGAAAACAGAAATTGTGCTCTGGCGGTGCAGCAGCAGCGGGAGGCCCCATTAGCTAAAGTGGTGCTTCAGGTTAAGAACAGTTTCAGGTTAAGAACGGACCTCCGGAACGAATTAAGTACTTAACTCGAGGTACCACTGTACAGTATTTAAGTTGAGACTATTCCTCTAAAAGCATCTGTGTGTCCATATTACATGATATCATTGCACGTTCTTGTTAAAGAGAGAGAGAGAGAACCCATTCGTTCTTGACTCTGCACTCGAGTAATTCTGGTTTTTTTGCTGTAGGGAGGGAGGGTGAAGGTTTTTGTCTCAGTTCCCCATTAGACTGTACCACTGTGAAACTTGCTGCCACCATTGGCTTCATAAGTGCCACAGAAATAATCAGCTTCGTCTTCAGCCAGGGTGTCGGAGACGGTTAAATAGCCAGTGTTCCCGGATTGAGAGCCAGTGAACCGATCTGGAATCCCTTCTCCCGGGTGCTGGTACCAGTGTGAAACTTGCTGCCACCACTGACTTCATAAGTGCCACAGAAATAATCAGCTTCATATTGCAGAGCTGTGTCAGATGTTTACGGTGAGGCCATTTCTCTAAATGCATTCCGGTGTCTAAAATAATCTGATATCATACTACATTCTTGTCAAAAACAGTCTGAGCTCATTCAGGCCCAACTCTGCTCTTGAGGAACTCAGGTTTCGTTGTGGCAGGGCAGAAGAGAAAAGGTTTTTGTCTCACTTCCCCATCAGATTGTATCACTGTGGAACTTGCTACCACCAGTGACCTCCAAGGCACCACAGTAATAAACGGCCTCATCTTCAGCCTGGGTTTTGGAGATGGTTAAAGAGCCAGTGTTCCCAGATTCAGAGCCAGTGAACCGATCTGGGATCCCTTCTCCCCGGGTGCTGGTACCAGCAAACACAAAGCGAGGAGCCTGTGCAGGTTTCTGTTGATACCAGTCAAATGTGTATGAGGAATCCAGACCACCACTTTGGTAGCAAGAGATTTTCACAGTTTGGCCCAGGGACACAGACTGGGAAGCTGGCTGAGTCAATGTTGCCTGTGAAGCGACACCTTTACATACAAATAAAGGGAAAGGGATAAGACCCTTGATATATTACTCTTTGCAATATCAGAAAAACATCATATTCATATGATGACTATATAATACAGAAAACTGTGGTGTGCTGTCTCCTCTTCCTTACCTGAACAGTAATTGAGGAGGACCAGGAGAAGCAGAGTCCAGGACATGGTGAGCTCTCCAAAGCAGTGTCTCCTTCTTAATCCGATAGGCAACTAGCTGGGACCTTACCTTTTCCTTCCTTAATCTCCCTGGAACTGATGAACAAATGCAAATCATGCAAATCCACCCTGCACTCATTCACTCAGCTAGAACCACATGCCACCGCTGAGAATATACAGTGCCGTACCAAAAACACACACAAATCGAATACAACTAATTTGCATAAAAGTTTCAGGGGCTGGACTAAGGAAGAATTGTAGGGGCCGCCCCCAATCCCCTTCTCCTGGACCTTCCCGAGAGCAGGAGGACAGTATAGATGTAGAACAGCGGTTTGCAGAAGGGCATAGTTCAGAGGCTGCAGAGGGAAGAAGCTGGGAAATACTGGGAGAAGAGCAGGAAGAAGAACTGGGGGAGACACAGACTCAGTGCCTTTGGAAAACATTCCTGACCCCGCTTCCCAAGACTAGTTGGGCATTGGGGTAGGAGAACAGAAATCTCAGAGGCAGTAAGCATAGATCAGCCAACACAGGGATGACGTGGAATAGGAGAGAAGCGGTGGGAGGGTTGGAATTTACTCGGAGCAACGCCATTATTTGATAGAGACTGTATTCCTTTCTCTCTCTCTGTGAATACGGAATAAATTATGTGGTAAGAACTCTTCTTGTCAATCTGCTTTTTGGCTGCCACCAGGGGAGGGATTGGAATCCCTGAAGCCTGACAAAAAGAGATTAAAACACACACACACAGACACACACGAAACTGCCTTGTTTTATTCCGCATGAAAATGAGGACACGGTGAGGTGACCCCTCCCATTAACGGTTGCTGAAGTCCAGGCAGGCCCAGCCCAAGGCATTTTGTTTCCCTTTCCGTTCCATATTCAGAAGTGAACTGGGCCAGCCGTGGCAGCATCTCTGCTCGACAGTGTTGACATGAAGGGCTTCCTTCTCCACCCCAGAGAGCAGCAGGGGAGCTCAGGGAAGGCTGGCCAGACCACGAGGCACACACAGCCCCACCCTCCAATATTTGGCCAGCACTCCCTGCCACCCTCAGCATCTGCTGCCTGGACCCTCTGCCAAATGCTGGGATCAAAGCTCAGGAGAGTGTGGGTGAAGATGGACAAGAAGAATATAATTCCCAGGTGTTAAAAAAAAGGAAAAAGGTTATTTATGAATGCCACTACTGCGGCCCATGTTTTGTTAGCCCCCAAAAATGGAAAACAAGAGAGATCCCAACTAAAGAAGAATGGCTACTTAAACTGATGGAATATGCGAACATATAGAATAAGAGAGCAAGAGGAACATATGTTTAAAGAAGACTGGAAAATATTGCTTGAATACATGGGGGGAAACTGTGTACACTCGAAAATGTTGGCAGCATGAAGATAAACTCAACAGTGTAAATAAGTATTGATGGATGTAACAATGGAATACTGAATGGTTTAGTTTATGTAAAATATGCAAAACATTTTGGCACCTAATTGCAGGTAGGTAGCCGTGTTGGTCTGCTGTAGTCAAAACAAAATAAAAAAATTCCTCCCAGTAGCACCTTAGAGACCAACTAAATTAGTTACTGGTATGAGCTTTCGTGTGCATGCACACTTCTTCAGATACACCTGATTGGCACCTGATTGCACCTGATTTTGGCACCTGATTGCATTAAATGTTGACAAGGAATGGGAGCAAAAATAAGACTTTGTTCTTCTTATTCCCCCCCCCCACAATATGCACCAGGTGTGGGGAACCTTGGCCCTATCTACTATATCAAGTTAGGCTGGAGCCTGGCGATGCTGTCTGGGAGGGGGCTGATGGGTCTCGCAGTTCAGTAACACCTGGAGCACCAATTGTTCCCCTTTGGTCAGCCCAGTGTCTCATATTCTAGATTAGAGACGCAGAATATTAGCACCTGAATGAGTTGGAAGGCACAGGAGATTTACTCACAAATAAAGGGCATTCTTCCATTTCACTTCACACTGCAGTTGCAGGAAGTTTATGTGGTGGTATTAGTTTTGCTAAATCTGGTCTAAGTGGACCTACATCGCCCCCTACAGATTAAAGGAAGGACTGCAGAGTTTGCAGCTCTATCAACAGCCAGACACACTGAGATTTCCATGGCAAAGTTTCTCAGGGCCTGGAGGTGAGAGGAAAGATTTCCAAACACAACCCACTTGGAAATTTATATATATAAGACCCTGGACAATTTCCAAGTGGGTTGTTTTACAATTTAAAATACTCCTTTTACATCCTTAAGATACCAATGACTTCCCTTCTTTTCTTTCCATGGTTCACTTTACATATCATAAATCCCTGCATATTTTACAAAAAGTATACCGTTCAGTATTCCATTATTGCATCCATCAAAACTTGTTTACACTGCTGAATTTATCTAAATGCTGCCAGTGTTTCCAGCTGTACACAATTATTCCCCATATATTCAATAAATGTTTTCCAATCTTCTTTAAATGTATGCTCTTCTTGTTCTCTTATTCTATATGTTAAGTCTGCGAGTTGTGCATATCAAATTGCCTGGGGTCTTAAGGATGGGTGCTTAATAATTCTTCTGCCTCTTATAGTAATTGTAACGTGCTGTGTTAGGTGCTGCACGTTTAATTGTATTTTCATTGCTTGTTTCATTTCTTACATATTGCCTTTTATTGCATTACAATGTGAATTTCCTAAGAAATAACAGAAACAATTAGAATACATTTAAAGAGCATGTTGACTCTAACAGGAAGCTGGGTGGGACCTGACACTTTCCTTTCTTATATCTCCCCAGGGCTGATGAATAGTCCTTTAATGGACATCCCATGTTCATTGGCTCTCTTAGAACTTTGTCTCTCTTCTGAGAACACAAAATGCAATATCAAAATGAGATGCAATATAATACTTTAGCAGAAAGGAGATTTAAAAATAGTATTAGTGATGGTGCTTGTCTGGTAGAAGATGACCTTAAGGAAGAAGCAGGATAATTCTTCCTTATCAAGGCTGATGGGGATATCTCAAGGGAAGAGGGATAAAGGGGAATGAAAGTTTAATGGCAAAGGATGTGACTTGCATGTGGAAGGTCCAGTTCTTTGCACCCGAGATAAATAGATCAAGCAGCAGATGGTGGGAAAGATCTTGAGATTCTGGAGTGAGAAGAAGAATATAGAATACTGGACTGGGTTACTGCTTTTTGAACATTCATTGTGACTTGTTTGCAAGGAAATTAAAAAACAACGACAACCCAGCTATTTATTTATTAACAGGGTTGCCATGTTTCAAAATGTGAAAATCCGGACACAAAAGTTGATGATCGTTTTTTGGCAAAGTTGTTGAGCTTTGACCTAGCCATCAAGGAGAATTAAGAACTGAGGGCTGCAATTTATTGCTGAGCTGTGTCAGATGTTTACGGTGAGGCCATTTCTCTAAATGCATTCCTGTGTCTAAATAATCTGATATCATACTACATTCTTGTCAAAAACAGTCTGAGCTCATTCAGGCCCAACTCTGCTCTTGAGGAGCTCAGGTTTCGTTGTGGCAGGGCAGAAGAGAAAAGGTTTTTGTCTCAGTTCCCCATCAGATTGTATCACTGTGATACTTCAAGCTACCAGTGAACTCCCAGGCACCACAGTAATAAACGGCCTCATCTTCAGGCTGGGTGTTGGAGATGGTTAAAGAGCCAGTGTTCCCAGATTCAGAGCCAGTGAACCGATCTGGGATCCCTTCTCCCCTGTCGCTGGAGCCATACCACACAAAGCGAGGAGCCTGTCCAGGTTTCTGTTGATACCAGTGAAAGTAGCCCCAGTCACCACCACTACTTTTAGAGCAGGAGAGTTTCACAGTTTGGCCCAGGGACACAGACTGGGAGCCTGTCTGAGTCACTGTTGGCTGTGAATTGGCACCTTTTGAAAAAGACAAAGAAAAGCATGACTCTCTATCCTCTGTGTTCTCAAATATCACTAGAGCTTTAGGTTTCCATAATAAATAAACACTACAAGTAATTTGGTTTTATCTCTCAGGTCTACATGAGGTTACCTGTTTGCATCCTTATCTGAACAGTAATTGAGAAGGGCCAGGAAAAACAGAGTCCAGGCCATGTTGAGGGGCTTTCTCCAACACAAAATAACTGGCTGGGAGCTCACCCTTTGCTTTCTTAAGTCCTCTAGGGTAGGGGAATGTCCCCCTTTATGCAAATGCATCCAGATTTGCATAAATGATTTTTTTAAAAAAATGAGAATGGGTCTTGTCTTGTACACAGCGAACGTTTCCCACCATGGAAACATGCCTCGCAAAGGATGCAACAGCCTTGTGCCCTGCGATCCCAGCCTCGCCTTTGAGAGGCTGGACTCATTCACATGCCTCGTGTCTCCCCCCCCCCCCCAAGTGGCTATGTACATTTTAGAATTATTTTATGTGTTGTAAGCTGCCCAGAGTGGCTGGGGAAACCCAGCCGGATGGACTGGACATAAATAACTAAATCATCCTCATCCTCATTATCATCATCATTTCTCCCCTGTAGATACATACAGTGGTACCTCGGGTTACATACGCTTCAGGTTACAGACTCAGCTAACCCAGAAATATTACCTCAGGTTAAGAACTTTGCTTCAGGATAAGAACAGAAATCGGGCTCCAGCGGCGCGGCGGTAGCAGGAGGCCCTATTAGCTAAAGTGGTGCTTCAGGTTAAGAACAGTTTCAGGTTAAGTACTGACCTCCGGAACAAATTAAGTACTTAACCCGAGGTTCCACTGTACTATATATTGTCTAATGATAATGTATATTATATGTGAGAATTGCTCCTTTTTAAAACAGAAGGGGGAGCAGGTGCTCACCCCCTGCTGAGACCCCCCCCAATTTGCAACAGCTGCCCTCCGCACCTGACTCTGGGTGGGGTGGAAAGATTAAAGGGGGGAAATTGTTGGTTTGATGTGAATGTTTTTTGGACGAGGGAAAGTTGAGGTTTTATTTATTTTTGTTTATTCATTAATGGGGCTGATGATTGCTTTGTTTATTATTTGAGCGTGTTTTTTAATAGATGTTATATGAAATATCACTGTGTTGTTAAAACCAGGAATGGGGGGGCAGTTAAACGACTCCCCCCAAATCCTAAGTCCCCACCACAGCCTCGAACTAAGACCAGGTCAATGACACAAGCGCCATACATAGACAACAGCAAAGAGGCTCAGAAAAGCAGTCTATAAAATTGTAGCAATTAGCGGATGGAACTCTGACATTCCCATATGGAATCAAATAATCGCCCAAATTCAACAGTTTGGCAGATTTCCTTGGTTCCAAAGGCTGATGACTCCTCTGGAAGAGGGGAATACGAGCTCCCCCTGCCTCCATAATCCCTTAAGCATAAGGTCACGTACTCCTTGCCCCTCCATAAGGTGTGAACTGAGGCTCACAACAGGAGGTGATCAAGGGCAGCACATACCCCAGACAGAAATCCATCCGGATGGAAGATTGAATCCGGATACTTTCAAAGGAGGAGCTCAGGAAAGCCTTGCAGCTAGGGAGATGTGTCAATACTTTTATTGTTCTTTGGGGAAGAGGTTAGTTAAAAGGTGCTGGGAATGGGGAGCTATTGACAGGGGTGGGTGTGATGGGCTCATGTTTCTACACGCCAAACACTCCTACTTCGTGACATATTTGTGATGTTTTGATGATGCTGTTGGAAAATGTATTATGGGAAATGGGGAGGGGTCTTAAAAGTTCACGCAACTCCATGCTCAGGGTTCCTACTCTGTGTGTGTTTGAACCTTCTTGCAAGAAATAAAGATCAGGTCTACTGACTGTTATTTGCTTCTTTAACTTGACTGGAGAATCCTTGTTTTGCTGGCCGCGGAGACCCATGAGGACTGGCACCCCGATGAACTGGGCAGCGGAGTCAATTCACACCCTCCAAATATTTTCCTTATCAGCATTAATGTATCATATGATTCCCCCTACTTTCCCCCACCCCAAGGTGTTGTGTGCTGTGTATCTTTTTACTGTCTCTTGGAGATCTTCAGATGACAAGTGAGTAATCAATGAAATGAAGGAGCAAAATAGGAATAAGAAAAGATCCATCAAGATTTTGGGGAAAATTCCTTTTCTAATGAGAGTACAGATTGTTGGTGCAGTTGGTTGGTGGGTGGGTGGTCCTGCCATTGAAAAGTGTCTAAGCCCAGATGGCCTCACTGAGCCTTACAAATCTGGATAGCAAAAGATATTCTGGCACAGATGAAATGAAGCTCCAGTGATCTAGTCCGTTCTGCACTCTGGGGAGGAAGAGAACAGGTTTTTGTCTCAGTTCCCCATTAAGTTGTATCACTGTGAAACATGATACTACCGGTGTGCTCCCAGTCAACACAGAAAGAAACGGCCTCATCTTCAGCCTGGATGTTGGAGATGGTTAAATAGCCAGTGTTCCCAGAGGAAGAGCCCGTGAACCGGTCCGGGATCCCTTCTCCCCTCTTGTCGGCACCATAGAGCACAAAACGAGGAGCGTCTCTGGGTTTCTGTTGATACCAGTAAAAGCTGTCCAAGCTCCCACTACTTTAGGAGCAGGGGAGTTTAGTCGTCTGGCCCAGAGACACAGACTGGGAGTCTGGCTGAATGACTGCTGGCTGTGAATGGACACCTTTACAGAAACAGACAGAAAAACTTTCATTTTCATTATTTGTCCCCTCCGGCATCACAACAGACTGTGTGGACTCATGGATGTTTGGTTGGCTGGGTGGGTGTTTAAGTCCTACCATATTATTTATTTGTTTAAAAATATTTATACCCCACTATTCAGGAAAAAACATATCACAGCAGTCTGCAACAATCAGATGTAAATCATACAGTAAAAACATAAACATTTAATATCAGAGATCAGCTAACTATTAGAGGAGGATATTTTCTTAATTGTCAGCGTAAGATGGCAGCCACAGAGAAGTGAGTGCAAAGCCCTTTGGCTCGAGACTTTGAAAGATCTTAAGGCACAGAGAAAATGAGCTCTTCATTCTTCACTCCGGATTGGAAGAGCAAAGGTTTTTGTCTCAGTTCCCCATCAGACTGGACCACCGCGAAACATGTTGTTATCATACTCTCAGGCACCACAGTAACAAACTACCTCATCTTCAGCCTGGATGTTGGAGAACAAAGTGAGGAACCTGCCCAGGTATCTGTTGATTCCAGTGAAACCTGCTCCAGCTACCACCACTATTTTGAGAGCAGGAGAGTTTCAGTTTCACCTGGGGACACAGACTGGGAGACTGGCTGAGTCAAGGCTGGCTGTGAAGTGACACCTTGCAAAAAGGAAAATCAAATCCTTTGATCCTCTGTGCTCCCCAATACTGCTGGAGCAATATGTTTCTTTGATAACCATCTTAGATTCTTCTTCTTCTTCTTTCTCTTGCACTTACATAAGATTATCGCTTTGCCTCCTTACCTGAACAGTAACTGAGAAGAGCCAGGAAAAGCAGAGGTGGGGCCATGGTGGACTCTCCAAAGGAGGGAGGTTTTCTGAGTCAAACAGGGAACTGGCTGGGACTTTGCCATCCCCTTGCTTAAATCCCCTAGAGCTGAGGATTCATGCAAATCCATTCCTGTGCCTTCATTGGCTTTTCTACTGGGAATGCAAATGTGCAATAATAAAGTCCAAAACAAAAGAACTGATTTGCATTAAGGAGCTGTTAAAAAAATACCCTGAAAGAGCCAACCTTTCATGGAGAATATGTGTGAGGCATAGTCCCCAAATGCCAAGACCATCATCAAAACCCTGAAGCTTCTCACTTTGTCATGCAGTCTCAAATTCCCCTCTTTGTTGCCATAGGCTAACTGGGAATGCCTTCACTGGAAATGGGGGAAGAGAGAGTTAAGAACTGAGGGCTGCAATTTATTGGTGAGCTGTGCCAGATATTTACGGTGACGCCATTTCTCTCAATGCATTCCTGTGTCTAAATAATCTGATATCATACTACATTCTTGTCAAAAACAGTCTGAGCTCATTCAGGCCCAACTCTGCTCTTGAGGAACTCAGGTTTTGTTGTGGCAGGGCAGAAGAGAAAAGAAAAGGTTTTTGTCTCAGTTCCCCATCAGATTGTATCACTGTGATACTTCCAGCTACCAGTGCTCTCCCTGGCACCACAGTAATAAACAGCCTCATCTTCAGCCTGGGTGTTGGAGATGGTTAAAGAGCCAGCGTTCCCAGATTCAGAGCCAGTGAACCGATCTGGGATCCCTTCTCCCCTGGTGCTGGAGCCAGACCACACAAAGCAAGGAGCCTACCAGGTTTCTGTTGATACCAGGCAGATTTAAAAATAATATTAGCGATGGTGCTTGTCTGGTAGAGGATGACCTGAAGGAAGAAGCAGGATAATTCTTCCTTATCAAGGCTGATGGGCATATCTCAAGGGAAGAGGGATAAAGGGGAATGAAAGTTTAATGGCAAAGGATGTGACTTGCATGTGGAAGGTCCAGTTCCTTGTACCCGAGATAAATAGATCAAGCAGCAGATGATGGGAAAGACCTTGAGATTCTGGGATGAGAAGAGGAATATTGGACTGGGCTACTGCTTTTTGAACATTCATTGTGACTTGTTTGCAAGGAAATTAAAAAACAACGACAACCCAGCTATTTCTTTATTAACAGGGTTGCCATGTTTCAAAATGTGAAAATCCGGACACAAGAGTTGATGATCGTTTTTTGGCAAAGTTGTTGAGCTTTGATCTAGCCATCAAGGAGAATTAAGAACTGAGGGCTGCAATTTATTGCTGAGCTGTGTCAGATATTTACGGTGAGGCCATTTCTCTAAATGCATTCCTGTGTCTAAATAATCTGATATCATACTACATTCTTGTCAAAAACAGTCTGAGCTCATTCAGGCCCAACTCTGCTCTTGAGGAACTCAGGTTTCGTTGTGGCAGGGCAGAAGAGAAAAGGTTTTTGTCTCAGTTCCCCATCAGATTGTACCACTGTGATACTTCCAGCTACCAGTGCTCTCCCTGGCACCACAGTAATAAACGGCCTCATCTTCAGCCTGGGTGTTGGAGATGGTTAAAGAGCCAGCGTTCCCAGATTCAGAGCCAGTGAACCGATCTGGGATCCCTTCTCCCCTGGTGCTGGAGCCATACCACACAAAGCGAGGAGCCTGTCCAGGTTTCTGTTGATACCAGTGAAAGCTGCCCCAGCTACCACCACTACTTTTAGAGCAGGAGAATTTCACAGTTTGGCCCAGGGACACAGATTGGGAGCCTGTCTGAGTCACTGTTGGCTGTGAATTGGCACCTTTTGAAAAAGAAAAAGAAAAGCATGACTCTCCATCCTCTGTGTTCTCAAATATCACTGGAGCTTTAAGTTTCCATAATAAATAAACATAATAAATGAATATATATTATAGTTTATTGTGCTGTTGGCTCCACGGCAAAAGAGATGTTATTCCTCCCCATCCTTACCTGAGCAGTAACTGAGAAGGGCCAGAAAAACCAGAGTCCAGGCCATGGTGAGCTCTCTTATCCAAACAGGCAACTGGCTGGAAGCTCAGCCTTTTGCTTCTTAAATGGCCTGGAGCTGATGAATGGCCACTTCATGCAAATCCAAACTGCGCTCATTGGCTCTGCTAGAACTGCATGTCTGTATTTGGAATGCATGATTAAGTAGGTCAACCAGATGCAATAGGACTGATATGTGGAGAGAGAGAGAGAGAGAGAGAGAGAGAGAGAGAGGACCTGAAGTAGAAGTAGGATGATTTGCCATGATCAAGGCAGATTGGGACTGTCACTCACGAGAAAAGAGAAAGAGATGGGCTCACAGCTTAGTGCTAAAGGACACAAAATGTGCATGCACAAGACACAGTCCCTGGCACCTCCCATTTAAAAAGGAATCAGGTAGTAAATGATGGGTTAATGCCCCTTTCGAGATGCTAGCATCAGAATAAGAATCCTGGGAAATGGATTGATTTTTCTTCTGATTTAGTTGCAGGGAGGTTAGATGGCGTTGTGTCAAAGAGATGTTCTCCCACACTTTCCAGTACCTTGCCCCATCCCTTTCCTTCTTCCAAATATCAACATTTGGGGGAAAGCTGGTTTCCTGCACAAGTCCTCCAACACAATTTTAAGTGGGCCACCTGGATTTGCCAGTATGTGATGGAATCTCACCTGAAAATGTGGACAGGATGGAATAGCCTTTAATGAAAAAACAGATGGACCTACTATAATGCAGATTTTTCTGATCCAAGGGAGGAGGGGTGTTTTACATCAATATATCTTCTCAGATCAGGAAATGTGAATTCTAGGCAGAAACAATTGATCTTTTCTCCTCAAGAAAATGTTAGGGGAAGCCCGGATGTATGGCAACAAGATGGAAAAAGCAGCAGAAACAGCAGAAAAGCTCAAAATGTCTATTTTGGGGGAGGCTCTAATATAATGTTTTTTCCCATGTGTTAGATGAGGTTTTTTGACTCAAAAATCATGTCAAAAAACTGGGGTCGTCCTATACACGGATAGTGGCATGGCGGGGGGAGGACTGCGTGTCCATCAGTCAGCTGGTTGGCGGCCCATGCTCTAGGGAGCATTTCCGGAGGGAGCGGCTGCCCACTTTGCCAACCCCCAGCAACAGCCCATCTCCCCTCATTTTCATTATATTTAACCCCCCAAAACAGGGTCTTATACATGAAAAAATCTGGTATATAAAATTTTATTTTCCATTTTCACATCTTACAATTATTTTAACAACCAAAATAAATCTGTACAAAACCAATCTGCATTTTCTTCAGCTTTGCTCCCCCCACCCTGGTGGTTACTTATTTTGCCTTTATAATCCCTTTTAATTGTTTCTTACTGCACATGTTTGTGCCAGTCCTGCTAATGTTTTTAATACATCTTCATATATTCAACCATTTTTCCCCCATTCTGTTCTAAAAAGTCTGTCATCTTGTTCTCTTATTCTTCTGGTAAGTTTTGCCACTTCTGAGTACTCCATCAATTTTAGTTGCCAGTCGTATTTCATTGGAACTGTTTCTTCTTTCCATTTCTGGGCGTACACCATTCGGGCAGCCGTAATAGCATACATAAATGTACTTTTTTAACCCCAAGAGTATTATAAGGCAGACAAAGTTGTGTGCAGGCACTTGAGTTCAGTGCCGGATTTACGTACAGTATAAGCTAAACAAGCTACAGCTTAGGGCACCACTCTCTTGGGGCCCCCCAAAACAATTAAAGGAAATTCTGCATGTGCAAATGGCTTTAGAAACCTATTAGGTTCAAAAATTACCATATAGCATATATTCAACACAAAAAAAGGGACAATTTGTTGTTGACGAAGGACAGCTGGACATATAAAGGGCCCCATTACCTTCACTAGCTTAGGGCCCCATCAAACCTAAATCTAGCACTGCTTGAGTTCCATGCATGAGTAACAGCCAAATAAACTGCTCATCTGTTCCTGAACTCTGTCTTCATACTGCAGGTGCAGGGACATCTGGGGACTCCAGAAATGAATTATGTCAAAGGTAGATAAACTGAACCAATGTCTCCCCTTGTGTCTAAAGCTCAGATTATCACCAAGGATGTATATAAAGTTTCAGAATAAAATACCTTTTTTAAAAAAAAAAAACCACAACAGATTTATCAGTGTAGAACTGAAGATTTCTTTTTAAGCAAACTTATCATAAAGGAAGCAGTTTTCAGTCAAATATCAGGCCGGACTCTTTGCTCTGCAGTCACCTCCTCTTTCACTCTACAATGTGCATGAAAAGGTATCCTTGAATGCCTCTTTCAAACACCATTGCCAAGCACTCCTTGGGAATCGGAGGAAATTATGAATGGATACGTTCTGAGTATGCTGGCTAGAACACTGTCACCAGTTCTCTTCCTGGACCTGATTTTGTGTTGTGTTTCTGCATGTAAAAGGTAAAGGTAAAGGACCCCTGGACGGTTAAGTCCAGTCAAAGGCGACTATAAGGTTGTGGTGCTCATCTCACTTTCAGGCCAAGGGAACTGGCGTTTGTCTGCAGAGAGCTTTCCGGGTCATGTGGCCAGCAGGACTAAACCGCTTCTGGTGCAACAGGACACTGTGATGGAAACCAGAGCGCATGGAAATGCTGTTTACCTTCCTGCCGCAGTGGTACCTATCTATCTACTTTCACTGGCGTGCTTTTGATCTGCTAGGTTGGCAGGAGCTGGGAGAGAGCAACGGGAGCTCACCCCGTTGGGGGGATTCGAACCGCTGACCTTCTGAGTTGCAAGCCCAAGAGACTCAGTGGTTTGGATGACAGCACCACCCACTGGTCGGTGGGATGTAATGGTTTTCCTTCTCCACCCCAGAGAGCAGCAGGGGAGCTCAGGGAAGGCTGGCCAGACCACAAGGCACACACAGCTCCACCCTCCAATATTTGGCCAGCACTCCCTGCCACCCTCAGCATCTGCTGCCTGGACCCTCTGCCAAATGCTGGGATCAAAGCTCAGGAGAGGAGGGGTGAAGATGGACAGGAGCTCAGAAGAATATAATTCCCGGGTGTAAGGGGGGGAAATGTTATTTATGTATGCTACTACTGTGGCCCGTGTTTCGTTAGCCCCCCAAAAATGAAAAATAAGAGAGATCCCAACTAAAGAAGAATGGCTACTTAAACTGATGGAATATGCGAACATATAGAATAAGAGAGCAAGAGGAAAATACTTTTAAAGAAGACTGGAAAATGTTGCTTGAATACATGGGGGGAAATTTTGTACACTTGAAAACGTTGGCAGCATTAAGATAAATTCAACAGTGTCAATAAGTTTTGATGGATGTATTAATGGAATACTGAAGGGTTTAGTTTATGTAAAATAGATAAAACATTTTGGCACCTGATTGCATTATATGTTGACAGGGAATGGGAGCAAAAATAAGGGTTTCTTCTTCTTCTTTTTCCCCCACCATGTGCACCGGGTGTGGGGAACCTTTGGCCCTATCTACAGCAGGGGTCAGCAACCTTTTTCAGCATTGGGCCGGTCCACTGTCCCTCAGACCTTATGGGGGACAGGACTGTATTTTTTTGGGGGGGGGGAATGAATGAATTCCTATGCCCCACAAATAACCCAGAGATGCATGTTAAATAAAAAGGACCCATTCTACGCATGTAAAAACACGCTGATTCCTGGAGCGTCCGTGGGCCGGATTGACAAGGTGATTGGGCTGCATCCAGCCCAAGGGCCTTAAGTTGCCTGCCCCTGATCTACAGTATCCAGTAAGGCTGGCCCCTGGCCATGCTGTCTGGGAGGGGCTGATGGGACTCACAGTTCAGTAACACCTGGAGCACCAGGTATTCCCCCTTTGGTCAGCCCAGTGTCTCATATTCTAGATTAGAGACGCAGAACATTAGCACCTGAATGAGTTGGAAGGCACAGGAGATTTACTCACAAATAAAGAGCATTCTTCCATTTCACTTCACACTGCAGTTGCAGGAAGTTTATGTGGTGGTATAATTTTTGCTAAATCTGGTCTAAGTGGACCTACATCGCCCCCTACAGATTAAAGGAAGGACTGCAGAGTTTGCAGCTCTATCAACAGCCAGACACACTGAGATTTCCATGGCAAAGTTTCTCAGGGCCTGGAGGTGAGAGGAAAGATTTCCAAACACAACCCACTTGGAAATTTATATATATAAGACCCTGGACAATTTCCAAGTGGGTTGTTTTACAATTTAAAATAGTCCTTTTACATCCTTAAGATACCAATGACTTCCCTTCTTTTCTTTCCATGGTTCATTTACATATGATAAATCCCTGCATATTTTACAAAAACTATACAGTTCAGTATTCCATTATTGCATCCATCAAAACTTGTTTACACTGCTGAATTTATCTAAATGCTGCCAGTGTTTTCAGCTGTACACAATTATTCGGCATATATTCAATAAATGTTTTCCAATCTTCTTTAAATGTATGCTCTTCTTGTTCTCTTATTCTATATGTTATGTCTGCAAGTTGTGCATATGAAATTGCCTAGGGTCTTAAGGATGGGTGCTTAATAATTTTTCTGCCTCTTATAGTAATTGTAATGTGCTGTGTTAGGTGCTGCACGTTTAATTGTATTTTCATTGCTTGTTTCATTTCTTACATATTGCCTTTTATTGCATTACAATGTGAATTTCCTAAGAAATAACAGAAACAATTAGAATACATTTAAAGAGCATGTTGACTCTAACAGGAAGCTGGGTGGGACCTGACACTTTCCTTTCTTATATCTCCCCAGGGCTGATGAATGGTCCTTTCATGGACATCCCATGTTCATTGGCTCTGTTAGAGCTTTGTCTCTCTTCTGAGAATACAAAATGCAATATCAAAACGAGATGCAATATAATACCTTAGCAGAAAGGAGATTTAAAAATAATATGAGCGATGGTGCTTGTCTGGTAGAGGATGACCTGAAGGAAGAAGCAGGATAATTCTTCCTTATCCAGGCTGATGGGGATATCTCAAGGGAAGAGGGATAAAGGGGAATGAAAGTTTAATGGCAAAGGATGTGACTTGCATGTAGAAGGTCCAGTTCTTTGCACCCGAGATAAATAGATCAAGCAGCAGATGATGGGAAAGACCTTGAGATTCTGGGATGAGAAGAGGAATATTGGACTGGGCTACTGCTTTTTGAACATTCATTGTGACTTGTTTGCAAGGAAATTAAAAAACAACGACAACCCAGCTATTTATTTATTAACAGGGTTGCCATGTTTCAAAATGTGAAAATCCGGACACAAAAGTTGATGATCGTTTTTTGGCAAAGTTGTTGAGCTTTGACCTAGCCATCAAGGAGAATTAAGAACTGAGGGCTGCAATTTATTGCTGAGCTGTGTCAGATGTTTACACCGAGGCCATTTCTCTAAATGCCTTCCTGTGTCTAAATAATCTGATATCACTCTACATTCTTGTCAAAAACAGTCTGAGCTCATTCAGGCCCAACTCTGCTATTGAGGAACTCAGGTTTCATTGTGGTAGGGTAGAAGAGAAAAGGTTTTTGTCTCAGTTCCCCATGAGAATGTACCACTGTGATACTTGTCGCCACCAGTGTATTCCCAGGCACCACAATAATAAACAGCCTCATCTTCAACTTGGATGTTGGAGATGGTTAAAGAGCCAGTGTTCCCAGATTCAGAGCCAGTGAACCGATCTGGGATCCCTTCTCCCCGAGTGGTGGAGCCATACCACACAAAGCGAGGAGCCTGCCCAGGTTTCTGTTGATACCAGCGAAAGCTGCTCCAGTCACCACCACTACTTTTAGAGCAGAAGAGTTTCACAGTTTGGCCCAGGGACACAGAATGGGAGCCTGTCTGAGTCACTGTTGGCTGTGAATTGGCACCTTTTGAAAAAGACAAAGAAAAGCATGACTCTCCATCCTCTGTGTTCTTAAATATCACTAGAGCTTTAGGTTTCCATAATAAATAAACACTACAAGTAATTTTGGTTTTATCTCTCAGGTCTACATGAGGTTACCTGTTTGCATCCTTACCTGAACAGTAATTGAGAAGGGCCAGGAAAAACAGCGTCCAGGCCATGGTGAGGGGCTTTCTCAAACACAAAATAACTGGCTGGGACCTCACCCTTTGCTTTCTTAAGTCCTCTAGAGTTGGGGAATGTCCCCCTTTATGCAAATGCACCCAGATTTGCATAAATGTTTTTTTAAAAAAAAATGAGAATGGGTCTTGTCTTGTACACAGCGAACGTTTCCCACCATGGAAACATGCCTCGCAAAGGATGCAACAGCCTTGTGCCCTGCGATCCCAGCTTCGCCTTTGAGAGGCTGGGCTCATTCACATGCCTCGTGTCTCCTCCCCCCCCCCAAGTGGCTATGTACATTTTAAAATTATTTTATGTGTTGTAAGCTGCCCAGAGTGGCTGGGGAAACCCAGCCGGATGGGCTGGACATAAATAACTAAATCATCCTCATCCTCATTATCATCATCATTTCGCCCCTGTAGATGCATACAGTGGTACCTCGGGTTACATACGCTTCAGGTTACAGACTCAGCTAACCCAGAAATATTACCTCAGGTTAAGAACTTTGCTTCAGGATAAGAACAGAAATCGGGCTCCAGCGGCGCGGCGGTAGCAGGAGGCCCTATTAGCTAAAGTGGTGCTTCAGGTTAAGAACAATTTCAGGTTAAGTACTGACCTCCGGAACGAATTAAGTACTTAACCCGAGGTACCACTGTATTATATATTGTCTAATGATAATGTATATTATATGTGAGAATTGCTCCTTTTTAAAACAGAAGGGGGAGCAGGTGCTCACCCCCTGCTGAGACCCCACCCCACCCCAATTTGCAACCGCTGCCCTCCGCACCTGACTCTGGGTGGGGTGGAAAGATTAAAGTGGGGGGGGGGAATTGTTGGTTTGATGTGAATGTTTTTTGGACGAGGGGAAATTGAGGTTTTATTCATTTTTGTTTATTCGTTAATGGGTCTGATGATTGCTTTGTTTATTATTTGAGCGTGTTTTTTAATCGATGTTATGTTATATGAAATATCACTGTGTTGTTAAAACCAGGAGGGGGGCAGTTAAACGACCCCCCACAAAATACCAAGTCCCCACCACAGCCTCGAACTAAGGCCAGGTCAATGACACAAGCGCCATACACAGACAACAGCAAAGAGGCTCAGAAAAGCAGTCTATAAAATTGTAGCAATTAGCGGAGACCATGTATGGAACTCTGACATTCCCATATGGAATCAAATAATCGCCCAAATTCAACAGTTTGGCGGATTTCCTTGGTTCCAAAGGCTGATGACTCCTCTGGAAGAGGGGAATCCGGGGCTCCCCCTACCTCCATAATCCCTTAAGCATAAGGTCACGTACTCCTTGCCCCTCCATAAGGTGTGAACTGAGGCTCACAACAGGAGGTGATCAAGAGCAGCACATGCACCAGACAGAAATCCATCCAGATGGAGGATTGAATCCGGATACTTTCAGAGGAGGAGCTCAGGAAAGCCTTGCAGCTAGGGAGATGTGTAAATACTTTTATTGTTCTTTGGGGAAGAGGTTAGTTAAAAGGTGCTGGGAATGGGGAGCTATTGACAGGGGTGGGTGTGATGGGCTCATGTTTCTACACGCCAAACACTCCTACTTTGTGACATATTTGTGATGTTTTGATGATGCTGTTGGATAATGTATTATGGGAAATGGGGAGGGGTCTTAAAAGTTCACGCAACCCCATGCTCAGGGTTCCTACTCTGTGTGTGTTTGAACCTTCTTGCAAGAAATAAAGATCAGGTCTACTGACCACGGTTTGCTTCTTTAACTTGACTGGAGAATCCTTCTTTTGCTGACCAGAGAGACCCATGAGGAGTTACACCCCGATGAACTGGGCAGCGGAGTCAATTCACACCCTCCAAATATTTTCCTTATCAGCATTAATGTATCATATGATTCCCCCTACTTTCCCCCACCCCAAGGTGTTGTGTACTGTGTATCTTTTACTGTCTCTTGGAGATCTTCAGATGACAAGTGAGTAATCAATGAAATGAAGGAGCAAAATAGGAATAAGAAAAGATCCATCAAGATTTTGGGGAAAATCCTTTTCTAATGAGAGTACGGATTGCTGGTGCAGTTGGTTGGTGGGTGGGTGGTACTGCCATTGAAAAGTGTCTAAGCCCAGATGGCCTCACTGAGCCTTACAAATCTAGATAGCAAAAGATATTCTGGCACAGATGAAATGAAGCTCCAGTGATCTAGTCCCTTCTGCACTCTGGGGAGGAAGAGAACAGGTTTTTGTCTCAGTTCCCCATTAGGTTGCATCACTGTGAAACATGATACTACCAGTGTGCTCCCAGTCAACACAGAAATAAACGGCCTCATCTTCAGCCTGGATGTTGGAGATGGTTAAATAGCCAGTGTTCCCAGAGGAAGAGCCCGTGAAGCGGTCCGGGATCCCTTCTCCCCTCTTGTCGGCACCATAGAGCACAAAACGAGGAGCGTCTCTGGGTTTCTGTTGATACCAGTAAAAGCTGTCCAAGCTCCCACTACTTTTGGAGCAGGGGAGTTTAGTCGTCTGGCCCAGAGACACAGACTGGGAGTCTGGCTGAATGACTGCTGGCTGTGAATGGACACCTTTACAGAAACAGACAGAAAAAGACAGAGAAACTTTCCTCTTCATCATTTGTCCCCTCCGGCGTCACAACAGACTGTGTGCACTCATGGCTGGTTGGTTGGCTGGGTGGGTGTGTAAGTCCTACCATATTATTTATTTGTTTAAAAATATTTATACCCCACTATTCAGGAAAAAACATATCACAGCAGTCTGCAACAATCAGATGTAAATCATACAGTAAAAACATAAACATTTAATATCAGAGATCAGCTAACTATTAGAGGAGGATATTTTCTTAATTGTCAGCGTAAGATGGCAGCCACAGAGAAGTGAGTGCAAAGCCCTTTGGCTCGAGACTTTGAAAGATCTTAAGGCACAGAGAAAATGAGCTCTTCATTCTTCACTCCAGATTGGAAGAGCAAAGGTTTTTGTCTCAGTTCCCCATCAGACTGGACCACCGCGAAACATGTTGTTATCATACTCTCAGGCACCACAGTAACAAACTACCTCATCTTCAGCCTGGATGTTGGAGAACAAAGTGAGGAACCTGCCCAGGTATCTGTTGATTCCAGTGAAACCTGCTCCAGCTACCACCACTATTTTGAGAGCAGGAGAGTTTCAGTTTCACCTGGGGACACAGACTGGGAGACTGGCTGAGTCAAGGCTGGCTGTGAAGTGACACCTTGCAAAAAAGGAAAATCAAATCCTTTGATCCTCTGTGCTCCCCAATACTGCAGGAGCAATATGTTTCTTTGATAACCATCTTAGATTCTTCTTCTCCTTCTTTCTCTTGCACTTACATAAGATTATCGCTTTGCCTCCTTACCTGAACAGTAACTGAGAAGAGCCAGGAAAAGCAGAGGTGGGGCCATGGTGGACTCTCCAAAGGAGGGAGGTTTTCTGAGTCAAACAGGGAACTGGCTGGGACTTCGCCATCCCCTTGCTTAAATCCCCTAGAGCTGAGGATTCATGCAAATCCATTCCTGTGCCTTCATTGGCTTTTCTACTGGGAATGCAAATGTGCAATAATAAAGTCCAAAACAAAAGAACTGATTTGCATTAAGGAGCTGTTAAAAAAATACCCTGAAAGAGCCAACCTTTCATGGGGAATATGTGTGAGGCATAGTCCCCAAATGCCAAGACCATCATCAAAACCCTGAAGCTTCTCACTTTATCATGCAGTCTCAAATTCCCCTCTTTGTTGCCATAGGCTAACTGGGAATGCCTTCACTGGAAATGGGGGAAGAGAGAGTTAAGAACTGAGGGCTGCAATTTATTGGTGAGCTGTGCCAGATATTTACGGTGACGCCATTTCTCTCAATGCATTCCTGTGTCTAAATAATCTGATATCACTCTACATTCTTGTCAAAAACAGTCTGAGCGCATTCACTACAAAGCGAGGAGCCTACCAGGTTTCTGTTGATACCAGGCAGATTTGAAAATAATATTAGCGATGGTGCTTGTCTGGTAGAGGATGACCTGAAGGAAGAAGCAGGATAATTCTTCCTTATCAAGGCTGATGGGGATATCTCAAGGGAAGAGGGATAAAGGGGAATGAAAGTTTAATGGCAAAGGATGTGACTTGCATGTGGAAGGTCCAGTTCTTTGCACCCGAGATAAATAGATCAAGCAGCAGATGATGGGAAAGACCTTGAGATTCTGGGATGAGAAGAGGAATATTGGACTGGGTTACTGCTTTTTGAACATTCATTGTGACTTGTTTGTCGTATTTCATTGGAACTGTTTCTTCTTTCCATTTCTGGGCGTACACCATTCGGGCAGCCGTAATAGCATACATAAATGTACTTTTTTAACCCCAAGAGTATTATAAGGCAGACCAAGTTGTGTGCAGGCACTTGAGTTCAGTGCCGGATTTACGTACAGTATAAGCTAAACAAGCTACAGCTTAGGCCCCCACTCTCTTGGGGGCCCCCAAAACAATTAAAGGAAATTCTGCATGTGCAAATGGCTTTAGAAACCTATTAGGTTCAAAAATTACCATATAGCATATATTCAACACACAAAAAGGGACAATTTGTTGTTGACGAAGGACAGCTGGACATATAAAGGGCCCCATTACCTTCACTAGCTTAGGGCCCCATCAAACCTAAATCTAGCCCTGCTTGAGTTCCATGCATGAGTAACAGCCAAATAAACTGCTCATCTGTTCCTGAACTCTGTCTTCATACTGCAGGTGCAAGGACATCTGGGGACTCCAGAAATGAATTATGTCAAAGGTAGATAAACTGAACCAATGTCTCCCCTTGTGTCTAAAGCTCAGATTATCACCAAGGATGTATATAAAGTTTCAGAATAAAATACCTTTTTTTAAAAAAAAAACACACAACAGATTTATCAGTGTAGAACTGAAGATTTCTTTTTAAGCAAACTTATCATAAAGGAAGCAGTTTTCAGTCAAATATCAGGCCGGACTCTTTGCTCTGCAGTCACCTCCTCTTTCACTCTACGATGTGCATGAAAAGGTATCCTTGAATGCCTCTTTCAAACACCATTGCCAAGCACTCCTTGGGAATCGGAGGAAATTATGAATGGATACGTTCTGAGTATGCTGGCTAGAACACTGTCACCAGTTCTCTTCCTGGACCTGATTTTGTGTTGTGTTTCTGCATGTAAAAGGTAAAGGTAAAGGACCACTGGACGGTTAAGTCCAGTCAAAGGTGACTATAAGGTTGTGGTGCTCATCTCACTTTCAGGCCAAGGGAACTGGCGTTTGTCTGCAGAGAGCTTTCCGGGTCATGTGGCCAGCAGGACTAAACCGCTTCTGGCGCAACAGGACACTGTGATGGAAAACAGAGCGCACGGAAATGCCGGTTACCTTCCTGCCGCAGTGGTACCTATCTATCTACTTTCACTGGGGTGCTTTTGATCTGCTAGGTTGGCAGGAGCTGGGAGAGAGCAACGGGAGCTCACCCCGTTGGGGGGATTCGAACCGCTGACCTTCTGAGTTGCAAGCCCAAGAGACTCAGTGGTTTGGATGACAGCACCACCCACTGGTCGGTGGGATGTAATGGTTTTCCTTCTCCACCCCAGAGAGCAGCAGGGAGCTCAGGGAAGGCTGGCCAGACCACAAGGCACACACAGCTCCACCCTCCAATATTTGGCCAGCACTCCCTGCCACCCTCAGCATCTGCTGCCTGGACCCTCTGCCAAATGCTGGGATCAAAGCTCAGGAGAGGAGGGGTGAAGATGGACAGGAGCTCAGAAGAATATAATTCCCAGGTGTAAGGGGGGGAAATGTTATTTATGTATGCTACTACTGTGGCCCGTGTTTCGTTAGCCCCCAAAAATGAAAAATAAGAGAGATCCCAACTAAAGAAGAATGGCTACTTAAACTGATGGAATATGCGAACATATAGAATAAGAGAGCAAGAGGAAAATACTTTTAAAGAAGACTGGAAAATGTTGCTTGAATACATGGGGGGAAATTTTGTACACTTGAAATGTTGGCAGCATTAAGATAAATTCAACAGTGTAAATAAGTTTTGATGGATGTATTAATGGAATACTGAAGGGTTTAGTTTATGTAAAATAGATAAAACATTTTGGCACCTGATTGCATTATACGTTGACAGGGAATGGGAGCAAAAATAAGGGTTTCTTCTTCTTCTTTTTCCCCCACCATGTGCACCGGGTGTGGGGAACCTTTGGCCCTATCTACAGCAGGGGTCAGCAACCTTTTTCAGCATAGGGGCGGTCCACTGTCCCTCAGACCTTATGGGGGACAGGACTGTATTATTTTTTTGGGGGGGGGAATGAATGAATTCCTATGCCCCACAAATAACCCAGAGATGCATTTTAAATAAAAGGACCCATTCTACGCATGTAAAAACACGCTGATTCCTGGAGCATCCGTGGGCCGGATTGACAAGGTGATTGGGCTGCATCCAGCCCAAGGGCCTTAAGTTGCCTGCCCCTGATCTACAGTATCCAGTAAGGCTGGCCCCTGGCCATGCTGTCTGGGAGGGGCTGATGGGCAGTTCACTAACACCTGGAGCAGCAAGTGCTCCCCCTTTGGTCAGCCCAGTGTCTCATATTCTAGATTAGAGACGCAGAATATTAGCACCTGAATGAGTTGGAAGGCACAGGAGATTTACTCACAAATAAAGAGCATTCTTCCATTTCACTTCACACTGCAGTTGCAGGAAGTTTATGTGGTGGTATAATTTTTGCTAAATCTGGTCTAAGTGGACCTACATCGCCCCCTACAGATTAAAGGAAGGACTGCAGAGTTTGCAGCTCTATCAACAGCCAGACACACTGAGATTTCCATGGCAAAGTTTCTCAGGGCCTGGAGGTGAGAGGAAAGATTTCCAAACACAACCCACTTGGAAATTTATATATATAAGACCCTGGACAATTTCCAAGTGGGTTGTTTTACAATTTAAAATACTCCTTTTACATCCTTAAGATACCAATGACTTCCCTTCTTTTCTTTCCATGGTTCACTTTACATATCATAAATCCCTGCATATTTTACAAAAAGTATACCGTTCAGTATTCCATTATTGCATCCATCAAAACTTGTTTACACTGCTGAATTTATCTAAATGCTGCTAGTGTTTTCAGCTGTACACAATTATTCCCCATATATTCAATAAATGTTTTCCAATCTTCTTTAAATGTATGCTCTTCTTGTTCTCTTATTCTATATGTTAAGTCTGCGAGTTTGCATATCAAATTGCCTAGGGTCTTAAGGATGGGTGCTTAATAATTCTTCTGCCTATTATAGTAATTGTAATGTGCTGTGTTAGGTGCTGCACGTTTAATTGTATTTTCATTGCTTGTTTCATTTCTTACATATTGCCTTTTATTGCATTACAATGTGAATTTCCTAAGAAATAACAGAAACAATTAGAATACATTTAAAGAGCATGTTGACTCTAACAGGAAGCTGGGTGGGACCTGACACTTTCCTTTCTTATATCTCCCCAGGGCTGATGAATGGTCCTTTCATGGACATCCCATGTTCATTGGCTCTCTTAGAACTTTGTCTCTCTTCCGAGAATACAAAATGCAATATCAAAATGAAATGCAATATAATACTTTAGCAGAAAGGAGATTTAAAAATAGTATTAGCGATGGTGCTTGTCTGGTAGAAGATGACCTTAAGGAAGAAGCAGGATAATTCTTCCTTATCAAGGCTGATGGGGTTATCTCAAGGGAAGAGGGATAAAGGGGAATGAAAGTTTCATGGCAAAGGATGTGACTTGCATGTGGAAGGTCCAGTTCCTTGCACCAGAGATAAATAGATCAAGCAGCAGATGATGGGAAAGACCTTGAGATTCTGGGATGAGAAGAGGAATATTGGACTGGGCTACTGCTTTTTGAACATTCATTGTGACTTGTTTGCAAGGAAATTAAAAAACAACGACAACCCAGCTATTTCTTTATTAACAGGGTTGCCATGTTTCAAAATGTGAAAATCCGGACACAAGAGTTGATGATCGTTTTTTGGCAAAGTTGTTGAGCTTTGACCTAGCCATCAAGGAGAATTAAGAACTGAGGGCTGCAGTTTATTGCTGAGCTGTGTCAGATGTTTACGGTGAGGCCATTTCTCTAAATGCATTCCGGTGTCCAAAATAATCTGATATCATACTACATTCTTATCAAAAACAGTCTGAGCTCATTCAGGCCCAACTCTCCTCTTGAGGAACTCAGGTTTTGTTGTCGCAGGGCAGAAGAAAAAAGGTTTTTGTCTCAGTTCCCCATCAGATTGTATCACCGTGAAACATGTTGCTGTCATCCTCCCAGGCACCACAGTAATAAACGGCCTCATCTTCAGCCTGGATGTTGGAGATGGTTAAAGAGCCAGTGTTCCCAGATTCAGAGCCAGTGAACCGATCTGGGATCCCTTCTCCCCTGGTGCTGGAGCCAAACCACACAAAGCGAGGAGCCTGTCCAGGTTTCTGTTGATACCAGCCAAAGCTGTACCAGTCACCACCACTACTTGCAGAGCAGGCGAGTTTCACAGTTTGGCCCAGGGACACAGACTGGGAGCCTGTCTGAGTCACTGTTGGCTGTGAATTGGCACCTTTTGAAAAAGACAAAGAAAAGCATGACTCTCCATCCTCTGTCTTCTCAAATATCACTAGAGCTTTAGGTTTCCATAATAAATAAACACTACAAGTAATTTTGGTTTTATCTCTCAGGTCTACATGAGGTTACCTGTTTGCATCCTTACCTGAACAGTAATTGAGAAGGGCCAGGAAAAACAGAGTCCAGGCCATGGTGAGGGGCTTTCTCAAACACAAAATAACTGGCTGGGACCTCACCCTTTGCTTTCTTAAGTCCTCTAGGGTTGGGGAATGTCCCCCTTTATGCAAATGCACCCAGATTTGCATAAATGATTTTTTTTAAAAAATGAGAATGGGTCTTGTCTTCTACACAGCGAACGTTTCCCACCATGGAAACATGCCTCGCAAAGGATGCAACAGCCTTGTGCCCTGCGATCCCAGCCTCGCCTTTGAGAGGCTGGGCTCATTCACATGCCTCGTGTCTCTCCCCCCCCCCCCCCAAGTGGCTATGTACATTTTAGAATTATTTTATGTGTTGTAAGCTGCCCAGAGTGGCTGGGGAAACCCAGCCGGATGGGCTGGACATAAATAACTAAATCATCCTCATCCTCATTATCATCATCATTTCGCCCCTGTAGATGCGTACAGTGGTACCTCAGGTTACATACGCTTCAGGTTACAGACTCAGCTAACCCAGAAATATTACCTCAGGTTAAGAACTTTGCTTCAGGATAAGAAGAGAAATCGGGCTCCAGCGGCGCGGCGGTAGCAGGAGGCCCTATTAGCTAAAGTGGTGCTTCAGGTTAAGAACAGTTTCAGGTTAAGTACTGACCTCCAGAACGAATTAAGTACTTAACCCGAGGTACCACTGTACTATATATTGTCTAATGATAATGTATATTATATGTGAGAATTGCTCCTTTTTAAAACAGAAGGGGGAGCAGGTGCTCACCCCCTGCTGAGACCCCCCCCAATTTGCAACAGCTGCCCTCCGCACCTGACTCTGGGTGGGGTGGAAAGATTAAAGGGGGGAAATTGTTGGTTTGATGTGAATGTTTTTTTGGACGAGGGAAAGTTGAGGTTTTATTTATTTTTGTTTATTCATTAATGGGGCTGATGATTGCTTTGTTTATTATTAGAGCGTGTTTTTTAATAGATGTTATATGAAATATCACTGTGTTGTTAAAACCAGGAATGGGGGGGCAGTTAAACGACGCCCCCCAAATCCCAAGTCCCCACCACAGCCTCGAACTAAGGCCAGGTCAATGACACAAGCGCCATACATAGACAACAGCAAAGAGGCTCAGAAAAGCAGTCTATAAAATTGTAGCAATTAGCGGATGGAACTCTGACATTCCCATATGGAATCAAATAATCGCCCAAATTCAACAGTTTGGCAGATTTCCTTGGTTCCAAAGGCTGATGACTCCTCTGGAAGAGGGGAATACGAGCTCCCCCTGCCTCCATAATCCCTTAAGCATAAGGTCACGTACTCCTTGCCCCTCCATAAGGTGTGAACTGAGGCTCACAACAGGAGGTGATCAAGGGCAGCACATACCCCAGACAGAAATCCATCCAGATGGAGGATTGAATCTGGATACTTTCAAAGGAGGAGCTCAGGAAAGCCTTGCAGCTAGGGAGATGTGTAAATACTTTTATTGTTCTTTGGGGAAGAGGTTAGTTAAAAGGTGCTGGGAATGGGGAGCTATTGACAGGGCTGGGTGTGATGGGCTCATGTTTCTACACGCCAAACACTCCTACTTCGTGACATATTTGTGATGTTTCGATGATGCTGTTGGAAAATGTATTATGGGAAATGGGGAGGGGTCTTAAAAGTTCACGCAACCCCATGCTCAGGGTTCCTACTCTCTCTGTGTTTGAACCTTCTTGCAAGAAATAAAGATCAGGTCTACTGACCACTGTTTGCTTCTTTAACTTGACTGGAGAATCCTTCTTTTGCTGACCAGAGAGACCCATGAGGAGTGGCACCCCGATGAACTGGGCAGCGGAGTCAATTCACACCCCAAATATTTTCCTTATCAGCATTAATGTATCATATGATTCCCCCTACTTTCCCCCACCCCAAGGTGTTGTGTACTGTGTATCTTTTTACTGTCTCTTGGAGATCTTCAAATGACAAGTGAGTAATCAATGAAATGAAGGAGCAAAATAGGAATAAGAAAAGATCCATCAAGATTTTGGGGGAAATTCCTTTTCTAATGAGGGTACAGATTGCTGGTGCAGTTGGTTGGTGGGTGGGTGGTACTGCCATTGAAAAGTGTCTAAGCCCAGATGGCCTCACTGAGCCTTACAAGTCTAGATAGCAAAAGATATTCTGGCACAGATGAAATGAAGCTCCAGTGATCTAGTCCCTTCTGCACTCTGGGGAGGAAGAGAACAGGTTTTTGTCTCAGTTCCCCATTAGGTTGTTTCACTGTGAAACATGATACTACCGGTGTGCTCCCAGTCAACACAGAAATAAACGGCCTCATCTTCAGCCTGGATGTTGGAGATGGTTAAATAGCCAGTGTTCCCAGAGGAAGAGCCCGTGAACCGGTCCGGGATCCCTTCTCCCCTCTTGTCGGCACCATAGAGCACAAAACGAGGAGCGTCTCTGGGTTTCTGTTGATACCAGTAAAAGCTGTCCAAGCTCCCACTACTTTTGGAGCAGGGAGTTTAGTCGTCTGGCCCAGAGACACAGACTGGGAGTCTGGCTGAATGACTGCTGGCTGTGAATGGACACCTTTACAGAAACAGACAGAAAAAGACAGAGAAACTTTCCTCTTCATCATTTGTCCCCTCCGGCGTCACAACAGACTGTGTGCACTCATGGCTGGTTGGTTGGCTGGGGGTGTGTGTAAGTCCTACCATATTATTTCTTTGTTTAAAAATATTTTTTTTTTAAAAAAATAATTTTTATTAAAATTTTGAACAACAAAGAAAGAAAAGAAAAACATACACAATACATAAAACAGACACGCAAGAAAAAAGCAAGATTCAACAATAAAAGAACAAAAAACATAACAATTACAAACAATATCTCTTTTCCATTTCCGTTTTTTAGTTACTTATTTTCTGGACTTCCTCATACCTCCCTCTTTTGTATTCGAATCCAAAATTGTTTGTCCGGCAATTTCTTTTCCACTTTTTTAATCCCAATCTTTAGCTTTAATAAAATATTGAAATATATAACTTCAACTTCTTTAAACCTGATCTTTAGTCTTAATATCATATAACGTTAAAATTTTTCCTCTTAATGTCAAATTTCCATTTCTTTAAACATCTTTAATCCTAATCTTTTAATCTTAGTCTATCATTAACTTTAACCTGTACAGCTGGAAACAGCTTATTTTCAATCCAACATCACTCTAGCATTCTTTAATTTTGCAATGTTTCTGAAGATAGTCTTTAAATTTCTTCCAATCTTCCTCCATCGACTCTTCTCCCTGGTCACGGATTCTACCAGTCATTTCCGCCAATTCCATATAGTCCATAAGTTTCATCTGCCATTCCTCCAGCGTGGGAAGTTCTTGTGTCTTCCAATACTTTGCGATAAGTATTCTTGCTGCTGTTGTTGCATACATAAAGAAAGTTCTATCCTTTTTTAACACCATTTGGCCGACTATGCCCAGGAGAAAGGCCTCTGGTTTCTTAGGGAAGGTATATTTAAATACCTTTTTTAATTCGTTATATATCATTTCCCAGAAAGCCTTAATCTTTGGGCACGTCCACCAAAGGTGAAAAAATGTACCTTCAGTTTCTTTACATTTCCAACATTTGTTATCGGGCAAATGATAAATTTTTGCAAGCTTGACTGGGGTTATGTACCACCTGTATATCATTTTCATAATATTCTCTCTTAAGGCATTACATGCCGTAAATTTCATACCTGTGGTCCACAACTGTTCCCAGTCAGCAAACATAATGTTATGTCCAATGTCCTGTGCCCATTTAATCATAGCCGATTTTACCGTTTCATCCTGAGTATTCCATTTCAGCAGCAGGTTATACATTCTTGACAAATTCTTAGTTTTGGGTTCTAACAGTTCTGTTTCTAATTTTGATCTTTCCACCTGGAAGCCAATTTTCCTGTCCAATTTAAATGCCTCCATTATCTGATAATAATGAAGCCAGTCTCGCACTTTGTTTTTAGTTTTTCAAAGCTCTGCAATTTCAGTCTATCTCCGTCTTGTTCCAAGATTTCCCAATATTTCGGCCATTTGACCTCCATATTGACCTTTTTCAAGGCTTTCGCTTCCATTGGTGACAGCCACCTTGGGGTTTTATTTTCTAGCAAATCCTTATATCTTATCCAAACATTAAATAGCGCTTTCCTGACAATGTGGTTTCTAAATGCTTTATGTGCCTTGACCTTATCGTACCACAAATATGCATGCCATCCAAATACATTATTAAAACCTTCCAAGTCCAAAATGTCAGTGTTTTCAAGAAGTAGCCATTCCTTCAACCAGCAAAAAGCTGCTGATTCATAGTAAAGTTTAAGGTCTGGCAGGGCAAATCCACCTCTTTCCTTTGCATCCGTTAATATTTTAAATTTTATTCTGGGCTTCTTGCCCTGCCAGACAAATTTAGAAATATCTTTCTGCCACCTCTTGAAACAATCCATTTTGTCCACAATCTGCAAAGTTTGGAACAAAAACAAAATTCTAGGCAATACATTCATTTTTATTGCAGCAATACGGCCTAGCAGTGAAAGCTTCAAATTTGACCAAATTTCTAAATCTTTTTTCACTTCGGACCAACATTTTTCATAGTTATCTTTAAATAGGTTCCCATTTTTTTGCTGTCATGTTAATCTATTTGTTTAAAAATATTTATACCCCACTATTCAGGAAAAAAACATATCACAGCAGTCTGCAACAATCAGATGTAAATCATACAGTAAAAACATAAACATTTAATATCAGAGATCAGCTAACTATTAGAGGAGGAGATTTTCTTAATTGTCAGCGTAAGATGGCAGCCACAGAGAAGCGAGTGCAAAGCCCTTTGGCTCGAGACTTTGAAAGATCTTAAGGCACAGAGAAAATGGGCTCTTCATTCTTCACTCCGGATTGGAAGAGCAAAGGTTTTTGTGTCAGTTCCCCATCAGACTGGACCACCGCGAAACATGTTGTTATAATACTCTCAGGCACCACAGTAACAAACTACCTCATCTTCAGCCTGGATGTTGGAGAACAAAGTGAGGAACCTGCCCAGGTATCTGTTGATTCCAGTGAAACCTGCTCCAGCTACCACCACTATTTTGAGAGCAGGAGAGTTTCAGTTTCACCTGGGGACACAGACTGGGAGACTGGCTGAGTCAAGGCTGGCTGTGAAGTGACACCTTGCAAAAAAGGAAAATCAAATACTTTGATCCTCTGTGCTCCCCAATATCGCAGGAGCTATATGTTTCTTTGATAACCATCTTAGATTCTTCTTCTTCTTCTTTCTCTTGCACTTACATAAGATTATCGCTTTGCCTCCTTACCTGAACAGTAACTGAGAAGAGCCAGGAAAAGCAGAGCTGGGGCCATGGTGGACTCTCCAAAGGAGGGAGGTTTTCTGAGTCAAACAGGGAACTGGCTGGGACTTCGTCATCCCCTTGCTTAAATCCCCTAGAGCTGAGGATTCATGCAAATCCATTCCTGTGCCTTCATTGGCTTTTCTACTGGGAATGCAAATGTGCAATAATAAAGTCCAAAACAAAAGAACTGATTTGCATTAAGGAGCTGTTCTCACTTTGTCATGCAGTCTCAAATTCCCCTCTTTGTTGCCATAGGCTAACTGGGAATGCCTTCACTGGAAATGGGGGAAGAGAGAGTTAAGAACTGAGGGCTGCAATTTATTGGTGAGCTGTGCCAGATATTTACGGTGACGCCATTTCTCTCAATGCATTCCTGTGTCTAAATAATCTGATATCACTTTACATTCTTGTCAAAAACAGTCTGAGCTCATTCAGGCCCAACCCTGCTCTTGAGGAACTCAGGTTTTGTTGTGGCAGGGCAGAAGAGAAAAGGTTTTTGTCTCACTTTCCCATCAGATTGTATCACTGTGGAACTTGTCACCACCGGTGCCCTCCCAGGCACCACAGAAATAAACTGCTTCATCTTCAGCCTGGATGTTGGAGATGGTTAAAGAGCCAGTGTTCCCAGATTCAGAGCCAGTGAACCGATCTGGGATCCCTTCTCCCCTGGTGCTGGAGACAGACCACACAAAGCGAGGAGCCTACCAGGTTTCTGTTGATACCAGGCAGATTTAAAAATAATATTAGCGATGGTGCTTGTCTGGTAGAGGATGACCTGAAGGAAGAAGCAGGATAATTCTTCCTTATCAAGGCTGATGGGGATATCTCAAGGGAAGAGGGATAAAGGGGAATGAAAGTTTCATGGCAAAGGATGTGACTTGCATGTGGAAGGTCCAGTTCTTTGCACCCGAGATAAATAGATCAAGCAGCAGATGATGGGAAAGACCTTGAGATTCTGGGATGAGAAGAGGAATATTGGACTGGGCTACTGCTTTTTGAACATTCATTGTGACTTGTTTGCAAGGAAATTAAAAAACAACGACAACCCAGCTATTTCTTTATTAACAGGGTTGCCATGTTTCAAAATGTGAAAATCCGGACACAAAAGTTGATGATCGTTTTTTTGGCAAAGTTGTTGAGCTTTGACCTAGCCATCAAGGAGAATTAAGAACTGAGGGCTGCAATTTATTGCTGAGCTGTGTCAGATGTTTACAGCAAGGCCATTTCTCTAAATGCATTCCAGTGTCTAACATAATCTGATATCACTCTACATTCTTGTCAAAAACAGTCTGAGCTCATTCAGGCCCAACTCTGCTCTTGAGGAACTCAGGTTTCGTTGTGGCAGGGCAGAAGAGAAAAGGTTTTTGTCTCAGTTCCCCATCAGATTGTATCACCGTGAAACATGTTGCTGTCATCCTCCCAGGCACCACAGTAATAAACGGCCTCATCTTCAGGCTGGGTGTTGGAGATGGTTAAATAGCCAGTGTTCCCAGATTCAGAGCCAGTGAACCGATCTGGGATCCCTTCTCCCCTGGTGCTGGAGCCAGACCACACAAAGCGAGGAGCCTGTCCAGGTTTCTGTTGATACCAGTGAAAGTAGTCCCAGCTACCACCACTACTTCCAGAGCAGGAGAGTTTCACAGTTTGGCCCAGGGACACAGACTGGGAGCCTGTCTGAGTCACTGTTGGCTCTGAATTGGCACCTTTTGAAAAAGAAAAAGAATAGCATGACTCTCCATCCTCTGTCTTCTCAAATATATATAACTGGAGCTTTAAGTTTCCATAATAAATAAACATAATAAATGAATATATATTATAGTTTATTGTGCTGTTGGCTCCACGGCAAAAGAGATGTTATTCCTCCCCATCCTTACCTGAGCAGTAACTGAGAAGGGCCAGAAAAACCAGAGTCCAGGCCATGGTGAGCTCTCTTATCCAAACAGGCAACTGGCTGGAACCTCAGCCTTTCGCTTCTTAAATGGCCTGGAGCTGATGAATGGCCACTTCATGCAAATCCAAACTGTGCTCATTGGCTCTGCTAGAACTGCATGTCTGTATTTGGATGCATGATTGTAGGTCAACCAGATGCAATAGGACTGATTTGGGGAGAGAGAGAGAGAGGACCTGAAGTAGAAGTAGGATGATTTGCCATGATCAAGGCAGATTGGGACTGTCACTCACGGGAAGAGAGAAAGAGATGGGCTCACAGCTTAGTGCTAAAGGACACAAAATGTGCATGCACAAGACACAGTCCCTGGCACCTCCCATTTAAAAAGGAATCAGGTAGTAAATGATGGGTTAATGCCCCTTTCGAGATGCTAGCATCAGAATAAGAATCCTGGGAAATGGATTGATTTTTGTTCTGATTTAGTTGCAGGGAGGTTAGATGGCGTTGTGTCAAAGAGATGTTCTCCCACACTTTCCAGTACCTTGTCCCATCCCTTTCCTTCTTCCAAATCTCAACATTTGGGGGAAAGCTGGTTTCCTGCACAAGTCCTCCAACACAATTTTAAGTGGGCCACCTGGATTTGCCAGTATGTGATGGAATCTCACCTGAAAATGTGGACAGGCTGGAATAGCCTTTAATGAAAAAACAGATGGACCTACTATAATGCAGATTTTTCTGATCCAAGGGAAGAGGGGTGTTTTACATCAATATATCTTCTCAGATCAGGAAATGTGAATTCTAGGCAGAAACAATTGATCTTTTCTCCTCAAGAAAATGTTAGGGGAAGCCCAGATGTATGGCAACAAGATGGAAAAAGCAGCAGAAACAGCAGAAAAGCTCAAAATGTCTATTTTGGGGGAGGCTCTAATATAATGTTTTTTCCCATGTGTTAGATGAGGTTTTTTGACTCAAAAATCATGTCAAAAAACTGGGGTCGTCCTATACACGGATAGTGGCATGGGGGTGGGGACTGCGTGTCCATCAGTCAGCTGGTTGGCAGCCCATGCTCTAGGGAGCGTTTCCGGAGGGAGCGGCTGCCCACTTTGCCAACCCCCAGCAACAGCCCATCTCCCCTCATTTTCATTATATTTAACCCCCCAAAACAGCAAAACAGGGTCTTATACATGAAACATCTGGTATATAAAATTTTATTTTCCATTTTCACATCTTACAATTATTTTAACAACCAAAATAAATCTGTACAAAACCAATCTGCATTTTCTTCAGCTTTGCTCCCCCCACCCTGGTGGTTACTTATTTTGCCTTTATAATCCCTTTTAATTGCTTCTTACTGCACATGTTTGTGCCAGTCCTGCTAATGTTTTTAATACATCTTCATATATTCAACCATTCTGTTCTAAAAAGTCTGTCGTCTTGTTCTCTTATTCTTCTGGTAAGTTTCGCCATTTCTGCGTACTCCATCAATTTTAGTTTGGATTTGATATCCCGCTTTATCACTACCCGAAGGAGTCTCAAAGCGGCTAACATTCTCCTTTCCCTTCCTCACCCACAACAAACACTCTGTGAGGTGAGTGAGGCTGAGAGACTTCAGAGAAGTGTGACTGGCCCAAGGTCACTCAGCAGCTGCATGTGGAGGAGCGGGGAAGCGAACCCAGTTCCCCAGATTACGAGTCCACCACTCTTAACCACTACACCACAGTAGCTCTCTAGTTGCCAGTCATATTTCATTGGAACTGTTTCTTCTTTCCATTTCTGGGCGTACACCATTCGGGCAGCTGTAGTAGCATACATAAATGTATTTTTTTAACCCTAAGAGTATTATAAGGCAGTCAAAGTTGTGTGCAGGCACTTGAGTTCAGTGCCGGATTTACGTACAGTATAAGCTAAACAAGCTATAGCTTAGGCCCCCACTCTATTGGGGGCCCCCAAAACAATTAAAGGAAATTCTGCATGTGCAAATGGCTTTAGATACCTATTAGGTTCAAAAATTACCATATAGCATATATTCAACACAAAAAACAGTGACAATTTGTTGTTGACGAAGGACAGCTGGACATATAAAGGGCCCCATTACCTGCAGTAGCTTAGGGCCCCATCAAACCTAAATCTCGCCCTGCTTGAGTTCCATGCATGAGTAACAGCCAAATAAACTGCTCATCTGTTCCTGAACTCTGTCTTCATACTGCAGGTGCAAGGACATCTGGGGACTCCAGAAATGAATTATGTCAAAGGTAGATAAACTGAACCAATGTCTCCCCTTGTGTCTAAAGCTCAGATTATCACCAAGGATGTATATAATGTTTCAGAATAAAATACCTTTAAAAAACACACACCAGATTTACCAGAGTAGAACTGAAGATTTCTTTTTAAGCAAACTTATCATAAAGGAAGCAGTTTTCAGTCAAATATCAGGCTGGACTCTTTGCTCTGCAGTCGCCTCCTCTTTCACTCTACGATGTGCATAAAAAGTATCCTTGAATGCCTCTTTCAAACGCCATTGCCAAGCACTCCTTGGGAATCGGAGGAAATTATGAATGGATACGTTTTGAGTATCCTGGCTAGAACACTGTCACCAGTTCTCTTCCTGGACCTGATTTTGTGCTGTGTTTCTGCATGTAAAAGGTAAAGGTAAAGGACCCCTGGACGGTTAAGTCCAGTCAAAGGCGACTATGAGGTTGTGGTGCTCATCTCACTTTCAGGCCAAGGGAACTGGCGTTTGTCTGCAGAGAGCTTTCCGGGTCATGTGGCCAGCAGGACTAAACCGCTTCTGGTGCAACAGGACACTGTGATGGAAACCAGAGCGCATGGAAATGCTGTTTACCTTCCTGCCGCAGTGGTACCTATCTATCTACTTTCACTGGTGTGCTTTTGATCTGCTAGGTTGGCAGGAGCTGGGAGAGAGCAACGGGAGCTCACCCCGTTGGGGGGATTCGAACCGCTGACCTTCTGAGTTGCAAGCCCAAGAGACTCAGTGGTTTGGATGACAGCACCACCCACTGGTCGGTGGGATGTAATGGTTTTCCTTCTCCACCCCAGAGAGCAGCAGGGGAGCTCAGGGAAGGCTGGCCAGACCACGAGGCACACACAGCTCCACCCTCCAATATTTGGCCAGCACTCCCTGCCACCCTCAGCATCTGCTGCCTGGACCCTCTGCCAAATGCTGGGATCAAAGCTCAGGAGAGGAGGGGTGAAGATGGACAGGAGCTCAGAAGAATATAATTCCCAGGTGTAAGGGGGGAAAATGTTATTTATGTATGCTACTACTGTGGCCCGTGTTTCGTTAGCCCCCAAAAATGAAAAATAAGAGAGATCCCAACTAAAGAAGAATGGCTACTTAAACTGATGGAATATGCGAACATATAGAATAAGAGAGCAAGAGGAAAATACTTTTAAAGAAGACTGGAAAATGTTGCTTGAATACATGGGGGGAAATTTTGTACACTTGAAAACGTTGGCAGCATTAAGATAAATTCAACAGTGTAAATAAGTTTTGATGGATGTATTAATGGAATACTGAAGGGTTTAGTTTATGTAAAATAGATAAAACATTTTGGCACCTGATTGCATTATACGTTGACAGGGAATGGGAGCAAAAATAAGGGTTTCTTCTTCTTCTTTTTCCCCCACCATGTGCACCGGGTGTGGGGAACCTTTGGCCCTATCTACAGCAGGGGTCAGCAACCTTTTTCAGCATTGGGCTGGTCCACTGTCCCTCAGACCTTATGGGGGACAGGACTGTATTTTTTGGGGGGGGGAATGAATGAATTCCTATGCCCCACAAATAACCCAGAGATGCATTTTAAATAAAAGGACCCATTCTACGCATGTAAAAACACGCTGATTCCTGGAGCGTCCGTGGGCCGGATTGACAAGGTGATTGGGCTGCATCCAGCCCAAGGGCCTTAAGTTGCCTGCCCCTGATCTACAGTATCCAGTAAGGCTGGTCCCTGGCCATGCTGTCTGGGAGGGGGCTGATGGGACTCACAGTTCAGTAACACCTGGAGCACCAGGTATTCCCCCTTTGGTCAGCCCAGTGTCTCATATTCTAGATTAGAGACGCAGAATATTAGCACCTGAATGAGTTGGAAGGCACAGGAGATTTACTCACAAATAAAGAGCATTCTTCCATTTCACTTCACACTGCAGTTGCAGGAAGTTTATGTGGTGGTATAATTTTTGCTAAATCTGGTCTAAGTGGACCTACATCGCCCCCTACAGATTAAAGGAAGGACTGCAGAGTTTGCAGCTCTATCAACAGCCAGACACACTGAGATTTCCATGGCAAAGTTTCTCAGGGCCTGGAGGTGAGAGGAAAGATTTCCAAACACAACCCACTTGGAAATTTATATATATAAGACCCTGGACAATTTCCAAGTGGGTTGTTTTACAATTTAAAATACTCCTTTTACATCCTTAAGATACCAATGACTTCCTTCTTTTCTTTCCATGGTTCACTTTACATATCATAAATCCCTGCATATTTTACAAAAACTATACCGTTCAGTATTCCATTATTGCATCCATCAAAACTTGTTTACACTGCTGAATTTATCTAAATGCTGCCAGTGTTTTCAGCTGTACACAATTATTCGCCATATATTCAATAAATGTTTTCCAATCTTCTTTAAATGTATGCTCTTCTTGTTCTCTTATTCTATATGTTAAGTCTGCGAGTTGTGCATATGAAATTGCCTAGGGTCTTAAGGATGGGTGCTTAATAATTTTTCTGCCTCTTATAGTAATTGTAATGTGCTGTGTTAGGTGCTGCACGTTTAATTGTATTTTCATTGCTTGTTTCATTTCTTACATATTGCCTTTTATTGCATTACAATGTGAATTTCCTAAGAAATAACAGAAACAATTAGAATACATTTAAAGAGCATGTTGACTCTAACAGGAAGCTGGGTGGGACCTGACACTTTCCTTTCTTATATCTCCCCAGGGCTGATGAATGGTCCTTTCATGGACATCCCATGTTCATTGGCTCTCTTAGAACTTTGTCTCTCTTCTGAGAATACAAAATGCAATATCAAAATGAAATGCAATATAATACTTTAGCAGAAAGGAGATTTAAAAATAATATTAGCGATGGTGCTTGTCTGGTAGAGGATGACCTGAAGGAAGAAGCAGGATAATTCTTCCTTATCAAGGCTGATGGGGATATCTCAAGGGAAGAGGGATAAAGGGGAATGAAAGTTTAATGGCAAAGGATGTGACTTGCATGTGGAAGGTCCAGTTCTTTGCACCCGAGATAAATAGATCAAGCAGCAGATGATGGGAAAGACCTTGAGATTCTGGGATGAGAAGAGGAATATTGGACTGGGCTACTGCTTTTTGAACATTCATTGTGACTTGTTTGCAAGGAAATTAAAAAACAACGACAACCCAGCTATTTCTTTATTAACAGGGTTGCCATGTTTCAAAATGTGAAAATCCGGACACAAAAGTTGATGATCGTTTTTTGGCAAAGTTGTTGAGCTTTGACCTAGCCATCAAGGAGAATTAAGAACTGAGGGCTGCAGTTTATTGCTGAGCTGTGTCAGATGTTTACAGCAAGGCCATTTCTCTCGATGCATTCCGGTGTCCAAAATAATCTGATATCATACTACATTCTTGTCAAAAACAGTCTGAGCTCATTCAGGCCCAACTCTGCTCTTGAGGAGCTCAGGTTTCGTTGTGGCAGGGCAGAAGAGAAAAGGTTTTTGTCTCAGTTCCCCATCAGATTGTATCACTGTGGAACTTGCTACCACCAGTGACCTCCCAGGCACCACAGTAATAAACGGCCTCATCTTCAGCCTGGATGTTGGAGATGGTTAAATAGCCAGTGTTCCCAGATTCAGAGCCAGTGAACCGATCTGGGATCCCTTCTCCCCTGTCACCGGAGCCAGAACACACAAAGCGAGGAGCCTGTCCAGGTTTCTGTTGATACCAGTGAAAGTAGCCCCAGTCACCACCACTACTTGCAGAGCAGGCGAGTTTCACAGTTTGGCCCAGGGACACAGACTGGGAGCCTGTCTGAGTCACTGTTGGCTGTGAATTGGCACCTTTTGAAAAGACAAAGAAAAGCATGACTCTCCATCCTCTGTCTTCTCAAATATCACTAGAGCTTTAGGTTTCCATAATAAATAAACACTACAAGTAATTTTGGTTTTATCTCTCAGGTCTACATGAGGTTACCTGTTTGCATCCTTACCTGAACAGTAATTGAGAAGGGCCAGGAAAAACAGAGTCCAGGCCATGGTGAGGGGCTTTCTCAAACACAAAATAACTGGCTGGGACCTCACCCTTTGCTTTCTTAAGTCCTCTAGGGTTGGGGAATGTCCCCCTTTATGCAAATGCACCCAGATTTGCATAAATGATTTTTTTTTAAAAAATGAGAATGGGTCTTGTCTTGTACACAGCGAACGTTTCCCACCATGGAAACATGCCTCGCAAAGGATGCAACAGCCTTGTGCCCTGCGATCCCAGCCTCGCCTTTGAGAGGCTGGACTCATTCACATGCCTCGTGTCTCCCCCCCCCCCCAAGTGGCTATGTACATTTTAGAATTATTTTATGTGTTGTAAGCTGCCCAGAGTGGCTGGGGAAACCCAGCCGGATGGGCTGGACATAAATAACTAAATCATCCTCATCCTCATTATCATCATCATTTCGCCCCTGTAGATACATACAGTGGTACCTCGGGTTACATACGCTTCAGGTTACAGACTCAGCTAACCCAGAATTATTACCTCAGGTTAAGAACTTTGCTTCAGGATAAGAACAGAAATCGGGCTCCAGCGGCACAGCGGTAGCAGGAGGCCCTATTAGCTAAAGTGGTGCTTCAGGTTAAGAACAGTTTCAGGTTAAGTACTGACCTCCGGAACGAATTAAGTACTTAACCCGAGGTACCACTGTACTATATATTGTCTAATGATAATGTATATTATATGTGAGAATTGCTCCTTTTTAAAACAGAAGGGGGAGCAGGTGCTCACCCCCTGCTGAGACCCCCCCCCAATTTGCAACAGCTGCCCTCCGCACCTGACTCTGGGTGGGGTGGAAAGATTAAAGGGGGGAAATTGTTGGTTTGATGTGAATGTTCTTTGGACAAGGGAAAGTTGAGGTTTTATTTATTTTTGTCTATTCGTTAATGGGGCTGATGATTGCTTTGTTTATTATTTGAGCGTGTTTTTTAATAGATGTTATATGAAATATCACTGTGTTGTTAAAACCAGGAATGGGGGGGGGGGCAGTTAAACGACTCCCCCCAAATCCCAAGTCCCCACCACAGCCTCGAACTAAGGCCAGGTCAATGACACAAGCGCCATACATAGACAACAGCAAAGAGGCTCAGAAAAGCAGTCTATAAAATTGTAGCAATTAGCGGAGACCATGTATGGAACTCTGACATTCCCATATGGAATCAAATAATCGCCCAAATTCAACAGTTTGGCGGATTTCCTTGGTTCCAAAGGCTGATGACTCCTCTGGAAGAGGGGAATCCGGGGCTCCCCCTACCTCCATAATCCCTTAAGCATAAGGTCACGTACTCCTTGCCCCTCCATAAGGTGTGAACTGAGGCTCACAACAGGAGGTGATCAAGGGCAGCACATACCCCAGACAGAAATCCATCCGGATGGAGGATTGAATCCGGATACTTTCAGAGGAGGAGCTCAGGAAAGCCTTGCAGCTAGGGAGATGTGTCAATACTTTTATTGTTCTTTGGGGAAGAGGTTAGTTAAAAGGTGCTGGGAATGGGGAGCTATTGACAGGGGTGGGTGTGATGGGCTCATGTTTCTACACGCCAAACACTCCTACTTCGTGACATATTTGTGATGTTTTGATGATGCTGTTGGAAAATGTATTATGGGAAATGGGGAGGGGTCTTAAAAGTTCACGCAACCCCATGCTCAGGGTTCCTACTCTGTATGTGTTTGAACCTTCTTGCAAGAAATAAAGATCAGGTCTACTGACCACTGTTTGCTTCTTTAACTTGACTGGAGAATCCTTCTTTTGCTGGCCGCGGAGACCCATGAGGAGTGGCACCCCGATGAACTGGGCAGCGGAGTCAATTCACACCCTCCAAATATTTTCCTTATCAGCACTAATGTATCATATGATTCCCCCTACTTTCCCCCACCCCAAGGTGTTGTGTACTGTGTATCTTTTTACTGTCTCTTGGAGATCTTCAGATGACAAGTGAGTAATCAATGAAATGAAGGAGCAAAATAGGAATAAGAAAAGATCCATCAAGATTTTGGGGGAAATTCCTTTTCTAATGAGGGTACAGATTGCTGGTGCAGTTGGTTGGTGGGTGGTGGTCCTGCCATTGAAAAGTGTCTGAGCCCAGATGGCCTCACTGAGCCTTACAAATCTAGATAGCAAAAGATATTCTGGCACAGATGAAATGAAGCTCCAGTGATCTAGTCCCTTCTGCACTCTGGGGAGGAAGAGAACAGGTTTTTGTCTCAGTTCCCCATTAGGTTGTATCACTGTGAAACATGATACTACCGGTGTGCTCCCAGTCAACACAGAAATAAACGTCCTCATCTTCAGCCTGGATGTTGGAGATGGTTAAATAGCCAGTGTTCCCAGAGGAAGAGCCCGTGAACCGGTCCGGGATCCCTTCTCCCCTCTTGTCGGCACCATAGAGCACAAAACGAGGAGCGTCTCTGGGTTTCTGTTGATACCAGTAAAAGCTGTCCAAGCTCCCACTACTTTTGGAGCAGGGGAGTTTAGTCGTCTGGCCCAGAGACACAGACTGGGAGTCTGGCTGAATGACTGCTGGCTGTGAATGGACACCTTTACAGAAACAGACAGAAAAAGACAGAGAAACTTTCCTCTTCATCATTTGTCCCCTCCGGCGTCACAACAGACTGTGTGCACTCATGGCTGGTTGGTTGGCTGGGTGGGTGTGTAAGTCCTACCATATTATTTATTTGTTTAAAAATATTTATACCCCACTATTCAGGAAAAAGCATATCACAGCAGTCTGCAACAATCAGAAGTAAATCATACAGTAAAAACATAAACATTTAATATCAGAGATCAGCTAACTATTAGAGGAGGATATTTTCTTAATTGTCAGCGTAAGATGGCAGCCACAGAGAAGTGAGTGCAAAGCCCTTTGGCTCGAGACTTTGAAAGATCTTAAGGCACAGAGAAAATGAGCTCTTCATTCTTCACTCCGGATTGGAAGAGCAAAGGTTTTTGTCTCAGTTCCCCATCAGACTGGACCACCGCGAAACATGTTGTTATCATACTCTCAGGCACCACAGTAACAAACTACCTCATCTTCAGCCTGGATGTTGGAGAACAAAGTGAGGAACCTGCCCAGGTATCTGTTGATTCCAGTGAAACCTGCTCCAGCTACCACCACTATTTTGAGAGCAGGAGAGTTTCAGTTTCACCTGGGGACACAGACTGGGAGACTGGCTGAGTCAAGGCTGGCTGTGAAGTGACACCTTGCAAAAAAGGAAAATCAAATCCTTTGATCCTCTGTGCTCCCCAATACTGCAGGAGCAATATGTTTCTTTGATAACCATCTTAGATTCTTCTTCTTCTTCTTTCTCTTGCACTTACATAAGATTATCGCTTTGCCTCCTTACCTGAACAGTAATTGAGAAGAGCCAGGAAAAGCAGAGCTGGGGCCATGGTGGACTCTCCAAAGGAGGGAGGTTTTCTGAGTCAAACAGGGAACTGGCTGGGACTTTGCCATCCCCTTGCTTAAATCCCCTAGAGCTGAGGATTCATGCAAATCCATTCCTGTGCCTTCATTGGCTTTTCTACTGGGAATGCAAATGTGCAATAATAAAGTCCAAAACAAAAGAACTGATTTGCATTAAGGAGCTGTTAAAAAAATACCCTGAAAGAGCCAACCTTTCATGGGGAATATGTGTGAGGCATAGTCCCCAAATGCCAAGACCATCATCAAAACCCTGAAGCTTCTCACTTTGTCATGCAGTCTCAAATTCCCTCTTTGTTGCCATAGGCTAACTGGGAATGCCTTCACTGGAAATGGGGGAAGAGAGAGTTAAGAACTGAGGGCTGCAATTTATTGGTGAGCTGTGCCAGATATTTACGGTGACGCCATTTCTCTCAATGCATTCCTGTGTCTAAATAATCTGATATCACTCTACATTCTTGTCAAAAACAGTCTGAGCTCATTCAGGCCCAACTCTGCTCTTGAGGAACTCAGGTTTTGTTGTGGCCGGGCAGAAGAGAAAAGGTTTTTGTCTCACTTTCCCATCAGATTGTATCACTGTGGAACTTGTCACCAATGGTGCCCTCCCAGGCACCACAGAAATAAACTGCTTCATCTTCAGCCTGGATGTTGGAGATGGTTAAAGAGCCAGTGTTCCCAGATTCAGAGCCAGTGAACCGATCTGGGATCCCTTCTCCCCTGGTGCTGGAGACAGACCACACAAAGCGAGGAGCCTACCAGGTTTCTGTTGATACCAGGCAGATTTAAAAATAATATTAGCGATGGTGCTTGTCTGGTAGAGGATGACCTGAAGGAAGAAGCAGGATAATTCTTCCTTATCAAGGCTGATGGGGATATCTCAAGGGAAGAGGGATAAAGGGGAATGAAAGTTTAATGGCAAAGGATGTGACTTGCATGTGGAAGGTCCAGTTCTTTGCACCCGAGATAAATAGATCAAGCAGCAGATGATGGGAAAGACCTTGAGATTCTGGGATGAGAAGAGGAATATTGGACTGGGCTACTGCTTTTTGAACATTCATTGTGACTTGTTTGCAAGGAAATTAAAAAACAACGACAACCCAGCTATTTCTTTATTAACAGGGTTGCCATGTTTCAAAATGTGAAAATCCGGACACAAGAGTTGATGATCGTTTTTTGGCAAAGTTGTTGAGCTTTGACCTAGCCATCAAGGAGAATTAAGAACTGAGGGCTGCAGTTTATTGCTGAGCTGTGTCAGATGTTTACGGTGAGGCCATTTCTCTAAATGCATTCCTGTGTCTAAATAATCTGATATCATACTACATTCTTGTCAAAAACAGTCTGAGCTCATTCAGGCCCAACTCTGCTCTTGAGGAACTCAGGTTTCGTTGTGGCAGGGCAGAAGAGAAAAGGTTTTTGTCTCAGTTCCCCATCAGATTGTATCACTGTGGAACTTGCTACCACCAGTGAACTCCCAGGCACCACAGTAATAAACGGCCTCATCTTCAGGCTGGGTGTTGGAGATGGTTAAAGAGCCAGTGTTCCCAGATTCAGAGCCAGTGAACCGATCTGGGATCCCTTCTCCCCTGGTGCTGGAGCCATACCACACAAAGCGAGGAGCCTGTCCAGGTTTCTGTTGATACCAGTGAAAGATGCCCCAGATTCCACCACTACTTTTAGAGCAGGAGAGTTTCACAGTTTGGCCCAGGGACACAGACTGGGAGCCTGTCTGAGTCACTGTTGGCTCTGAATTGGCACCTTTTGGAAAAAGAAAAAGAATAGCATGACTCTCCATCCTCTGTCTTCTCAAATATATATAACTGGAGCTTTAAGTTTCCATAATAAATAAACATAATAAATGAATATATATTATAGTTTATTGTGCTGTTGGCTCCACGGCAAAAGAGATGTTATTCCTCCCCATCCTTACCTGAGCAGTAACTGAGAAGGGCCAGAAAAACCAGAGTCCAGGCCATGGTGAGCTCTCTTATCCAAACAGGCAACTGGCTGGAACCTCAGCCTTTTGCTTCTTAAATGGCCTGGAGCTGATGAATGGCCACTTCATGCAAATCCAAACTGTGCTCATTGGCTCTGCTAGAACTGCATGTCTGTATTTGGAATGCATGATTAAGTAGGTCAACCAGATGCAATAGGACTGATTTGGGGAGAGAGAGAGAGAGAGAGAGAGAGAGAGAGAGAGAGAGGACCTGAAGTAGAAGTAGGATGATTTGCCATGATCAAGGCAGATTGGGACTGTCACTCACGAGAAAAGAGAAAGAGATGGGCTCACAGCTTAGTGCTAAAGGACACAAAATGTGCATGCACAAGACACAGTCCCTGGCACCTCCCATTTAAAAAGGAATCAGGTAGTAAATGATGGGTTAATGCCCCTTTCAAGATGCTAGCATCAGAATAAGAATCCTGGGAAATGGATTGATTTTTGTTCTGATTTAGTTGCAGGGAGGTTAGATGGCATTGTGTCAAAGAGATGTTCTCCCACACTTTCCAGGACCTTGCCCCATCCCTTTCCTTCTTCCAAATATCAACATTTGGGGGAAAGCTGGTTTCCTGCACAAGTCCTCCAACACAATTTTAAGTGGGCCACCTGGATTTGCCAGTATGTGATGGAATCTCACCTGAAAATGTGGACAGGCTGGAAGAGCCTTTAATGAAAAAACAGATGGACCTACTATAATGCAGATTTTTCTGATCCAAGGGAGGAGGGGTGTTTTACATCAATATATCTTCTCAGATCTGGAAATGTGAATTCTAGGCAGAAACAATTGATCTTTTCTCCTCAAGAAAAGGTTAGGGGAAGCCCGGATGTATGGCAACAAGATGGAAAAAGCAGCAGAAACAGCAGAAAAGCTCAAAATGTCTATTTTGGGGGAGGCTCTAATATAATGTTTTTTCCCATGTGTTAGATGAGGTTTTTTGACTCAAAAATCAGGTCAAAAAACTGGGGTCGTCCTATACACGGATAGTGGCATGGGGGCGGGACTGCGTGTCCATCAGTCAGCTGGTTGGAGGCCCATGCTCTAGGGAGCGTTTCCGGAGGGAGCGGCTGCCCACTTTGCCAACCCCCAGCAACAGCCCATCTCCCCTCATTTTCATTATATTTAACCCCCCAAAACAGCAAAACAGGGTCTTATACATGAAAAAATCTGGTATATAAAATTTTATTTTCCATTTTCACATCTTACAATTATTTTAACAACCAAAATAAATCTGTACAAAACCAATCTGCATTTTCTTCAGCTTTGCTCCCCCCACCCTGGTGGTTACTTATTTTGCCTTTATAATCCCTTTTAATTGTTTCTTACTGCACATGTTTGTGCCAGTCCTGCTAATGTTTTTAATACATCTTCATATATTCAACCATTTTTTTCCCATTCTGTTCTAAAATGTCTGTCATCTTGTTGTCTTATTCTTCTGGTAAGTTTTGCCACTTCTGAGTACTCCATCAATTTTAGTTGCCAGTCGTATTTCATTGGAACTGTTTCTTCTTTCCATTTCTGGGCGTACACCATTCGGGCAGCCGTAATAGCATACATAAATGTACTTTTTTAACCCCAAGAGTATTATAAGGCAGACAAAGTTGTGTGCAGGCACTTGAGTTCAGTGCCGGATTTACGTACAGTATAAGCTAAACAAGCTATAGCTTAGGCCCCCACTCTCTTGGGGGCCCCCAAAACAATTAAAGGAAATTCTGCATGTGCAAATGGCTTTAGATACCTATTAGGTTCAAAAATTATGATATAGCATATATTCAACACAGAAAACAGTGACAATTTGTTGTTGACGAAGGACAGCTGGACATATAAAGGGCCCCATTACCTTCAGTAGCTTAGGGCCCCATCAAACCTAAATCTAGCCCTGCTTGAGTTCCATGCATGAGTAACAGCCAAATAAACTGCTCATCTGTTCCTGAACTCTGTCTTCATACTGCAGGTGCAAGGACATCTGGGGACTCCAGAAATGAATTATGTCAAAGGTAGATAAACTGAACCAATGTCTCCCCTTGTGTCTAAAGCTCAGATTATCACCAAGGATGTATATAAAGTTTCAGAATAAAATACCTTTTTTAAAAAAAAAAAACCACAACAGATTTATCAGTGTAGAACTGAAGATTTCTTTTTAAGCAAACTTATCATAAAGGAAGCAGTTTTCAGTCAAATATCAGGCTGGACTCTTTGCTCTGCGGTCACCTCCTCTTTCACTCTACGATGTGCATAAAAAGTATCCTTGATAGCCTCTTTCAAACACCATTGCCAAGCACTCCTTGGGAATCGGAGGAAATTATGAATGGATACGTTTTGAGTATGCTGGCTAGAACACTGTCACCAGTTCTCTTCCTGGACCTGATTTTGTGTTGTGTTTCTGCATGTAAAAGGTAAAGGTAAAGGACCCCTGGACGGTTAAGTCCAGTCAAAGGCGACTATGAGGTTGTGGTGCTCATCTCACTTTCAGGCCAAGGGAACTGGCGTTCGTCTGCAGAGAGCTTTCCGGGTCATGTGGCCAGCAGGACTAAACCGCTTCTGGTGCAACAGGACACTGTGATGGAAACCAGAGCGCATGGAAATGCTGTTTACCTTCCTGCCACAGTGGTACCTATCTATCTACTTTCACTGGTGTGCTTTTGATCTGCTAGGTTGGCAGGAGCTGGGAGAGAGCAACGGGAGCTCACCCCGTTGGGGGGATTCGAACCGCTGACCTTCTGAGTTGCAAGCCCAAGAGACTCAGTGGTTTGGATGACAGCACCACCCACTGGTCGGTGGGATGTAATGGTTTTTCCTTCTCCACCCCAGAGAGCAGCAGGGGAGCTCAGGGAAGGCTGGCCAGACCACGAGGCACACACAGCTCCACCCTCCAATATTTGGCCAGCACTCCCTGCCACCCTCAGCATCTGCTGCCTGGACCCTCTGCCAAATGCTGGGATCAAAGCTCAGGAGAGGAGGGGTGAAGATGGACAGGAGCTCAGAAGAATATAATTCCCAGGTGTAAGGGGGGAAAATGTTATTTATGTATGCTACTACTGTGGCCCGTGTTTCGTTAGCCCCCAAAAATGAAAAATAAGAGAGATCCCAACTAAAGAAGAATGGCTACTTAAACTGATGGAATATGCAAACATATAGAATAAGAGAGCAAGAGGAAAATACTTTTAAAGAAGACTGGAAAATGTTGCTTGAATACATGGGGGGAAATTTTGTACACTTGAAAACGTTGGCAGCATTAAGATAAATTCAACAGTGTAAATAAGTTTTGATGGATGTATTAATGGAATACTGAAGGGTTTAGTTTATGTAAAATAGATAAAACATTTTGGCACCTGATTGCATTATACGTTGACAGGGAATGGGAGCAA